GGCAACACTGTGACTTCCATCATCCTGGGGGAAATGTTAGACTAGCGCTGGAATACGTTTGGATCCTGAGACTCACCAAGTTCTCGCCATACACTCCACAGCCGGAGCAATCAAACACCCACTGGTCATCTTGGGTAAGCCCTGCCAGGTTCTTCTGGGACTTCTCCAGGTCAGCCTTGAGGTTTCGGGCAGACACCCTGCTTTCACCCCTATCAATTCTTTCCTGTTCTTCCGCAATCCTTTCCAGCTCCGCCTCATGCAGCAGTCGCTTTTGTTCCCGGTCTCTAATACGGTGCTCGCGAGTCATTGTGCGCGACTGCCGCTCTTCTTCAAGCTGAATTTGCCGAGCCTGCTCCTTACGAGCCTCAGCCAGGTCGTTTTCACGCTTCTGGGCTGCCTCAGCAGCTTCTCGCTCCTGTCGTTCTTTTTCTTCCTTGGCAGCAAGTCGACTGGACCTCTTAGCACCTGCGACAAGCTGCAGATTGAGAAGTTCCTTTTCACGCTTCTGGCGCTTGCGCTGCTGCGCTTCCTCTGCCTTCTCGAGAATAGGCAGGACATGCTCAACAATGCTATCGCGTAGGTATTTCTCATCTGCGTCCTTTGTTTTCTGGAGTGTTTCCAAGAAAGCCTGGTATTCCTGGAGTGTGACAGCCACGCACTCCCACTTGAAAGGGTCTTCGGCAAAGGCCGCGACGGCACTTGCATCGTTGGTATCCTTGTTATCCTCATCGGAACCCTCTTCCGCCGCTGCTGTAGAGGTACGCTTTGACGTTCTTGATGCTCGAGAGGACCGGCTCTTTGCCTTCTTCTTGGGGCGCTGGACAGGGGGAGGCGGAGGAGGGTCGGTGCGACGGTAAAGGCGGTTGTCATCTAGCACATAGTATGAACGCCCCTCGCGGTCCCAACCAAATTCTTCAATACGCTGGGAACGGTTAGCATCTGATAATCAGGAGTCAAAGCCATGCGAGAGCTAGCCTACCCATTCTGTCTGCTCGGTCTCCTTCTTTTCGGGCATCTTGTCGCGGATGCGGTCCGCGTTCCAGAATGTCCATACTGTCAGCTGGTGGAGGACGCGGATCTTGGTGAAAACATCGAAATGCAGGAACTTGTTTGGTTCTTCCTCGTAACCGAAGGGATTGGTGGTATTGGGCGCTTTCGCATTGTACTGGCGTCGGGTATACTCGTCGAAATTATCGAAGCTGTCAGCACAGTGATGTCAGTAAAACCATGCAGGATAGCAAGAAACGTGTTCCAGTATACGTACGTAAGACCGCGATGCGACGAAATCCACTTGAGGAGACACAATCCAATCTCTAGTAGTTTGTGAGAGGGTTCAGGTTTCAGGCATTCGACTTCTAGGTCCTGGCGTGGGGCAAAGGATGTTAGCGATAATTCAACCAAGTGAGATCTGCTTGTGTATGTGTCCTCTCATCAATGCGACACGAAGCGCAGCATTTGATCTCATCCTAGACGATGCTAATAGACATACCTCAATCCCAAACTCCTCGTCAATTTTCATGACCTGACCAAAGATGGCAATGTATTGCATGAGGCTTGCAAATGCCCAGTTGCTCCTCAACTGTGAGAGCAAACCAGGCTCTTCTGGTGCCTGTTGCTCGGCCGCCGGGGCGACCTCGGAGTGGGTGCGCTTTCGCGATCCCATCGCGGCGGGACAACCGTTAAGGCCGGTTTTCTCAGAGGTGTCCAATGAGGGGGTTCAGTGAAATAAAATTTGGGTGGAGGTAAAAGCCAGAGAGTGTCCAACTTTGAAATGAGAAATTCGAACGTGAAAATTGAAAAAGAGACTGAGAAATATGAAGGTTGAGTCTGGGCTTTTTTTCGTGTCGTGAGGCAAGACGATCAGTAAGGCGGCGCGTCAAGGAGCGTGTCACGTGAGTATATGCGTTTGTCGAATTTAACAAGGGGAGAAGTGCGAAGGGCAATTCAGAGCAAATTGACCTTGTCGACCATATAGATGTCATCTTAATTCTAACCCTAATTCTTAGAGAAGAAAAAATTACAATGAGATTATGCAAACAATAGAAGACCGAATCTAATCTTATACATCGAAATATACACCTAAAAAAGGACATATCAAAGGATATCAAAGGACTCTTAAAAAGATTCTAAAAAGACATGGCAAAGCCGCATAAGTGGACTATTCTTGTATTCATGAATCGGAGACAAGTACATTCATGCTTTTGAGAACAAAGTCGCATATACACAAGGAACGACAGAAAAAATAAAAACCAAACACAAAGAAACATAATAAGAAAAAAAAAACAAAGCGGACGCCTGGATCTTTGGATATCTCTCGCTTTCAAAGGTCTATCTCACACAGAGCAGTTGGGGTTCGTCAAAGACGAGGAGAAAATGCACACAGACGACAGCGCCAACCAGAATTCGCGCCACACGACAGAAGACTTCTGTCGAAAATGAAAATCAATGATAATCAGAGAAGAAAACATATTTCCCACAAGCAAAATGCACAGCACAGATAAAGAAAAGAAAAAAGAAGAAGAAGAAAGGAACAAGGATACATTAAACCTCCCCCCAACGCAGATCACCGAACCCTCAAGAAACCCAATATAAATGCGGTAAAGAGAGAAACAACCAGGAATGAAGAGAAAAAAAAAACAGACTTGGATCCGATGCCCTCAATCGAATGACATACCTCACACGCTGGATCCAGTTCTTCAACCACAATTTTGCGCCTAGTGTCCGTTAATCGCCAGAAGCCTTTCCCATGCATATCATAAGGTAAAATATTTCGGGAGAAAGAAACAGATGCTTTTCGTATGTTACATGGCTGTCGGGGCTCCATCCGAGACGGTGTCGGATAAGTTGATAAGGAGTTGAGCCAGGCAGCGCTTGGTGGCTGCATCGTCACGGAGGACGGAGGAGAATGTGGCGTCCCGGAGAGGTTCGGGGAGACATTGCCGCAAGGCCTCTCGGGCCCGGCTGTTGTCACTGAGGCTGCATGATGCTGTTAGGGATGCCCAAGAAGAGGGGGATGGCACGAGGACTCACCGAAGGAAGCAGCGCACAACATGCTTGAGAAGGCGGACAGTCTGTTGCTCCACCAACTGAGTAACCATGTTGCTCAGGACAGTGCCCACGGCATAGAATCTTTCATATGTCGCGCAAATGTAGCCCAAGCCAATATCATCAAGAAGAATTTTCTGTACGATAAAGATAGCAACGGTTTTGCTCAGCTCCGAACCCGTCTCCATAATGCGAAGGCAAAGAGGGATGATCTCTGTAGTTAGGAGGAAGTTGATCACGTCAGAGGAGTCATTCTTCACCAATGCGCCGATGACGCCCAGCGATGTTAGTCGGAGGTATTCGAAGGGACGAGACTTGGAGGTGGTGTTGAGGAAGGGGTAGAGGAAAAGAGGGATGTGGGCTAAATGAAGGGAAATTAGCAACCGATTTTGTATGGGGTCATGGCAGGTATATTGCTCACCGTTCAAGAAGAGAGTGCGGGTCTCATTGTGGGAGGCGACACATTGCAAAAGCGCCAGCGCATTGCAGACTCGATTTGACGCGGCAGCAGTCAACTGAGAAGGGTTCAAGAGCGGATATACCGAGATAATTTCTTGAAGGAGGGCAGTCATAACACCTGCAAGTTTCCGACCGTTAGTTATTGTAGATGGGGCTGGGCGCACGTTGGGAATGGAGCCATACCAAAAGAGTGCCAGATAACCAGAGCCAATTCGGGGACCTGTTCCCGCTTCTTGCTAAGTTCCATCAAAGCGGATTCTCTGCGAGTTGGGTCCAATAGCTCGGCGACCCAAATGAAGACCTTGCGATTCTCCTCACTGATTCCACCGTCCATGGCGGAGACCGCATTTGACATACCATCTCCACCCATGCCGCCGGCGCCACCGGCACCCTGCGCGGGGTTTCCAGCGCCATTGCCGCTCATAGCAATGCGGCCATAGTGTTGTTGCTGTGCAGCGGCAGCAGCAGCTTGCACTTGGGCATGCTGTTGGGCGACCAGGGAAGCGTGCTGCTGCTGCGACTGGTGTGGGTGCGGCTGAGCCTGGTGGTGCTGTTGCTGTTGCTGATGCTGCATCCACGAAGGATCAGCCTGGGGGTATTGATGTTGGTGGGAGAAGACGTGTTGGGTCTGCGCTTGAAGCATGGTGGGTGATGAGTCGTTTCGGAGACTCGTAATACTCCGAAGGATCGGAACTCTGGCGAAGCGACAGCAAAATGGGGGCTGGGATAAAGTTGAAATAGGATTAATATCGTCAGGAGTTTAATCCCGGGACTGAAATCATTGATGACCGAAGACAAGTTGCAAGAATAGTGCTAGAATGGGTAGAACAGGTCGAACAGGTCGAATAGAGAGGAGTGTGGAGGAGGGAAAAGGCGGAAGTGAAGGCGGGGAGTCAAAGTGCCTCCCCTAACTTTTGTGTGGTCTTTTTTGGCCCTGGGCATTGTCTTACTTACCTACGGAGGACTCCGTATGGAGGACTCATTCTATATTCTATGTATAATTATTTATGGTGTCTTTCTTTTCTAGTCTTTTCTTTTCTTTCTATCTCATTTGACTCGGATCTATTGAATTAGTGTACGTTGTGTCAAACCTGCAGACCATCCAAACACATCACATTGTTTTCTGTAAGCCGTTTGCTTTCTGCATTGCAATCTCCCATGCTCATAGTTATTTCATGTCGGTGCCCGAGAACCATTATATCACCTCAATACTTATTGAACAGTAATAAACAAGTTAAAAATCATGTTATCATGTCGAGTTTGTACTCATAATTTCATATGTACATCGTAGTGTGCCATAAGTCTTTTCATATCGACATCGAAAAAAAAGGAATATCGTCAATCCTAAATCAAAAACCAAAAAAATCATCGTGCAGGTCGTAGTAGTACATTAGTCACGTCATAAATCAAGCGCCATAAATGCATAATCAAACCGAGGTCTTCGAACTGAAAAACCGCGGCAAAAAAAGGAACAAGTTCCCTCATGTCAGACGTTATCATCGACGGTCAGAGCGAGTGCGCGATCGTCGTGACCGTCGCGTATCCCTAGTTCGTCTGTCGGAACTTCGGCTACCTATGAAAGAAAGAAAGGTCAGTGAATGTCTTTTATTTGTTGGGATATATGGGGGTAAACATACTCCCTGTTCCTGAGTAATAGTCGGAATAGTAATAGTATGAACTTGGGTAGGAGGACTCGGTCTTGTCGTCATCGTGCTCTCTCTCTCTCTTTCTCTTCAATCCCAAGCACAGAGCAAGAGCACCGAGGATGATAGCAATTGTGCCGAGACCCCATTTAGAGTCTTTCTTTTCGCTAACCTCACTGCCTCCCGCGGCTGGTCTGGTTCCGAACCATGTCCGTCGATCGGCAGGAGGAGGAGGAGGTCGACTACCATGCGAATGGTGGGAATGGCGCTCTTCGATATAAGTTGTATCCTGTCTGCGGCGCTTCTTGCCGATGCCGAGTGCTGCAAGCAGGCCCTCCAAAACGCCCTTAAAGCAGATGCAGGCACAGAGGAGTAGCAACAAGAACGCACCGACAATACTACCGATGACAATTCCTGCGATAGCACCACCACTCAGTCCGCCGCTGCTTTTGGCTTGGACTCCGATCAAATCTGCCCCGTCCGTTCCAACCGGTGCTGTAAATGCCTCCGTGGTGGTTGGGGCTGAGGTTGCTGTTACGGTGGTTGCTCCACTTGTCGTCCCTCGGAGGCCCGGCGTGGCTGCTGATCCTCCTCCTCCTGTTTCTGTGGCAGTCACAGCAACTGAGGAACTCTCAGCGACACATTGGCCCTCCGAACATTCTTGCGCGGCCTCACAACAAGTCGAGCCGCACTTTGTCTCGCCAAGGTCAACTCTGCACGTTCCTGTGCTTGTAGATGTGGCAATCTGGCTGCTCCACACAGAGGTAACCGTTGTTAGGTCGGTATTGGTGAGCACGTAGGTGGTCGTGTAATATTGATAGCCTCCACCGCTGTCACTACCACTGTTTGCACAGACGGCCTCTTGGGCACTGTTGGTAGTGCACGTTTGACCGGACTCGCAGCAAAGCCAGTCGTTGTAGCCACAAGGGTTTGCACAGCGCTTTTCAAGCTTGTTTCCTTCGAGAACGTTTGCTTCCAATGCGAGCGGGGTTGCGGCTGTGTGGAGCGAGTAGTTGAGAAGTAGGGCAAGTGTCGAGAGCACCGGCAGGACGGATAAAGACCGCATCGCAAAGAAATGGCTAGGCAATGCTTGCCAAAATTCAGCCGTAAAATTATTCGAGTCGGAGAGCGTGGGATTTGGACTAGAATGGTGTTTCTCAGTAGTCTTGTCTCACCCGTATACTCGAGAGATCTTGGGAGACCACGAGGAAACAAAGATCTCAAATTCTTGAGACGTCAAGAAATGATCGGAATGTACGGAGTAGACAAAAAATAAAGAAGAATGAGAGAAATCGAGAGGAGAGTTGTTCCAGTTTGTTAGCTACACAGCGTCTCCCAGCCTCTCCCTCCGTATACCCAACCACCCGATTTCCTACCAATTGCCTTAATCCACCCAAGACTTTCTTTTTATTTCATGGTGGCTGGGTTTCACATTAAATCTATTTTATTCGATTCTGATTAGTCCGACACTATTTTTCCCCCTCGAATAACAATGAAAGCCCTGAGTTATCCCCTTACCTACGTCCTGTCAGAAGCGATCAACGGGTCGAATGCAGGTTTCTCCACCCCGCATGGCAGCAATCGGCTTTATGTCCAACACCGCCATTTTAGATTTGCCTTGACTCAGGTCTACTCAAAAAGAGGAACACAATTGGATTGTGTATATGTTGGGCAGCCATCCGATGCATTGTAGCAAAGCGTGGGTGTCGTGGATGCCATGGGGATATTCCGTGCCACCAATGGCAGCCCAACGATGAATTGCCCAATCCGTTGAATGCCCTGGAGATCCGATTGAACCTGCAGCTAGACTCCCGGAAAGCTTCTGAAGGGACATCCTGTCTATAGGGGATCGCACCTCTCTAAGGAACATCCCCCTAAATTATGTTTACGTCTGACGGCGACTGGAATCAAAACATCAAGCAGCTTTAGAACATGATCTTACTTAAAAGGCTATGTACTAAGTATAGAAACAAATTTAAAAACGCTAAAAAAAATCTTATCTCTTCCTATTGAAGCTAGTTCCACCATATTCAATAATACCTACATGTAGGTAAGGTCCCCCTTAGACTGCGACATCGCCCGTCCATGGGCCCCATACTTACATATAGTCACCCAAAATGGACGTATAACCTACTGACATAGCAAAATAAATTACTGTTATTTATATACGTTTTGCCAACTCGATAGAATGTTATTATTAGTACATAAAATATTTGAATCTAATCAAAAATTTTTAATATTTAATAAATAGCTATCCCAAATATACAAGCAAGACAAAAAAACCCCTTCTAATACTTATGATTAGTTAGTATTTTTATAAATCTGTTAAATCATCCTATTACAGCTAGAATATATATTTGAGATAGTTAACTAGTAACTCTACTAGTTAGTTTACATTGTATCTCGCGATTGATACGGAATCTATAATTAGACCTTGCCAACTCCCATGGGACTAGAAAAATTTTGGTCCCATATCCTGGTCCCATCACTCCCATGGGACTAGCCAAAATTTTGGTCCCATTACCATAGTGGTCCCATGGGAGTCCCATGGGAGTGATGGGACTCCCATATGGTCCCATGGCATACATATTTTTGCCAAGCATTTCCTATTTTGGTTGCACAAAAATGCTAACTCAGCAGATAAAATACTGTTTTTTACAGGTGTATCAACATTCTCACTTCAAGTTTGTAGCAATCTAACTTTTTTATATGGCATACTATTAAAAATAGAAGATGAATATCTCAGCCATATATTTAAATATTATATTCAAGCAAAAGTAAGCTCAAATATGTAAAATTAGGTGTAGGAGATCAAGAAGAAGTTGTTGACTTAGTATCATGGTCAGTCAGTAGAGATATATATATTCACATACATGCTATACTCTCCAGTTTCAACTAAGCTCTACACATATTAAAAATTATACCAAAATATAATAAATCCTTTTTTTTTACAGCATTAGATACTATAGATAGGTCTTTATTTCATCCTTTTATTTCAAAACTACTCTTAATATCATATTATTGGTATAGAAATCAATGTCTGGACTGCGACATCGCCTATGGACGGGCGGGTGGGCACTGCCCACGGGCCTTAAGGCCTTTTTAGTAACTAAGTAGAATTCCTTGACCTCGTGACCTACATTATTTGTATATTTTTTCTTTATATTTTTAAGTAATTTAATTATATGTACATAGTAGTAGCATTAGCATATAGTAGGTTTAGAAGTATAATGATTTGACACTACTGCCAATTTTCTGACCGAGGTCAGAAAAATGAGCTTTAGAAGCCTTTATACAATGACTTGATACGACTATCAATTTTCTGACCGAGGTCAGAAAAATGGCAGTAGAAGATACAATGATTTGATACGACTGTCAGTTTTTTGACTGGGGTCAGAAAATTGAGCTTTGGAAGCCTTTATACAAGAAATTCCATCAAAATGCTAGGGGATCGGGTTGACCCTCAAAACTGACTATACCCCTGACTTGATGGGACTCCCATGGGACTCCCACGGGACTCCCGCGGGACTCCTATGGGACACCCGTGGGACCCCCACTATTATAAAGCTTGCTTAACCAATCGGGGAGCTGTAAATAGAAGGTCTTACTATCTTATGATCTATCTTCGCGCTAGTTATTACTCGGCCTACTATAGAGTACTCAAGGTATAGAGGATAGATGCGATCGTTAATCAGAAGATTTTTGAGAGGTAAGTCAAGATTATTCTATCCTTATTATACTCCTAAGTCCCTCCCCTCTTTACCCCAGTCCTCTACGATATAATGATTATTGGAATATCATGTCTCAATACGATCTTTATGCTGAGGCTAGCCCTTCGTCCCAGATTGCCTCCTCGCAAATTGGGATACCTCCACCATCTTCACTCTATAATCTTGATTTGATAGATGAACCCCTTACACCAGACCATTCGATTAGCCAGCAGCCGATTTATAGCGTACCACCATCCTCAGTCGTTCAGTCCGAAATTGAATCAACACCTCTTCCACCTAGTCTTCGTCGAATCGGTCCACGAAATCAAAAGTTCTGGGTTCTCTGGACTATGGAGAATAAGGCAGAGTTTATTGAATGGTGGAGGAATACAACTGGTGCTCATCCATACCCTCCACTCTATAAAGTGAACTTCGAAGCACGATATACATCTTCTGCTTGGGATCAGTTTGACCAGGTAGCACACTATCAAACTGGAAAACCAATGGCACTCTGTCGGAGATGTGGAAAGGTGCTATCGCACCCATCATCAACCTTGAATGGGTCGAAATCCCTAACTGCGCACTTGAGTAGCCGCGCATGCAAAACTGGCGCACAAAAGGACTCAACCCAACAGGATATACAACAATCGTTTGAACTTTCGGTAAGACTAGGGTCTTATAAATAATCTATCTAAGGCTAACTTCTATATCATTCTTAGTCAAACCGTGTATCTACTCGAAAGGCCTTTAATCTACAAAGATTTGAGAGAGCCCAGGTAAAATTTATCGCAAACTCTCGCCTTCCATTTCAAATCCTCCGGCACCAAGAATTCCAAGATCTTATAGCAGAGGCACAGCTTTCACCACAACCTTTGAGCCTTCTTTCACCGAAAACTGCGCGGCGTCGACTCCAATCGATTGTCCAGGCAGAACAGCAAAAGCTACTCTCCCACCTCCCCGCTGGGGCAAAGCTCTCGATTGCTCTTGACTGCTGGACCTCACCATTCCAACAAGCGTTTATGGCGATCACAGGGTATTTTGTGGATATCGATTGGGTATATCATGAGATACTTCTAGGCTTTATGCCGGTTCATGGCCAGCATACCGGCGCTCACTTGGCAGAGGTTCTCCTCGGTGTTCTTTCTGACCATGGGATCGTTGATAGGGTGATTGCAATTACTACTGATAATGCGTCAAACAACAAAACCATGGTTGAAAGTCTTTGTGAATCGATCCGACAGATAGATCTCCCGGATTCCACTGAGATTATACGGGTTCCATGCCTTGCCCATGTGATTCAGCTGAGTCTAAAAGATCTTCTTGGCTTGATGAAGGCCAATCCAAAGAATGATAAAACCGCGACCGTATGGTCAGAAGAAAATGGGAGCATCCTTCAGCAAGCAAAGCTACAGAAGGGAATTATTTATACACTTGCAAAGGTATATATCTAACCTCTATAAAGGTATCTTATATTAATCATGATTATAGGTTCGCGCTTTTGCTGTATTCATCAATGCTAGCCCACAGCGACGGGAGGCCTTTCTGAATCTCCAGAGCGACGGAATAAAGCTGGCTCCAATCCAAGATGTCCGCACTCGGTGGAATTCCACATATCTTATGCTCCAGCGTGCCAAGCGCCTTCAGACAATATTCCAGCGGTATTGTACAGAGCACCAGCGCCCTGAGTTCCACATCAGTAAAGGGGAGTGGCGCCAAATCGATTACCTACTCTGTATCACAAAGCCTTTCTACAAGTGGACGGTCGGTCTATCAAAGATCAAGACAACAACCATTCACAATGTTTTTATGGTATATAACCGGCTATTCACACATTTTGAACAATCCCAGGCCCGACTTCGTCGTAAGAAGGTGCCCTGGAAGAAGGCTATGCTAGCGGCTCTTGAAGCTGGAAGGGAAAAGCTTTCGGTATACTACCAATTAACAGAGGAAGCCCATGGTAGCTTATACGCCATAGGTACCATTCTTGCTCCCCAGTATAAGCTCAAGTTTTTTGAAGGCCCAGAATGGTTAGGTCAGGTTCAGCTCAATGATACTATTTCCTCTTGGCATGATATATACAAGTCTTCGCTTTATAGCCATCTTGAAGACTATTCGAAACATCAGCCAGAAAGGGAAGTACCACCCACAGCGATACCTTCGGCACATTATACAGAGGATGAAATGGCAAGCCTTCTCGCTGAGGATCAGCCACCGCCCCCACTACCATCAAAAGCCACTGGTTGGGAAGAAGAACTTAAGGGATATCTCAATCTTGGTAAGTTTATACTATCCTTTTACTATTTTACGAACCACGTTACTAACTCTCTATAGAATGGAGCGCAACGAATCCATGCCATTTCTGGAGGGAGAATGCGCGTAACTTTCCGACACTCGCAGGACTTGCACGGGACGTCTTTTCGATCCCAGCCACAGGCGCAGGTGTTGAGCGTCTCTTTAGTACTGCTCGCGATATTTGCCATTACCGACGGGGCTCTTTAAATGAATCGACGATTCAAGATCTAATGATGCTCCGTTGTTTATCAAGGTTTGACATTAGAGATGAAGAAACTGAGGATACTGTTCAACCTGAATCCGTTCTTAACCAAGACGAAAGAACAGAGATTGACGAACAAAGGGAGGTAGGACTTCCTGACTATACGCCAGAGCCAATCAGTGATGGTGAAGATGGCGAAGACAGTGTAGACGATGAAGCCGACAACGTTAATCCAGACAATATGGATACCGCCACAGAAGAGGCAGAGCCAGATCATTCTATACGCCACCAATTACCAGTGATTCCGTTCAGTCAACAACGTCCCCAAAGAGAACGCAAGCGACGAAGAGATGATGATTTGTATACTTATACATAATAGAGATAGATTAGTATAGAATTTTTTAACAGCTGTTAAAATATCAAATTCTACTGTCTATCAGAAATTGCGCTCTAGATATAGCACTGCAAATCTACTATTTTTGTCCTAATACCAAGCCCAAAGTATTATTATCTCTATTCTTTGAGTAATTAAAATACCCAAAAAAACAGTGGCATTCTTCATAAGTTATGCAGGTCACATTTTTCTACATGTTTGCACTGTTTACAGTCCCATGGGAGTCCCATCAAAGTCCCATGGGAGCGGACTGGACTGCTTAGTCCCATTCTTGGCACTCCCATGGGACTTGATGGGACTCCCATATGGTCCCATGGGATAGTCCCATGGGACCACTCCCATGGGAGTTGGCAAGGTCTATCTATAATTATAATTCAAATTTCTATCAATATCAGTCGTATTTTATAAACTTATATCGCCTAAATTACTATATTATATTTCTTAAAGGTCGAGTTTTAGTTCTACAATATCAAAATATTTAGATTCTTTAATATAGGGCGATAGGTACCGGAAGATAGTGTGGTAGGCCTCGGCTTTACGACGCGATTATTCACGGTAGCGCTCGAATACCTAGACCTCTACTTCGAGGCGCGCTTCAATGGCTCGCTGCCTTACCGCCCCATTAAGGTGGGGCTCTACCAAGGGTGGGATGTCCGCTGTAATAGATTTGGCGTACTTGAATAGACAGTCGGGACGCTGAATGTCGCCCGATACTATATCCCAGACCTACCTGGCTTTTAGGTAGGAGGTCATGAGACGTTTCTAGGTCGCGAAGTTATCGCTTCCCGCCAGAGGCTCGATGGCCGTGACAGCTCGGTCAGGCTAGTTATGGACTAGAGCAGACATAGTGATGACTGCTAAAGCGTAGATATATAATCAAGATTGACAAGATTATTCTCAGATGAGTAGAGACGGTACCCTAGATTTTACTCCCGGGCTCATAACCTATTGTTGTTCGGAAGTATGAATTGACTTTTTTATTTCAGAGGGATATATGAGCCTATATATACAACAATTAGCCAAGTTGATTTCCAATCAACTTGGTCGTCTGTATCGACACTTCGGAGCTAATTCCGACGGTGCGGCTTGGTTCCTGATCTGCACCAGCCTCATATCACAACAATATCATTGGGTCGGTAGTGTTCAATTCATCACCATCAAGGTTGATGCACGCTCCAGCGATTGCCAGGAGCAGATTTACTACAGTATCCTGGACTGCAACAAAGAAGGTTCCATTATTGACCCATAATAATGCTCAAGTGACTTGGAAAAGTTCTTACCCCAGGCCCCTTTGGTAGCTTACATCACTTGTTGCATCAAACGATGGGACAAGCGAAGGCAAACAGGAATAAAGAACACCGATGATAATGGTATTTGGCTATACAAGATCGGAGCGCCGGCTAATGGGCTTTCACGGAGTCTACAAGCGCGCTTGTTTTCGATGCGCTTGATGAGCTTCAGTGCACATCATTAGTAATGGCTATCACCGTGCTCGGAAACAGCAAATACGCGATTTTCGTTATCTCATCACTGGCGCCACAATGTTAAGTTACACAGTAACAATCTTTCTGAAGGAATTTGTGAGTGGCGCTACGCCCGACATGTTACGATCCCCATAGTATCACTCACTGTTTGTTAGCATTTTACGCTAAAGAGTCGTGATCTTTCCTCTTTGTTTTCGCCTTGTGACTTGTCTAACGCAGGCTGGCAGAATTGAGTAGCATGGGTTTCTCTAGCCTTACTGGAAGACATCGCTATGCCTCGGTCTTCTAATGCGCATGCTATCGGCACTATAACAGAGGCGCCCTGGGCTACAGACGCCTGAACGCCTGCAGAATGAAGTATCGTCGAAAGTCTAGATTGATATGTGCTCCTTGACATAAGCTGCAACGCGATGGATCGATTCGGACGATTGACTGGGAATGTTGTAGACGCGGAACTGATCGGCAGGAGGCCTGTTGTTTCGCGCTGGAGGCAGAGTTCGCGGGCCACGTGTCGCTGCGGTGCTTGATGCACTTTGTTCTCGGGCAGCTAAACACGGTGAACATCGTCGTGGCTGGCCACGAATATTAATATTCTGCATCCCCCCTCGAGTACCCTCTCGGGGCTGAGAGTATTAGAGGGGTTCTTAAGTCGTATCGACTCTCTTAACCCAAATGATTGTCGCAGTGTTAAAACACTGTAGAGTTATCCTCCGAATTTGAAACGTGGTCCTTAACGGTTTGGCGAAAAAAATGGTTAAGGTTAAGTTCTGAGCCAACAAGCTGTCGCCGAATGCTTTCTCCTGTTTCTTTCAAAGTGTGGAGAGAAGTGAACAGTCTTCCTTCGACAAGCAAAGAATTCATTAGAAATCGCCGATTCTCCTCTTTCTATGTACTTCGCGAAAGAGTCCCGGGCTTTAAGTTTTCTAGGGCGAAGTTTGTTGGTCACATTTGCGGGATCTCTACGAGTAGATTGAGTCTTATCCTGCTGAACCTTAAGACTAAGAAAGAGGTGATTATAGAGACCGTCGATCAAAGTAGGGAGGCTTGTTTTAGATGTCTTCTCCTAGTCCATCTTTTGAAGACGTTGTTCCTCTCTACGAAGACGTCGTTCTTCTGTGGGATTCTCCCTATCCTCTCTCTGGAATCGTTACTCCTCTTTACGAAGACATTGGTCGATGTGTTCTACCCCAAAAGTCTGGATTTGCCGTTTGACCAGCAATTGCGCCACAAACCTCGTCCAATCCTCCTACGCTATCATGGCGGTGGTTTGGCCGGTGGCTCCAGCTTGTATCCTCCATTCTTCAGCCCTTGGTATCTTGAACTCGCCAAGGAGAACTTGGCCATCATTGTGTTCCCGAACTACCGACCGCTACTAGAGTCCTCTGTCATGGATATTCTTGAAGATGCGGAGGACCACTGGCAGTGGACACATCGAGACATGCCCCTCTTCCTTGAGCAGGAGACAGCAGGAGCCCTGCAGGCAGATCTGAGCCGCATCATGTCCGTGGGTGAAAGTGCCGGAGGGTATCTAAGTTTGCAGATGGGTCTAAACCATGCGTCCAAGATTTGCGCAGTAAATGCTGTGTATCCTGTAGTGGACTTCAAGGCACCACGATTTTGCAATGGGCAGCAAAAACCAGTGTTCAATATGTCGCCATTTCCCCGAAACTATCTCGAGCGCCACATGGAAGAGGTTAAGAGACAGGAAGCGCTCACGTAAAAGCCGGTGATCGTATCTTCTGAGGTTGGCAATGGCCGAGTGGAATTGATGTTCTCGTTATGCCAGCATGGTAGACTAGGCACTCTGTTCCCTGACAACACGATGGCCCCGTATCCTCTTAAGAAATTAGATCAAGGTGCTCGCTTCCCACGAGGCGGGGTTGTGGTGCTTCATGGAAAAGATGATACAGTGGCTTCAATAGAACAAAGCTATATGCTGGGAAAGAAGCTTTCTGAGGTCGATCCGGAGCTGGATTTCAAGCTTGTTGTGCGAGACGGCGAACATGGATTTGATCACTCGGCCAAGTTAAGGGATAAATGGTTGTGGGATGCGATTCAGGGCATCCTGAAAGCTTGGCTTGAGTAAACATTCTGGTGGAGCACATTATCTGATGAGGCTTCCAAAAAGTGCATCAAAATTATAGCGTGCGCATAAAGAATCTCACCTCCTTACGTAGTGGAAATACGATGCTAGTACACGCAAGGCAACTTGAGCACGATAAAGGTATCATTGTCGGCGATTCTAAGACTGTTCTTTTGAACGTGGCAGTCAAGTTGTGAAGGTTCATTTATATACACGGTGGTATCCTGGATTATTTGGGAGTGCTCTTGTGGCTGGTCAAGAAAGCAAGTCGAGGAGATAACCGGTATCAAAAGGGACGGGATAGACTTCAGCATCTGCACGGAGATTTGCTATAGAATTCACGGATTCAGAAGCACCCAGAAAGAAAATGCAAGGCAAGTATAACCCAGAATGATTCTAACTTAATTGTGACCGATTAGAAATGTGTCACTCAGAATTTGATGGTAGGTACCGTCTCTTTGATTGTGGTAAACGCCCACTCACCACCTTTTTTTTTACACTGCCAGGTCATTGGTTTCATTCACCTCTTGTGGCCAAAAGACTCAAAAAAATAGTCAATCCAAGAGACCCATGTCTGATCAGCTCCATCATCCCCATGCCATTCCCTCAACAGTAAATCATAAATATATAAAATCGCAAAACAAGACTTCAAGTATCGTTGCAAGCTCAGCCTGGCTTTCTCGTTTTCACCTCGTAATGGATCAATTACTCCTTTTATATCCTGCTCTCCACTCTCAGCCCACCCTTTCTTCTCCTGTTCGTAGGTCCAAGAATCCGTGACCCCCATTTTATTCCAGAATGCTCGATGTATAATGTTTTGCGCCGGATAGTCATAGTCAGAGAGTGCTTTGCTGGCGAAATTTTGGAAACATCGCGTTTCAAGGAGGGACACCTCCTTCTCCGTGGATACACCAAGTTTCAACCGTTTGCGAGAAAGGACTGCATCAAACAGATTTATCAAAAGATACGCCTCCAATGCAGAACTCGCAACCAGACTCACTCCAAATCCATGGCCCCAGTGGATATTTGCCAAAGTATGTACTGGAACATTGGGGTGGCGAGACAGAGTGAGTAAAACAGAGACTGCCTGTTTCGACATTACTTTCGCAGCGGTATCTTCACTGTCTGCCCCTGCGGCAATGATAATCAACATCTTGACAGCATCGGAAAGATCCCCATCCCCGCTGGAATAAGCCACTTGATCAGTACCAGCCCGGTGGATCCAGTATTGAATATCTTTGCAGTCTGTGAAGAGGGGGTTGTGCAATACAGAGTTTGTTTGATGTGATCCAAGGCCATAGCGTCGTTCGGCATAAGACAATAAAGTACCGTTAAAAAGGTTGTTTGGAGGTATCGGAGATCGAGGTATAGTTGCTTCAGTTGTAGAGAAATCCCGAATAGTTCCGATGAGTACACGACGAAAATGATGCAAACCAGCTGGCTCCCATGATTTATCGCAAGCGAACAGATCTGTGCGATTTGGAGTTACGCTTCGGTTACATCTTTTTAGGTCAAATTGGGCGGCTGCTTGATTCCATGGGATTTTGTGATCGAGGTGCATGTCTGACTTTGACCAACTTGAAGTTGAGTACAAAATTTAGTTGACATATCTCTCATTTATCGAAGGGTCTCTTGCTCTCGTCTAGTTCATACTAAGCGGAGTTAAGCGACCACATCGTAATCGTACACTAACAGTTTTTTTTTAGTTAACGAAAGGGCCCACTAGTTTTGTCAGCATCGCCGACTCCATAACTATATAACTTTAAATAGCTATATTAATTTCTGTTTATAGCTACACTAAGACCTATAGGTTCACTGGCGTCTCTTATCGTATTCATTGTCTAGCGGCTTTTCTGGGTCAGTATTTCGCTATAACCCCACACTAATATATCGGTAGTTTTTCAAGTAGAGCTAAATAATATCGTAAGTTATTTCGCGTTGCTTATTATTGCTAGCTCCCTGTCAACTATAAACTGGTCTATTGCGTTAGCTATAGGTAGACTGAGACATTTACCGTGGGACTTCCACCATTGGACTCTCCATCGGACTCCTGTGGGACTGGTGGGGCTACACAGGAAGTTGATTTGAAGAACGCCCTGGAAAATAGCGGACGAAGCATGAGAATAGACAAGCTATTGCTGAGATCTAGAGTCGGCTGAGAGACATGTCGGAATAACTTTGAATGACACGGGAATATCTGTGATTCCGAGGTACCGTTTGAGACCCTGGCTGGTCTCCGTTAAGCACGGCACTATTATAGGTAGCCAACTTCTATCGTGACCAGCGGTACTAGATACTGCCCGCATATTGCCAAGATAGGATTTTGCTCTCTCGTGTATTCTAGGGCTCTACGGATGCTGTAGTCTTCGAGGACTTTATTGGTCAGCTTCTTCGGTATTGTAGGAGATAGCCTGAACCAAAGTCCGTTCTAGTTATAGATAACGTATCTTTCTACTATTCTGATCGTATTGAGGAAATGTATATCGAAGCAGGAGTTAAGCTCGTATATCTACCACCTTACTCACCCGACTTAAATCCTATCGAGGAGTTTTTCTCTAAGTTAAAGGTATATATTAGACGGAACTTTGTGCGGTATGAAGAAGTGTAAAGGTATACTGTTTTCAGGTGTACGGCCTGTCAACCGGGTAAGATACGATGGTAGGAGAGAGGAACAGATTGTATTGTCTTCAGCGTGACAAGGCTAACTCTTGTCCAAGAGGAACAGGATCCAGGGGAGTCCTATGTTATCTATCCTATACCCCGCTTTGATCACATGGGGTCAGCAACGAATCAGTGGTGCTCCACTCTCGTGGCCCAGCCGATAAGGTTAAGTGACAATTCTGTTTTCATGTTGTAAGGATCCTTTATCCGTTACAAGAAGACCCAGAATAATGATTTCAAAGTTTCCTCGAGCGGTATATTGAGGTTGTTGGATCTCGAAAAAAGAGTGCCTTGGGTCATTTCCGACATTCTAGGGTGGTTATATTAATACTTATAGCTAGTTGGTAGCGTTAGAGGCGATGTAGCGTTAGACTTTATAGTGATAATATATATATACTACTATCTACAAAAGTTACTTAGTTCTCTGCTAACTCTAATTTTGTGTATACAGTAGTGGTTTAATCATCAACTTAGGGTTTCGCGTAAAACTGAAGTGATTTATAAGCTAATCTATTGTCTATACGAGCGCCTTCTTACGCCTTTATATATTTTTAAGCTACGGCCTATATAGCTTGGTCGTCTAGCGTAACATTCCTTATACACTTAACCTATTAGCCAATATCTCTTACGAACTGGCGTACAATACCTACTACAATCCCTTTGTCGATAAAGAATGAGGGATCTTGGTCCTCGTGAATTAGTTTAAGATTAAGACTATTGGCTAGTCCTTCGGAATCCGATTCGTTTATTATACCCAGACTTATCCACGTAGACTAAATAGTGCGACTGAAAGTCTAATAGGTTATATATATAGAAATCTCGTAGATCCGCATTTTGTTCCTTTGCTCTATATCGAGCCTCAGAAAAAGATACTTGCTAGATCGGCAGCATACGCTAGTTTCGCCATAGCAGCATTTAAATACAATCTCTTGCTGCCTATCGCGCACTTCAAATTGATAATGTTAAAGCTTGCCTTTTATTGGGCGGAAATTGGTTGATTATCGCGTCCTGCGCTGAATTTTAGTTTTCTGGCTCGGGTCGATCCGGTTTCCCGAAAAGTTGCCTGGTCATACCCACACCGGACCAACATAATACTCAATTTGGGCTGTCCGCCAATTTGATTCCATTTATTAGCGTCGCGGAGTTAACTTTAGTCGCCTAGTAGTGAATCTAGTTAAGGCATATCATATCACTCCTTAAGCTGAGTCAGATACCATCTCCAGATGCAACTACGTTCTCTCCCTCTGTGGGCCTATGGGAATAGCCTTTCGGGTTATGTATAGCCTGAATATCTATAGAAGTCCATTGATACAGGGGCTATCGCACGGGGTTGGAAATACAACACGCCGTTTCGATCTAGACGGTAGGGGTATCTTTTACCTGTTTCTCTCGATTTCTGAGTCCCCAGAAAACTTGCGAACACAAAACAAGAAGGGGAATACCAAGGAGGAGAGCCCATATCAACAGCCACAGAAGTACCACGGCAATAGAAAAGAGCCAAAATGCTCTGCTCATCTCTTTTAGCTCATGGTCGCTTAAAATATGAGACCAGAGCCGGTCCACCGGAACGGCGAGTGCAACTTGCATCGATGAAAGAGCGATAGATACGCTGGCAAATAGGAAGACTAAAGGGAAAGTTGCTCTCTCCATAAACTCGCCAGTGGACCAGTAGGAATTCTCGTAGAACCATCTGGTGCGAGTGTGCTGTGGACGGAATATCCGGACGGCCCAGTTTAGGCGGGACAGACGCAGCTGTCCATAGTGGTATCGCTTTGCAACCCTATCGTCTCCAACAACACGAAAGTGATTGATGAAGATCGACCATCCAATCTAGTCAATATCAGCTGGAATCAGATAACATTCCTTTGCGATCGCAAGGTCTAGAGGGCACTTGATAAGAGATGCGTATGAGCGCATAAACCCTATTGCAATCGAGCTATCGAATACCAAAGCGGCTGGCTCGGGAATTTTGGGAACAAGGGAAGAGTTTTCCGACGATAATACTGGCTTCAGAGGCTGTAGATACCGTACCCAAAACTCATAGTTCACCAAATACAAGGGTACAGGCTTGATGTAGATCTTGTTCTTGTTCCAAATGAGATGGAGTCGCGGGTCTTCGGTTGGGATAATGGCGCGTCCCTTGACCTTTTGCGTATGCAGCGCGTCGATATGACGACCAGATTTCTTTGCAACTAGCCACAGGTGGGTGTACAGCTCATCCAGGAGCGGGGTTGCTAATTCATTGGAAAGATGATCATGGACCTGACTGCGTAGAAGGCCGACACCAGGATTTCCTGGAATATATTGTATAGTTTTTGCCTCGCTCTCCGATTGTGCCGAATCATCTTTCGCGCCGAGAGGGCATTCCAGGAGCTCTGTATCCAGAGCACACGATGCAGGGAATGGAGCGCCTGTATAAGTAGACATAGCACCTCAACGGAACCTGGTCTAGGGGTTGAATTCATATCTTTCTCAGAACTGCACACCGCGGAGAGGCTGGTAGGGCCTTGGAATACACAGCCCCTACTTGAATCGGGCGGAGCGCTCTCTTAGACACCAATTATATCAACTGGTCTAGCGCCTGCAATTCAGCCGCAGATGGCTGGACTGCGCAGCTGGAAACAACCCAACTTATCGAAATCGTATAGCTGCTATGTTCTCGTGATCCAGCAACTATTTACCTACTCAGATTTAAAGTCATTTACGACCCTCTGCTGCTGAATACCGATTCCAACCGCCTTCGCCGGTCAAAGAGGGGCAACCCATGCGGCAGAGCCAAATCATCAGCTATGAATCAACCCACGATCCCGTATCTACTCACTTTCGTTCTCTCGGTCGCATTCATCTATTATCGGGTCACCAAAAGAATTCCGAGCCGGCTCATTGCCGATCAAGCTCCAAGGTCGAGATTCGAGCTTGTCCCGGTGAAGAGCTACAACGTGCCCGCGCGTGCTCGTGGGGTAGAGTAAGAATATACCCTATTGAATGTTTCGATTTTGCTGACATAAATAGCATCATATTTGTTCATGGTCTCGGGTCCAACCCTGACACGACGTGGCGAGCGAGAAGATCCACGAACACTTTACACCCAATCGAGGAAACCCGACCGAACAGTGAAAAATACGTGAACTGGGTCAGCGACTTTCTTCCAAGTGACATCCCCCAGAGGTCCGTAAAGATGCTCGCATCTTTTTCTATAATTATGACTCATATTGGAAGAGGGATGCGGTCTATACGCGGCTCCAGAGCGTCGGCACCCATCTCCTTGAACATATTGACGGGCAGATCCGTCAGTCGAAGCATGTGAGTTTGGGCAACTCCTTCAACCCAGGCTTCTTGCTGATTATTCCGCGATAGGAGCAGGGTCGATACCTGATCTTCGTGGGACATAGCTATGGGGGTCTAGTTGTCAAAGAGGTTAGCGAACTGCTGTTCTTTCCATGGGACATAGCTAAATACAATAGGCGCTTATTCAAGCCAAACGGATACGCGAGTTCAATCAAATTGTGGAGCAAACAAGGGCGATATTATTTCTAGGTACACCGCATCGCGGGACTAGCTTTGGCCCTTGGGGTCGACTTGCAGCATTCGCCTTGCAACCGCTAGGATCTAATCCATTGATCCTGGCCAATCTGGAATACGACTCTCTCGTGTTGAGTGATTTACACGAACATTTCATAACTAGTATACGAGATGATTTGCAAGTGGTCAACTTTTATGAGCAGAGGCCGCTTTGTATTTTCCGACTATGGTTCTTTCGATGGCAAATATTTGTGAGTAGGCTTATAAAACTGTACGCAATATTACTAATACCTTTACCAGTGTGTTCCCGAGAGCTCGGCTACCTATCCTGGGGTCGGCAAAATTGGTCTCGCCGTTGACCACTACGGATTGAACAAGTTCGAGTCAAGAAATGAATGCTACAATAGCATCTTATCGAAGCTCTCCAGAATATTGACGCCTCTAGTTGAACCGACGAAGCACCTCTATTCTGTCCCGCTTGAGACAGTACAGACCTTTACTCAGCGTGATCAACTTTGGAAGGAGCTGGAAGAAAAGCTTCAAATACGGCACGAAAGCGCTAGCGTTCCATTTGCAGTCACTCTGTACGGATTAGGGGGGCGGGTAAATCTCAGTTAGCCCTAAAGTTTACGGAAAGTAATGTTAATCGGTTCAACCCGATACTTTGGATTGATGCAACACGTGAAGAGACTGTCCGATCCAGTTTCATAAGATGTGCTGCCGAAATCGGGCTTCCAGAAGAACAAGAAAAGCAACAGAGCACGGCTCTTATAGACGACCGCGTCATCCAAGGTGTACTTCGATGGCTTCGAGACCGGACCGAAGTGGATGACGAATGGCTAGTTATCGTCGACAATGCCGACGACTTCACTTGGGGCCTCAGGAAGCTTATGCCAAAGGGAACCCGGGGGAAAATTGTTATCACCAGCCGCGATGACCAAAGCCAAAAGTTGATCGATAGGGGCTGTGAACAAATTCGCATTGATGTTATGTCGCCTCGGGAAGCGAGACTTGTTCTTCTGCGCCACCTTTCAGATGATATTAACTTGCTGCCAAAGTCCGTACAAAATGACTGCGATGAGGTGGCGAATAAGCTTGGATATTTGCCACTAGCACTAGATCTTGCCGGTGCGTACATTGGTAATAGTATTGCCCCTGAACAATCCGTTAGGCAGTATTTGGAAGACTATATGAAGCATCGTGATGAGCTCTTGCAGATGAATCATCTTCGAGGGCTTTCCCCTACGGAAAGAACCGTTTGGACTGTATGGGATACCACCCTGGAGAAAATTGAAACGGAGTATACGCAGCTGCAGCCTGGTCTACTGTTGACATTCTTAGCACATTTCCAAGGTACCATTGTCCAGGATGAAATGTTTCGTTTAGCAAGTCTTGGCATGTCTGCTGTCGTCGACGAGTTCGGCGAAGGGGTTTCCACTGAGATCCGGATGTTTCTTCCGGAAACCGAAGGGAAATGGGACAACTTCACGTATCGACATAGCATAGATGTCCTCGCTCGCTACAGCCTAATACAGCGAGTGCACGGAGAGTGGCCTGGTACCATAATGCACAGCCTAGTTCAGTGGCGGGCAATTCATCGCGATCAAAATCAACAATGGGAGTGGTGGTACACCAAATTTATCCTTGCTGCATGCTCTCAGATTAAAGAAGAAGATCACCAGCCACAATTTCGTCGTCATCTTACTTTGCATGTTCCGGATGTGAGTAATATTGATCTGAGCTGCATAAAAAATATAGAAATGGGTGAGGTTTTCATCTGGAACACACTGGCAAGGGTGCACTATGATGAAGGCCGGTGGGAAGCGGCCGAGCAGCTCGAATTGCAGGTGATGGAGACTCGCAAGACGAAGCTCGGCGAGGACCATCCCGACACGCTGACCAGTATGGCCAACCTAGCGTCGACGTATAGGAATCAGGGCCGATGGGAAGAGGCCGAGCAGCTTTTTGTGCAGGTGATTGAGACTCGCAAGACGAAGCTCGGCGAGGACCATCCCTCTACGCTGACCAGTATAGCCAACCTAGCGTCGACGTTTTGGAATCAGGGCCGGTGGGAAGAGGCCGAGCAGCTCGAGGTGCAGGTGATAGAGACTCGCAAGACGAAGCTCGGCGAGGACCATCCCGACACGCTGAACAGTATGGCTCATCTCGCTTTCATCTGGAAATCTGCAGGCCACGATGCCGAAGCCATATCTCTGCTACGAGAGTGCTTGACCAAGCAGAAGCAAACACTCGGCCTAAACCATCCCACTACTTTATCTAATTCTGTAATATTGTTAGCATGGGAAACAGAAGTGGCAGGGGACACTGAAGGGGAATGGCAAACGGATGAGGAGTGGGAAAGTGATAGGCAATACTGAAGAAAGCGCTGAATACGGATGCTTAGTTCAAACGCTCAGCAGTTTATGTTCACAGTGCATTTTCTGCTTCATATGTACTTTTTAAACAACGTGCCATCATAGATTGGCGTAATGCGCACTCCTTGAAAGGGATTAACCCTTTCGCTCCATTCGGCTTCGTTAGAAAATCAATGAGACAAGTAGATGGAAATGTCGTCAATAAGCTCAAAAGGCTACAAGACGCAGGTATCCTTCGTAAGAGTATTACGAATAAATGAGTAATCGACATAACACGTGATAGAGCCTTTCAATACGATTCAATATTTAAAACAAAGCTGAGCGGGAAATAGGTTATCGTGTTTCGGACTAGGGTTCGAGATAGATTCTATAAGAGCAAAGTGGTGAAACTAATTTCGATCCATCCTGTAACAGTTGGTACGGCGGATGCAATGACAAAATCGCTAACGCAGTGCCAGTAATCATGCTTCCGTTGACTCTGGAGGAAGTAGCCAATCTCATTACTTAAGCGACAATTCTGACGGGTTTCCATGTTGTAAGGATCTTTTATCCGTTACACTAACATTGCTATTGTAGCTGCCGCTCTTCGAGGCGTAGCCAGTCTAACTTCTTGTAGTCTGGTCAAAATGATAATGAGAGGAGGGGGGCTGTGCTTGCCTCGTGCAATTGGGAAAATATGCCAAGCGCCGGTGTCTTGCATCCACTTACATCCATTTTCACCAATGGATCATCGACACATAAATACGCTAGAGCGAACAAAGTAGCCACCTAGATACTTCTATAGAGAATGATAGGGTCTGAAGGCACCTGAGTGATTCTATGACGTAAGGGCAAGGAGGGAAGCCTAATAGGCAAAAAGGCAACTCGGCGGCGAAGTAGACATAGCCTACTGCGTAGTTGGTCTCCCATTAATGATTACGGTATCCACAACTGATGCAGGGGTTTTGTGAGAGAAATAAAAAAAAGAAAAAGGAACAAAAAGGAGAAGAGGAAAATCTTTCATTCCCGTTTTCTTTTTTTTCAGTTGTTATTGGCATGCATGCCCTGCCATGGGATAGGAGCACGCGATTGGGGGAGGGAGTGTCGGGATCAGCGGGCTGCTCCGGGCCGTTCATCTAGGTAGCGATCGCCATGGGGCCAAACTGCTGGACGTTTCGAGAAAATTAATCTAGTTCATTCTCTACGTGAAGATCTAGCCAGAAGAGACTACGTGCTAGATAAGCTATCCAAGAGTAGGCTGAGTGCTCATTGGCCCCCAGATCCCTTTGGAATCATGGATGGTTCTTTTCCTCCACCAGTCTCACGCTCTCAGCCTTGCTACCTTCAGACTCCACTCATTTTGATATCAATTTTACGCGGCAATACCTTTGATCATACCCGAACCCGCCGCTAAGTGCGACGGGGCCCGAAAACATATTTTAACCACTATGCGCGGACTAAGCCCGGGGCTGCCTTGACCAACCCATGTAACTCTTAGATCGCTTGAGCTAGACTTATTACACTGGGTGATCAGGAAGTGGTACTTTGCATGCCGTGGCTTAGGTCTGTTCCTGTGAAGCGAGTCAAAAATCAAGAGCCTGATCCTCATCTTGATCATCACCTTTAAGCCAGAAGGTAGTGTGCCCTTAAGTGCAACATTTTGCCGATGCCTTCTATACGGAGAGCTGCATAACGTCTTCTAAGTAAAAACTCTCTCATCAAATTTGTATCAATATGCTTGCATTAGCAGGGTAGCTTAGCATACATCTTGCGAGCTAATCAAAACCATCACCAACGGCGCTACAGGTGAGAAATATCACAAACAATTGGTTTTCCTCTGTCTATCTTTGGTCCCGATCTAAAAATAAAACGAGAACGAAACAAAATACGATAAATAAAATCCCAATTTGTTATATCAAGTACACGATCCAGTAACACACCCTTGTTCTTATCCGACAGATATGGGAATACCTCGGCGACAAGTGGGGTATTTTAAAGAGAGAAATCTGTGATAATCGTAATTATGGGTACATAACAGGAATATTTTTGCAGTCTGGGATGCAAGGACTATTTTCTCTCGTTGAACCTTTTGAGCCAGAACGTAGGAATCTCTCTGTGACCATCGAAATATCCAACTCAACCCCCGATGCCGCGGAACCTCCTCTGGCGGCTGACCACATGAGGCTAGTGAGAGCCACGAACCCTTGGGGGGTGGCCGGGGGAGAGGGGCCCACATACCAACCATGCACTTCAGAGCCAATTATTCTTTCGTATTGCGACATAGACCTGGCCACCTAACTTAGCAGCGCTAGCAGCTTCAGATCATTCCAGTGGCGCAGGATTATGCGCTGGTCTTAGCTTGAAATAGCCCGCCAATGAGGTCGACACCTGACCATTGATGGGACTGGAAAATACGCCAGTCGTGCTTTCTCAATCAAGAATGCTAACGCATCTTACATTGCTATCCATCAGGAGTCAGGAGATAGACAATGGATCAACAAACATGAGCTGCTACCCACAATCTCTAAAACTTCACATTCATAGGTCGCTAGAGAGGAATGGCCTGAGCAACAACCAATGTATAATAAAACACCAGCGCAGAAGGTGAAACTAGCCCAACATTAGTGTTGTTACATCGCATATTAGTTCTGTGCCCCGAAATACCGTTTTCTTCTGAATTAAAGATATATATAGTTTCCTAACCTGTCTAAAAAAAAGTGGCACATGTTACACAAATTCAGCGTACTGGCAATATCCACTGATGTTTTCATTAATCTTTGAAAAGTCTCTGCAATGTCGACCTCACGATTTATGCGGGTCCCAACCGCTCATAGAGCCTTTTCGCAGTCATAATGCACGCTACCTTTCTATCCCCGATAAAAGTCACCCCAATGGCTCGCGCGATGAAGCCGTTGCAACGAAGCTACTGTATCCAACCAAGCCCTCAACTGGAAGCAAGGTACAGTTGAAGGGGATGAGTCACCTCATCGCAAAACTAGAGATTACTTCGCAAGTTCTCGTCGCTCAAGGAGAGGAACCAGCTGAAGAAAACAAGCGGAAGCATCAAGCCTTAAAGACGAAACCAACACCAAAACTAAATCGACGCAGAAAGAGTAACCAATTGTCCTCCAACGATAGGTCTGATAAGCATGATATGGGTGAACACTTCAAGGTTCTATCGCCAGAAGATGTCAGCTCCTTCTCATTCATTCTCGAACCAAACACGAGCAAACGGTTTTGTCGAGAGAAGATCGAATTATGGTTGCCGAAAAACCCACACGAAATAACGACGGACTTCTCTCGTCCAGGAATGGTACTTCTTAGACCACAGGCTTTGATACATGCTACTTCTAAGACGGCTAAGAAGAGTTCTCCATCTAAGAAAGTTTCAACTACCCAAAAGTCTGGTTTGGGTACTTTCGTGGAACCACGCATTTCAACAAATCTACCCATTGGTAAAATTACACGGTCTGGTGGTCAGGGAAAGGAAACACAAGAGTGTTTGAGTTTGAACGAGGTCAATCCAATCCAAAAATTCAAACCCTACACCTCAAAGCTCACCCCCGCAACCTATCTGAGAGTCTTAGGGAACTTCTTATAAAGCCTCTCTCGGCGAGTGATTTGAAGTTTAAGGGTTCGATGTATATATTTTGGCAACAAGGCAATTTTGGATACCTTAAGATTGGACGCTCGGTGGATGTTCGTCGCCGTTTCAGGGAATGGTCTAATCAATGCAAGAAGAATATGGGAATTCACTTTCCAGACTTCGCACGAGAGACAAGCGATGGCCAGCGAGTTTTGAAAGAGGTTGCCCATATTTGTCGTGTCGAGGCTTTGGTTCACCTAGAATTGTTGGAGCACAGAAAAATCGAAGAGAAATGCCCAGGCTGCTCTCGGAACCACAAAGAGTGGTTCAAAATCCCAGATGAAAGAGCGTTAGCTGTTGTGCAGAAGTGGATGGCTTGGATGGGGACGGAGCCGTATGAGAAACGAGGAACGGGAGGTGAAGAAAAATGGGAGCTAAAAGCCAGAGAAATGGAGCGACTAAGCTCTCTTAGCCAACCTTTGTTTCCCGAATCGGTCCCAAAATCTCAGGCTCAGGAACAAAGACTGGCTTCTCTTCGTCCTAGAGCTTCCTCTTCAGCCCCATGGCGAGGTGGAAAGGACAAATTGGGACGGAGATCAATTTAGCTTATACTTCACAGTCTACCCTTAAGCCGCTATCTGTGGCAGGTACGAATCCTGGGTTGCGCGAAATAAAAGTGGAGACATAGTTTTCAACCATGGTCGAATACCTTTTTAAACGCCATGGCGGATATCGGATATCAGACCCGTGGACCACAACCCACATGGGTACTAGCAGAAGGTTCATCTAATCAATCTACAGTGCACTAATCTAGGCTAGATTAAAAGAGACAATCCCCCACTAATGCCCGATCAAATCTCAATCATACTGAGCATGCAGCAGGCTTACCAGCACCTTATCTGAATTGAGAGTAGTTCAATGGGGCTCAAGGGGGGTGGGAACGACGTTTTTGTACGGCATTCGATACATACGCATATGTACTCATGCCTCAAGTGGAAGACAATCAGTGGTGCTAATTAGCCTCTCGAGACGACTATATATCCTCGCCACATCCTTCGGGTTGAGCACCTAGAATCTTACATTCGGGCAGGGAAAGAAAGCCCATCTTGCCCAAAGACATAAGCCCAGAAAGTACAATATATTTCGTAGAAAAGATATGAACTAGATATAAAATACACATGTGAATGTCGATTGATGGGGCGATGGTACTATGAAAGAAGATGTCTAGTAACGAGAGGAGATGGGAACCACTACAAGGAAGAACTACAGAGCCTATTTTTTTTTAGTGATAATGAAATGAACCGAGGCGAGAATTGACATTTACTTGACACGGATAAATATGCTAATCTAGCAGAACTTTCCTGTTATTGATACTTGGTCGAAATGGAAAGCGGACATAAATAGCTTCTTGATGGATGATGATAACTCAGATTTACTTTGATCAGATATTTAGCTTTTCAAAAGTATGTATACCGAGACAACTATCATCTCAACTCGATATTGTATCATAAATTCCAAGGGTTTCTGTTCGCTCCACATGGTGATGTAAAATCACAGGAAAAAAAAGAATGTACAAACAAAAAGAACACATCCAAATGTCGTTTCGAAGCCGTAAATCATATAAACATCCCTGCAACACCAACTGCCAATCCAAAGACCAGATCATGGAGACTCGACATTCGCGCAGGAGAGGCATCATTTCCATTCGCATCCGCACTACCAGTCTGTGTCGCAACGCTGCTACAGTACGCCAAGTTGATACCATGGCAAGCCTCCGCACTCAAGCTCGAGCAAATGGAAGTCGCCTGCGACGCAGCCGTGACAGCCTGAACTGTCTTGCCTCCCCCGGCGGCGCCAATAGTGACGCCGTAGCGGCCCATCAGATTGCCAGTGCACTGTGTGTACTCAGACTGACACACGGAGTAGTAAGACGAGCAAGTTTCGGGATTGTTGAAAGTAGTCGGGACAACAATAAATGGGTATGCGCCGTCCAATGTTGACCCGGTAACAGACGCTGCCCCGCTCTCCGTGGTGGTCGCAGTTGCGCCGCTGGGGAACATAAACACGGTGTCTGTACCTGTCGTCTTCGTGCCTGTTAGACTGCCGGTGCAGCTTGCACCGCTCGCACAGCATGCAATGTTGTTGGCATCATCGCGCGAGCAGTTCGTTCCCTGCTTACAGCATGCATTGGAGTTTCCCAGTTCGGTGCAGGGGTTGAAACCGCTCGGGCAATTGTTTTCGTCTCGTCTGAGGATGCGGAGGACTTCAAAGGCTCGTTTGTTTACTGTGGCCTTTTCTGCTGCGGTGAAGGGTGCTGTCTCTGTTGAGTGGACGGTCGAGGTGAGGAATGTGGCGGCAATCCAGATCCACCGGGAAGCCCGCATTCTTGGAGTCTGAGGCGGGGTTGGAATGGTTGGTTTGAAGGAGTGGACTCGAGGCCTAGGTTGAATCGATTGAATTGGGTGTGTTAATGGTTTATTCTCATACTTCGTTTCGTCGTTGGGGGCGTTATCCGAGGTTGGACTCGGGTGTCAACAAACTACTCAAAGGAGTTAAATTAGCTTTCATCGGTCGCGAGGGGTATAATTGAAGACTCAGTGCTTGAACATACCTGGATATTTGCAGTCTGAAGGAAAATTTTAGGGATTCTAGAAAAGATCAGAGCTTAAAGAACAAATGATGTAGTTCCTCCGTTCTTAGGTCAGGTCACAAATCTCCACCGGGGATGCCCCAGCAACCGCAGCCCGACCCTCTAAACCCGAAGCCCAAGGGTATATTAATTTTCCTATATTAATTTCTATTAATGGGAGCAATGGTAATATGTATTAAACCGATTTTAATCACTAAAATATAATCTGTGAAACAAAACGTGGAACACAATTTGGCACCCAACTACTGAATACTGCAGCTAAATTGTTACTTGGGTGCATCCAAGGTTGATTGGGCATCTAAATATATTTCGATAAACCACTGGATATTACCAGTCAGAAGATTTAAACTGAATCCATAATCTATTCTCGCACTATCTGTACTCCGTATAGGACTTATCAATTGCTCACCCCCACACCGTCTCTTCCTACTAATTCTCCCGCCGATCTATCAGTCTAATCTCTGAGCCCGCCTTTTCACTATCGTATCCGCACCGGCGATCCGACGCTATGTATAGCTCCGTGGGAATCGGATTATTCTTGTGAAATGGCACCTCATCTCTTGGCCCAAGGGAAAGACATCGAAATTTCCCCCCAGGACAGACTGTACGGCTGCTGTCTGTAGCGGCGAGGAGTAGGACAGGCGGGATATTCAATTTATTGCCGATCCCTCCAGGTCGCGACGCACCCTTATAAACCTCTACCGAGCCGTGAAAGCCACGGTGTCGTGCAAAACTTCCAAACCAGGCGCGATAGCTTTAAAACGGGGATTCTTCACTCTCATTAGAATCGAACAAATATAGCACTCCGGTATAGACACCGCATCGAGGTCTATATCTGTGAAAAGTGGCGCATCTCTAGAGATAGACAAAAATTTCCAGGATATCTAGGTTATTGTCCTCATCTAGAAAAATTTCGTCAACCACCTTCATTGAAATATCATTCACCCAGTAAAAGAAGCCTAGCTCAGGCGAGTATATCGAATCCAGGAAGGAATTAACTGACGGGTGGAGACATTCGCGAACAGCCTGTGCACCTCTATCTGCAAAAACGAAAGGTTGACTAGCTAGCTCTCTTGTTTGTGGCGAACCATCTATCTATACACAACCAGGTAGTTGTGTAGCCTCGCACAGCGTTCGTGATCGAGGGAGCCATTGAGGTACGCGGGGGTTGGCCACCGACACTAAGAATCTTAAATTTTGAGGACCTGCTGCGGTATGGCACTCGTGGTGAATCCGGGTGGTGATGCTTAGAGAGGGAAAACTTGAGATTCAAATGCGATGCACTGGGACAACAGGGAGCTAAACCTAAAAAAAGGAAAACATCCAGAAAAGGAAATTCACAAATGTATGTTGGTTTCTCTCATTGGGGTACCCCAGTGTCTGACATGTGAGGGGTGTTAGGTCGGAAACGTGCCCTTTTTTCCCTTTCCAATGTTGTCTTATATCATCTCCTAATTTATTTCCTGGCTATTATACCCCTACACTAGACCTAAAGTTGTCATGGCTTCTACCGAGCCCCCCAACATCCCTGTGGTGGACTTTGCTGGCTGGAACACAGAGTCCAGTCGTCAGCGAATCGCCCAGGACATCGTCGCTGCCTGCAAAACAGTGGGCTTTGTATACATCATCAACCACTCATTGCCAGAGTCGATGTTAGACGAGGCATTCAACTGGTCGAAGCTATTTTTTGAACTGCCACAAGACGAGAAACTCAAAGCACCACATCCAGAGGGATGGGCGGTTCACAGAGGGTATTCTTGGCCTGGGCTGGAGAAGGTGTCACAGGCGATGAGTACTGGTAATGACCAGGAAAGGGCGGACCAGCTGAGAGAGGTTACAGACATTAAAGTGAGAACCCACTGTGTTTGTTCACGACCTCATACATCCCAGTCAACACCGACTTCATCTATGCATAATTCTGAGCTCCATTGACTTGCCACAGGAAAGCTATGACATAGGAAGCGACCAGAATGCCACCCAGCCTAATCAATGGCTGCCCGAACACACTCTTCCTGGATTTCGTGACTTCATGCTCCGCTTCTACTGGGAGTGTTTTCGTGTCGGAGGGGAGGTCCTACAAGCGCTTGCTGTTGGTTTGGAGCTAGACGAGAACCATCTGCTTGAGAAGCACTCGGGTCATAATAATCAGCTGCGCCTACTACACTATCCGTCTATCCCGGCAGAAGCAATTGAGACAGAGCGTGCAGCCAGATGCCCCGCACATACCGATTGGAGCTCGATCACCTTGCTGTTTCAAGATGATTGTGGTGGGTTGGAAGTCGAGGATGTTTCATCACCGGGCAAATTTGTCTCTGCTACGCCAATCAAGAATGCAATTGTGATGAATGTGGGAGATCTTTTGCAGAGGTGGAGTAATGGTCTGTCGCTCGGTATCCTCCTGGTCTGCCCTCAACTGCTAACTTGTATAGATCTTCTGAGGTCTACCAGCCATCGAGTCACCTTGCCCCCTCTTCCTGATAGGTTCGAAGGAGCTGATCGTATGACCCGTAGACGGTTCTCTATCCCGTATTTCATGGCACCGGAACCTGACTCGGTGATTGAATGTATTCCATGTGTCGGAGAAGGTGCTGCAAAGTATGAGCCGATCACACAGGCTGGATACAACTAAATGAGGGCTTCTATGCAGTACTAATAGTAGTATCAATTATTCGCTCACCTTTTTGGCATCGAAAATAATTCCATTGGTCACTTTCCCCCGATTCGTCTAGAATTGAAGCCATTGTGCTCCTTCCCGATTTCTTTACCTTCCTCCTTCCTCTTTGGCTGTCTTTCGTGGCACTTCAACCTTTTACACAACATCTAATATATTACTCCCACTTCCAATGTACTTCTTATTTCTTTCTTTCGGAGGTAAAGAGCCTTTGCCCAAGAAGTGACTTCATACTTGACCTTGGCGCCGATCACTCCACCTGACTAAGAGCCAATCTTGGCGTTCGCCGAAATGGATCAAAGTCGCGTCCCTCACCAGGACCCCGACCGCGTGGCCACCATGTACGGCGAACTCGGCAACAAATTGGTACGTGAACTATGGATTTATACTGTCTCCGGGGATTGCCAATCCAAACCCCAACACCGACCAACAAATAACAAACACAAGAGAGAAAAGCAACCCGCTGACCAACACCTTACCCGCGATAGGTCCAACACGCCAAACGCACCCAATCCCTCGCCCATCTACCCCCCTACCAAACAGAGATCGTGCGCGCAGTAAGCCGCGAAGTCCGCGATCTCGACCGCGATGTCACGCGCCTCCTAGAGCCCTTCGAGGGCGCATTCAACCCCTCAGCCGACCCAGCCATCGCCTGCGCCCTACTCGTCGACCACCTGTGCATGCGCCGGAACAAGCGCTGTCTACTCGCGTACCACCGCGTGCGCACAGAGAAGCTCGAGGAGCTTTGCTGGACGGGAGTGGATATCCTCGAGCAGCAGCAGCCGTCCGAAGACGGTGGGGTGGCTCAGCACACGGCTCTCGGGGCTAGCGGGCATAGCTCGCTAAGTCCTGAGGAGGAGGAGTATTTTCGTCAGTACGGGGATATGCTTGCTGCGTATAAGGGCCAGTGGACGGATGTTGATTTGACGGGGACGTTGGAGCCGCCCAAGGATTTGTTTATTGATGTACGGGTGTTGAAGGATGCTGGTGAGATCCAGACTGAATATGGGTACGTATTTTCCCCCTTCTCCCTTTCTTTCTGGTATTGTTTGGGCATCCGGTGGCTAATTCGGGTTCAGTGTGATCAACTTGACTAAGAACAGTCAACTCTATGTTCGTCAAGGTGATGTGGAACGGCTAATTGCTCAGGGTTTCCTGGAGCGGTTGACTTGAATGTGAGTTGGGACTACCTGGCTGCTTCGGGTTCTATATGAGTACAAGAAACATGAATTGGCGTTGGCTATCTACAGTGGTTTTATGAAGGGACCATGTACTTTGAGATACCCCCGCCGTTAGCGTGTCTAGACCTAACGGCCAATATGATTTTCTGCATTGCAATAGTGTGACACCAGTCTGGTTATGTACGACTGCTGGTTTGATGGCTATTTTTTTATTTTTTATTTCTATCGAAAGTATTCTCTAGGGCTAGATTGGCCTATGGTAAAAGACCAATCGAGGTGGAGCCTACCAAGGTACCTAGGTAGGTAGATCCAGTCTAGACAATCACCTCGGAAAGGCGAGACAAAATTAAGCTATCGAGGGTAATTTGTCCGAAGCTAAGTAGTATTTTTACGTACCCTTGGAAATATCGACCAATAACCATACAGCTCATTGGCTCATGGCCTTATGCAAGCAAATAACAAGGCTGAGGCTACTGCATGGTACCAATGCCGATCATGTGTATAGCACTGCGTCCGACTACGGAGATGTAGCTTGCTAGATGCTATCTTTGATTACGTATGTAGTTTCAAAGGTCAAGTTTAGTCGAGTTTAGTCTTGATTTAGTGCAGTAGTGCATATGTAGAGACCAGAGGTGGGACACATGAAATGGCCTGAAATGCCCTCCCGGGCTAGTCTCTCTCTGCACAGACCACCTCCCACTTATCCTCATCTGTACCAGTCCGGATGTGGTTTAGCTCGACTGTTAGGGAGATAAGGGCCGTTTAGTCAAAAACTCCGGTACCTCGGGGCTTTCTTTTTCTATCTGGTCCGTTGCTAATTCATATTTGTGTTGATAACTATACTCCGTTCTTCCCTCTGATATACATATAATTCACAGCCCCCTTCTGTGAAATGCTCGTCTCGGTTGCGTCATTTGTTTGTCTAAACGGCCGCATGCGCTAGTGGCACCCGTTTTATCTTCCGAATTTCCTAACTTTTTCGACTTCATCACTTGGTTGGACGGCAATTGCGTGAGAAACCATGGGGGTTTTGCAACCTCGTGGCCGTCGCGACTCCCGCGCATCAGCTCTATCACGCAATCTGATGTTTGACCGCGACATCTATGGTAACGCCCCGTCAGAATCGCTGGTGGAACATGCAAATCTAGGCAGCCCGCCCGGTCCAATGGGAGCGGAATCATCCAGCTACAATGGATCGACAACGAGAACACCAAATCGTTCATTTTACCACCGGTCCTTCAACAGCAATATGGGTGGGTCATTGTGCATATTGTATAGTTAGAGACGACATCGCGCGATTTTTTTACTGACTATTTGACCTATCGCAGATCCAGCTCATTATGCTTCGGATGGTCTCCGTGACCAAACCGCGGAACTCGCGACCTATGGCCTATCGCTGAATAAAAAATCCCTCTTGAAGGACGGGCCCGGCTTACCCCCCAGCCTTGATATATTCCACAGCAGCCAGAATTCTGCAAGTTGCTCCCAGGATGAAGCTACAAGCTCTCATACTACCGCGGGGGAGGGGTTTTTGGAGCCAGGATATGCCTCTGTCGATCCTGCTTCGGCTTCAGGCTCTTCGGCTTTGACAGAGATGATTCGCCGCCCATTGAAGGATACGGAGGAGGACCAGGTCACGCAACCCGGGACCGATGATATCTCCTTCCCTCCATCGTCAACAATCTATGACGAACCCGAACGAGACAATGAGCACACTTCGTTATTATCCAAGTCACGATCCAAATCTACACAAAATTACGGGAGTGCAGGCGATGCCGAGAACCAAGGCCCGCCTGTCCAACGGTCTCCAAACCTAATAAAGAAAGGAATTTCATCTGTCGCTCACTATAGTCGGACCCTATCGAATCCAAAGTCATGGGATAGGCGAGCCATATGGAACGAGGCTGTGGTATACCCCGCCAGTTTGGTTCCTGCCGTATTGCTAGGACTACTGCTCAACATTCTTGATGCCTTATCCTATGGAATGATCTTGTTCCCTCTGGGAGAACCCCTGTTCGCTCACCTGGGAACTGACGGTATCTCGATGTTCTATGTCAGTACTATCATTTCCCAAGTGGTATTCTCCTGTGGAGGCTCGATCTTCAAAGGAGGAATAGGAAGTGAAATGATCGAAGTAGTACCCTTCTTCCACCAGATGGCTTTCACCATCATGAATTCAATCGGCAAAGACAATCCGAAATCGGTGATTGCAACGACCATCCTAGCCTTCTCGGTGAGTTCAATTCTCACCGGCTTGGTGTTCTTCTTAATGGGTGTCTGCGGGCTGGGCTCGCTCATTGGCTTCTTTCCCCGTCATATTCTCATCGGGTGTATCGGTGGCGTGGGCTACTTTCTTCTACAAACTGGAGTGGAGGTTTCAGCCCGGCTTCCCGGGACTTTTGAGTACAACCTTCCCACGATCCAGAAACTTTTCCACCTTGATACTTTCCCTCTTTGGATGATACCCCTGTTCCTTGCAATTGGCCTTCTTGTTCTCAAGCGATTTGTTCGCTCAAACTTCCTTGTTGGTGGGTACTTCATTGCCGTCGCTGCTGTGTTTTACATTGTTATTTTAAGCGCTAGGATCTCTATGGGTGCTCTGCGCCACAATGGATGGGTTTTTGCTGCTCCATCTTCCAACAACCCGTGGTATCATTTCTATTCTCTTTATGGTGAGTCAACCCACTGCAATACTTTGGGAGTTGCCCTGCTGATTCATTACAGATCTCTCCGAGGTCAATTGGACTGCCTTTGGTGAAACAATCCCGGCCATGTTTGCCTTGACCTTCTTTGGTGTACTTCATGTGCCCATCAACGTGCCCGCTCTCGGCATTTCCACCGGTGAAGACAATCTCAATGTGGACAGAGAGCTCATGGCACATGGCGTGACAAATGCACTTTCAGGATTCGTGGGAAGCATTCAGGTATGTGACCGCCAATGATAGAGCCGTGGTCAATAAGCTAACGAAAGCAGAACTATCTTGTCTATACCAATAGTCTTCTCTTCATTGCCAGTGGTGGGTCATCTCGGTTGGCCGGTCTGATGTTGGCCGCAGCCACTGCAGGTATTATGGTCATCGGCCCAGTCATAATCGGCTATATTCCCATTATGGTTGTTGGTGCCTTGATTTTCTTGCTGGGCATTGAGCTTTTGCAGGAGGCATTGGTGGACACATGGGGGAAACTCACCCGGCTTGAATATCTAACCGTTGTCATTATTGTCGTTACAATGGGCGCTTTGGACTTCGTGGTTGGAATTTTTGTTGGAATCCTTTTGGCTTGCGTGAACTTTGTCGTCCAAACATCTCGCAAATCCGCCATTCGAGCAACATTCTCGGGCGAAATTTCCGGATCGACGGTTCGACGTCCTCCTATTCAGCAACAGTTCCTGCGTGAGGCTGGACAGCAGACCCTGATCATCAAACTTGGTGGATATCTCTTCTTTGGAACCATCGTGAATGTCGAGAACACCATGCGTGGCCTGATCGAGGAGGAAGCCTTCGACCGGCGCCCCATTCGATTTGTCATTCTCGACTTTTCTCGAGTCTACGGACTCGACTTCTCAGCAGCAGAAGCATTCACCCGCATCAACCGCGTTCTTCAAAAGCGCAACGTACAGATAGCCATCTCCGGCTTGAATGTCGAGGGTGATGTAGGGAAGTCCCTACAAAACGTAGGACTTTTCGAGCCAGAGTCCGGCGTCCCCATTTTCGAAGACCTCAACTCAGCCCTTGAGTTCTGCGAGAACAACTACCTGAAAGTCTTCTACAGCCGCCAGGAAGCACTCGCCACACCCACCGACCCAACCGCAAACTCCGAGCTCCTCCAAGTCCCCACCTCAGTCCCTGTGCCCTCCGGACCCAAACCCCCCACCCTCGCCGACAACATCGTCAGCTCACCCCGCCGCCAGTACCTGCAACGCGTAGCAACCTCAACCATTCAAGCCCACGAAACAGCAATGATGGCCTCCCCCGCCTGGTCTGCCATGCGCCAACCACTCCCCCTCCTCCTCCAAACCTTCCAAGGCCTCTCAACCGAAAACGAAGACTTTTGGTTCCCCGCCTGTGCCTACTTCTCCCGCGAATCCTACCCCGCCGGCACAGTCCTGTACCACGAAGGCGACGCCCCGCGCGCCTTCTACCTCCTCGAGTCTGGCATGTTGCGCGCCGGCTACGATCTCCCCCAAGGCCGCTACTTCGAGCTCATTGTCGCTGGTCGACCGTGCGGCGAATTGCCCTTCTTCAGTGATACGCGCCGCACGGCGACGGTCAAGGCTGAGCGCGATTGTGTGGCTTGGTGTTTGACGGGAGTGCAGTGGAAAAAGCTGCAGGAGAAGGAGCCGCGCATTGCTCGTGAGCTGTTGACTGTTAGCTTGAAGCTGACGACTGAGCGCATGGATAGTATTACCTCGTATGTTTTGACGATGGCGGCTTGATTTTTTTTTCTTTTTTGGCTTGTTCGCTGTTTGCATCTAGCTTGGTGGTTATCTGATCGAGTTGTTGGACCTCGTTTTCTTAATGTTGATATTCCCGGACTTTTTGGTTTACATATTCATCAGTACATAGCAGCTGAAGCATGCATGCATATCGATTTTTTTTTATAACACAAAACTTCGCATTTAGCGTCTGTTGGGTAACTGATCTCATTATATGCTTGAAGGTGTCTAGCTAACCAAGAGAGAGAGAGAGAGCAAGGTCCTACCCTCCTGAGGTAGAAATACTGCCTTAACATAATACGTCATTTCATGATCCAAGCAAGGAGGGGGGGGTCCGAAATTCGTTCAAATTCCAAAGCAAATCCCGTGTAATTTCCAATACCCAGGTATCATTCGGCCTAGGAAGCCCGTGAGGAGATTTTTCGGCCCTTGCAATGCAGCCGATGCCATCTCTCCTGACGGGTCGCTGGTGACTCCCGCACAGGTCGGCCCATCTGCTTCCGGTACTATACACAACTCTGCCATAGCAGCTCCAAGATCCTCATAAGAAACAGCCGGGCCCACATAAGTCTCGGAAATTGTGTAGTCTGACCTTTTCCCTTCTAGTAGCAAGGGAGGTTGGACTAGCGTCAATGTCAAAAGCGACTTGTTCGACAAAAGAATATCCTCCGCAACTGCCAAGTCTGCATAGATATAATTGCATGCGTTCATAACCGCCCAATGTAGCACCCAAGGACGTAACGATACGAACTGATCATTCAGCGAAGCAGAGGAAAGAAACGTGAGACGTGGACGTTTCCATGTGTTTCCTCCCTCTTTCTTCAGCTCATCCAAGGCTGCGACAATCGTCGATGCGGTCTCCTGAATCATTGAGATGCCAGGTTCATTGTTGTTGGTCCCGATGGTGCACACGATAAATGATGCCTCGGAAAGGCAGCTCTTGACTGCTGCAATGTCGTTGGGAAGTCCTTCGTCTATGGCTACCCGTGGATGGAATTGAATGTCAGGTATCAGGCCTTCGAGCCTTTCTTTGGAACGCACGAGAAGGTGGAGATGGTAAGACTCGGTTTCGTTTTCTAGCAGACTTTTCACGACGACACGGCCTGTTCGACCTGTAGAGCCAAGGATGGCGATTTTTTGGGGCATCATAGCTAGCGGGAGGGGTTGAGGCTTCAAAGATGGCGAGTTAATTGTACATCTTCGGACGACTCTTTCTACGCAGTTATACCTGTCCGTTCCAAGAATCATGCTTTTCATTAATCATCAAAGTGCCGGCCCCGAGGGCGAGACCGAAATGCGCAATTATAGACATGGAAATTGCGAATCCTTCCCGATTTGACCGCATGTCCGACCACAACGGGAAAGGTGTATTTAGCCTCGGAAGGAAAGGGATCCCGAGCCCATTCCAAGTTATTCATGTCACTAGATAAAACCATATAGCTTGTATCAATATAGCTAAAAGCAAAGTCGATATGGCATCGATGACCATGAAATCTCCCAATTATACTTCACAAAGCGTTGACCAAAGTCCGAGATATCCAGGTTGAATCTTCATAGCATGAGAAGGAGGAAGATGGACTTTGATGTTTGTCTGGGGGAGTTGATAGATGGTGTTGGAATACAATAAAGGGGCTGTATGTAGAAATAAATAACTATAATTCGAGATTCATCTGCCATGAAGCGCTTCCTATAAAGCCTTGGTACACAAATTTTACTTTACGGTAAGTGATGACAAGCAAGTTCTGTAGGAACATAAATGTTGGCCACGCTAATTCCCCATCGAACAACAGAGAACTCCTGGACAAGACCTCGTAGACACTCTACTCCTTGTTTGTCACCGCCATAGGCATGAAGTCTATAAAAGCCCCCCACGATGGCCAATACTTTCTCATTCCTTGCCACCACTTCACTCTGGACATCTTTCTCCTCTCACATTTTGGTAGCAATCTTCTTTATCTACCAGACATCTGGACAGGATGACCACAGCTTGGCTACTGCTATCTAAAAGCGACTTTGTCAATCCGGATGTATTGAATGCGGTGAATCCGCATCCACGCTGGGGCTATGTACACGGTGAGTATAGAATAGAAGAAATTTGTTCTGGAATAGCAATATATTGAACCCTAATAGGGCCTATTCCAGATAACAATCCCGACTGGAAATGCAAAAGGTCCAACGGAGAAGGAACGAGGCGTGAGCAGGCGCGTACTCGTAGGCCACAAGCCCCCATGGTCACGCTGAATCGTTATAGCACATTTGTGTATTATATGAGTTCTCCAATTTTCTATCAGATCTAGGCTAATGAAATAGTTGTGATATCACGGTTCAAGACGCTCAAATGTGCGGGATCAGTTTCGATCAAAAAAGCAGTCTCACCCGTCACATTCGTACCGTCCATCCCGGTGCCGGTGCGTACATACATTGCGTTGTTTCAATTCTGTCCATTCCAAGTTTATACTGATAATATATAGTCAACCTGCCACCTAGCTCCTACGTGACCACCGAGGAAAAGATTTCTGGAAATAACGCGATGAAACGCTGGGTGTTGATGGGGGGCTGGCGTGGTGCCCTTTATTTCACCGAACCTAACCGGAAGAACGTTTCTGTCTCTCTCCTTGGCTATTATTATGATGTGTTGAAGGGAATTGCGTGGGTCTCTTCTGCTACTCTCTGGGGTAATAAATTATTATGCATGTACTTATGACATATTCGACTAGGCACACTGATGCTCAGTTTGCTACAGAGTACGGAACCAAATTTCACCGACCCAGACATCGAGAGTGGCTTGAATCTGTCGTAGGTATGCCCCGAAGAACCTAAGAGAAAGTATGTTAACAATATTAAGCCCGGAATTATCTTCCTCCCGATAAACGCATGCCCTTGACTCCGTCGTCAATAGCCCCTGGTGACAAGTCTGGAAAATCCTCTAGACATGAACTATCTACTCGAACCGAACCCGTATCTGACAATGATACCGATGCTAACCCTGATTTTACATCTGGATCTGCGTCTGCAGCATCTGCACCTGATCGTGAGATTGAGTCCATGTTTGCATCAGAGGTTGACTCTGAGCCCGAGGACCAAGAGGAGTGGCCGGTTGACGCTGTCACTGATATCTTTGCTGGGTTGTATCTACTGTCAAGCAAATTGGACGCGGCATATGGCCCTATTTCCGAAGAAATGGATTGAGTATGAACATGGAAGGAAGATCGCAGCCAATCAGACTATGGGTGTTTTGAACCTGGTTGATCGCTGTGGCAAGCAGTTTCTGAGTGAGTTAGTTGATATGTTGAAATGTGTCTGAGACGCCTCTGGTCTGTCTGATTGGGAGCATAAATTGCATTCAATTTTAAAGGCAATCGTTTATCAATACTAGAATTATGAAATGTAATCATAATCACACCCACATGTAGTCATGATCATACCCTGAGGGGCGAAGTTTTTCAATGTTATTCCTGGAGCTTGATGACAGAAATAGACGGATACGACAATGTATGGTAAATCTGACATATGTAAATTCTCTAACTAACTAAAATGACAAGATCCGCTCTTTTCCAATCTCGGCGGACATAGCTGATTAAGCAATGTATGTATTTTTGTATGGTACCGTTATCATGACGGTCCATTGATTTCCCGGTTTGTAAAGACCTGGTAATTTCAGCATGCATAAATGCATAGTACTTGACACACCCCCCAGTTCTTGAAGCTATTCAAAGCTCTCAAGGACTGCCTTTCTTCCAACTGTTTCGCAGCTGCTTCGCAACCGCTTCGCAAATGATTCGCAAGTGATTCCAACTTACCTCACCTGTCTCCTCACTGATCTCGGCTCAAATCGTCGATTTATGCAGTTTCCGCAAAACAGCCTCTGTTCTCAGAGGTCATGTGACGAATCATGTGACCTACGTCCCTCATTCCAACCAACTCTCTGAAGTGTCCCTGCTTCTGCTTCGTCAGAGCTTTGGTGAGCCCATCTGCTGGCATCGCAGCAGTTGGTACCCAGTCCACATATACTCGACCTGCGCTAACTTCTTGCTTCATCCAGCATCGATTGATGTCAACATGCCGGAGCTTCGTATGCATCGCGGCCCCTTCCTTCGTCAATAAATCGACAGTTTGCTGGTTGTCACACATGATGGATAGTGGGTGATCTGGTTCGAAGCCTAGTGCATTAAGCACTCGTCGCCACCACTGTACGGTTTTTCCTGCCTCTGCTAAAGCTAGTAGTTCGGCCTCGGTAGTCGATGTGGTGACAGTCTTCTGCTTAGTGGCCTTCCAATCGATTGGGCCACCATATAACTTGCAGATATACCCTTCGGAGCTCTTTCGATCTTTATGGTCTCCGAACGACGCATCGCTTGCAAATTCAACTGATTTCGCCGCCATCGTCAGGGTCGTATCTCGATTTCTAGGTTGTTTGTTTGGTGTTCTGATGCCGTATTCAATGGCCCAAAAGCGTGTCTCATAGAGATACTGTATGATGCGATCGACTGCATCTATATGCTTTGGTCCTGGATTTGTAAGGAATTCAGCCACTTTGGAGGTTGCTTTTGCAGCATCTACCCGGGTAATGGTGGTGGCATACTGCGCAGATCCAACCTTGGCCTGGAAACCATGAATCTGTTGCGGTGATGCCACCCCATCATAGGGTACTAGAGGCTCAATGCTCAGTGGGGACCCTATTTTTCTCTCTGTGACGAGATTGTATTTGTGTGCCATGCTCTCGATGTAGCTATCTTGGCATAACCAGAGCTTCTTCTGCTCTCTATCACGTATAATACGTATATTCAAGAACCAGCTTGCATCCAGTTCTCGAAGCTCCCATTGCTTCTTTAGATTTTGATCTAGTAAAGCGGCTTCTTTAGCCTGTTTGGGGTGATTGACGATGATGATATCGTCCACGTAGAAAAAGACAATAATGCCTTTGGTTGTAAAGATGCATGGATCTTCTTCCACTGGGGTAAGGCCTAGTTTTACTAGCACCTTTGTAGCTTCTTGCTGCCAAAGCCTTGGTGACATGCGCAATCCGTAGAGGGCTCTATGCAGGAGCCAGCACTGATTTAGTGCTTCGAAGCCTGGTGGACACTTGGTATAAACCTCGCTTTCTAGCATTGAATTCAGGAATGCGGTAACCACATCTCTCTGAATCATATCTAGATCAAAGGCGGCAACTAGTGCGAATACTGCTCTCGCTGTTTTGACAGCTAGTGTAGCAGCTCTCTTTTCTTCAGTTGACATCCACTGTAGATCTCCTCTCACGCAGATTCTTGCTTTGAACTTCTCGAGCATACCATCTGCATCAAATTTGTATGTAAATACCCACTTCAATGGCAAGATCTGGGTGCTCTTTTTGTTCGGTAATGCAACCTGAGAGAAGGTCTCTTTAGCCTTTAAGGTCTCAATTTCAAACTCCGCAGCTGCCTTCAATTGCGTGGCAAAGGGATGGATTTTTAGCCGCTTCCAGTTCTCTGGTGGTGGAGGCATCTGATCTCTATGCAGTCTGTTTTGCATATTGAGCTTCTTCGTAATACCTGTTGTAAAGGCATATAGAAGGCTTGGTGGCTCGGCTAGCTGTTTCTCGTCTAGCGATAGATATGCAGTGTAGTCTGGATCTGCCTTTGGCTTCCGTATTCTGGGGCCTGAGATGATGTTAGATTCATCAATTGACGCAGAGATCTCTCTAGTAGGCCGATCTTCTGGCTCTGGAGTAGGCGTATACTGCATCTCTTGTTGCAATTGACGCTCTATCTCTGCTTCATCTTCATCATATTGATCTCCCTCTCCCCCTTCAGCTTCGATCGACTGTATGACATTGATCGGATCTGGCGAAGATAGCGAGGTAGGAGATCTCTCATGTGGCGTACTCTCAATCGTAGCAATCGACGATAGTGCTCTTTGTGGTGAGGCTCTCTGTGGTGACATAGGGAAGCTCCCAGGGATCTGTTCTTGATCCCTTACCTCTATCATTGAGATATGTTCTACCACTGAAGCAGGGCCTGCCATTGAAGCCGGTGTTAAAGGTAAAACAGGTGTTTCCTTTAAAGGGGGGACCCTTGGTGTCTCCTCCCTACTATCTAGAGTTTGAGCTTGCTCCACAACTCTAGATTCCTGGATTTCTTCATTTACCGCCTCTGGTGCAGTACCTTGTTCTCGGTTTTCGACGTCATCATTGAGAGTTATGCGAGCAATTGACATCGGCATACGCATCTCTATGCTCAATTCTGACTGCGCTTCTTCCATTGAGAGCACTTGGGGCCAGTTCTTAGCGCTTAGTCCATTTGTCATAGTACTAATTGCATCTTCTTCTTGCGGTAAAGGCTTCGTTTTAGAGTACTGTCTCGATTCATCGAATACAGCATCTCTTACAACTTCAACTCTGCCTATGCCTGCTCGCCCTTTGTATGGAAACCAGATCTTGTATAGGCTCTTTGAAACATAGCCTACAAGATAGCCGATCTCTGCTCTCGGAGCCATCTTGTTAGATTGTACTCTCTTCAGAAGCCTTGAGTACGTTAAGCACCCATATAGCCTCATATTCGACAGGTTGACAATTTGATCTTTTAAGCCATCTGGAGCCGCATAGCGCATCAATTCCTTCCATGGTATGATCCACTTACCATCCATCTTTGTAGGGGTACGATTCATCATATATGCAGATGCATACATCGTCTCTGGCCATAGATTGTGGGGTAGGTTCGTACCATTGAGCAATGCTCTGCCGTTCCTTACTATCATGCCTCCAGATCTCTCTGCTGGTCCATTCATCTCTGGCAAGCCAGGTGGTGCATGCTCAATGGTACACCCTTCGTCTTCAATCATAGATTCAACCTCATTGCCGGCGCTTCTCTCATTATCATAATGAAATACCCTGATCTCGATTTTCAACCAGTTTCGGATCAATGCTAAGAATTTACGAACTGCCATCTGACACTCGCTCTTCTTTATATGGGTAAATACGAAGTGACACCTTATTCCATCGAGATAGAAGTGCGTCATCCATATATGACCGTTGTAGGCAGGCTGGTTTTGTACTAGATCGAAGTGTACTCTCCCTAATATACCATATGCCTGGCCTATCTTCCGGCGAGAGATTTGCCTAGGTGCATCTGCCAATTGACAAGCTTCACATACCTGCATTTCTTTGCCTGGGTTGCTTGCAATAGTGATTCCTTCAGTCATCTCTGCCAGTTTGACAATTCGCGCCTTGCCAATGTGGCCTAATCGACGATGCCAGAGCTCAATTGAAGCCTCAGATTTTGGCTCCTGATTGGATTTCTTAGTGGCAAACGTCATTTCAGGCTTCAAATCTGATGCCTTTTGGGTTATAAAACCCCTTGTCTGGGTGAGCCATGATAGCTTCTGATCGTGGTAGATCTTATAGATCTGACGATGGCCATCAATTGTCTCAATGCAGTTTGCTCTGAGATTCATTAATAGGCCCCCCTTCATCATCAATCCATGAGATATCAGATTACTATGGAAGTTTGGCGAGTACCTAGTTTGAAATAGGTTCATCTTAACGGCGCTTCCAGTGGTAGGGTTTACACCATAGATGACCACAGTGCCTATACCGGCCACCTTCGTCTCTGTATCTCCCACTTTGACGTTGCTCTGTACGCTTTTAAAGGTGCTAAACAAGCTCCGATTGTTGCATACGTGGATTTGAGCACCTGTATCAACTACCCATCTGTCTTCTGTAGGTGTAGTTGTGGCTTCAAAATCCTTGATTTTTGTTGACATAACGGTGTCAATTTTGACTGCGTTGGTTGTCAAGAAGCCAAAGGCTTCATCGTCGAGGGTTGTATTCGCTTGCTCTTTAGCAAGGGTCCCCCTTGGCCTTCTGCATATGCAGCTCGCTTCTTGTCGACAATTGCCTTCCATCTAGGATTAGCCTTCATGGCCTTCTCCCACTTCTGTTTCAATGCCGGTGAGGGCTGGTAATTAGCAGGCCTTCTATCTTCATAGATTTCCCAGCAGGCCCAAGGCATATTAACTCTCGATTTTACCCTGTCACATGGACATGGCCTTCTTTCTAGGCCATCATTCCTTGCCTCTATAGGCTTTGCTTCTTCATTGCCTTGCCATGTCGAGAAAGCAGCCTTTGAGATGCCTCTTTGCGCAGCCGGCCTGCCATGGGTAATCTTCCAGTGGGCTTTGTACCGAGTCATGATTTCGAAGAAAGGGATGTCCTGATTATCCTGTACTCTGAGAGCCCATGTTTCATAGAATCCAGGCGACATTATAGAGATTGCTTCAAGGAATTGATTCGTGGCATCCTCTGCTTCTGGCATCCTTGCCTTCTTACACGATTGGTAAAGCGATTCCCAGTTTAGAAGCCATTTCTCGATATCGGTGTTCCGATCTAGGCCTCTATCTAGGTTCCGCCACTGTTGACGGAGCTTAGTTTTGTATGTAGGATCGCTCTCTGGTGCAAATCGTTTGTGGAGATTGAGCATCAGCTCCAAAGGTGATGGTATATCAATGATAAAGGGCTGGTAGGGAGTATCAACTGACTGCCTAATTGCCACCGCCACTAGATCTAATGCCTGTAGTTTCGACTGATAGGCTCTGTTCTCTGCATCCCAATCTGCTTTTAGGGATAGCCTCACATTGAACCAGTGTTCTGGGTATTCTTTTATGGCATCTTTGACAGAGATGATCTCTTCAGGTGGTTCCAATTTAGGACGTTCTTCCTCCTTAAGAGACGGATTGCATTGATCCCATACTTTATATGCAACTGCAATTGCTTTAATATATGAGAGCCATGCATCCCATGATTCTGTATCCTTCAAAATGACGCGGGAGGAGGCCGCGGAGAGGCTTGACATGATATTCATTATTGTCGATTTTCGTCGATGAATCTGATCTTCTTCGAAGGAGATAGGGGTGCTTCGACGATTCAGGGGTTGACCGTTGTCAAAACCACTGTGAATCGGCGACAGCTAGGTAAAAGATGGTCTATATGTTGTAGACAGATCTTAATTGGAACGAAGCCGGGCTCATAACTGACAGAAATAGACGGATACGACAATGTATGGTAAATCTGACATATGTAAATTCTCTAACTAACTAAAATGACAAGATCCGCTCTTTTCCAATCTCGGCGGACATAGCTGATTAAGCAATGTATGTATTTTTGTATGGTACCGTTATCATGACGGTCCATTGATTTCCCGGTTTGTAAAGACCTGGTAATTTCAGCATGCATAAATGCATAGTACTTGACACTTGATATAAACTTAGCGGCGGTGGGTCGAATGGCGATGTCGCGTGACCTCCACATGGTGTAGGACCAATTAAATACATTGTAGCAAAATGTACTCTGCTATCTTAATTGAGCTCGCGTGAGTAAAAAAAAAATAGGTAGCTTCTCTTTGATTGAGCGTGTCATCCTTAGTGCAGGGGCCATGCTAATCTTCTCTGTAAATTTTCATTTGACCATATGCCCCGAAGGGCGATGTATCGATTCATTCAGTCCAATATAACCTCACTTTCGGCAGAATTACACCGCCTAAGATATACAAACGAAACCCCATGAGAGGAAAACATAGTTGTACAGACACCAGTTTTTTCTATTTTTTATCTTCTATTTGAAGAGAGTGATTATTCATCAGAGGTTGCAATGAATGCTAGATCAAATGTCGTGACTGAAATTGCTATCTGGTAGATATAAGTCAATCCATACTGGATATGGCCTTGGAAGTTCTTTATTTGATCACAATCTGGGGCCGATGTTAGATATACCAAATTAGTATTATCAAATAATACTATATGCATCATAGCACGAAAAAAAGAGCAAACCTGAGTTCTCAATCAAAAGATCTATCTGAATTCCAATCCCCACACGCTGTGGTACACGTGATCCGGCGTTCCTGACACGCGTGGGCGCGTCCCCGATTGCCTCACTTTAATTCTACACTTGGATGTCACTCTCTTGGAGATACTCCAATCAAATCCCCAGTCTTGAATCGCATAATTTACCCTCAAATTTGGCCATGGCAACTGAAAACGGAGAGTCCAAGCTCTTCGCGCAGTGTTGCCTCTGTATTGTATGCTCCAAGGATCTCTCGAGTGACTCCGCAGAGCAGGTACGTGTTTTCCCGCCATGAATACAGCTTGAACTAGACTGACAAAATAAAATTATCTAGCTGGCAACTATCCTCGAGCAAAATGGCGGCGAGCCTCTGATCGTCCAACCCGGCGCCGAGGTCCCCGATGTGACCAAGTTCAGCCATTTGATTTCAACCACAATTGACTTTGAAGCCTACGATACTACCTGCGACGCACTGATCCCTGTGGTCAAGCCACAATGGGTGAATAACTCATTGACGAAGCGAAAATTGGCCAACCCCCGCCAATACAGCCCAGACCCGCGTCTCTTCATGAACGATGTGGTGGTTACCTGCGGCGATATCCCCGAGGGAGACAAGGATGCAATCATAGGTGGTGTGGTCGCGAAAGGTGGATTGTACGCCCCAAGAGTTTCTCAGATGGTTACACACTTGGTGGACCTCACAGCGGATTCCGACAAGGCGCGCCTTGTCCAAGCGAAGAAACTGAACGTGAAGATTGTACTACCGCATTGGTGAGTTTCATGGCACAGCAGTTAGAGACTCTCGCTGACTGAGAACAGGTTTGACGACTGCCTTAAACTTGGTCGACGAATCGATGAACGTCCATATACACTTCCAGACCCAGAGATCTTGCGCGTGGGCCCTGATACTCCAATCCGATGGCAAGAGAATAAGGATTTGGTTGGTGCGTCGACAACAGACCCGTCTAAGCTACCCGAGCCATCCAGTTCAGCGCATAAGTCAGGCCAACGGAGTGTCTTCGAAGGGAAGTCTATTATGCTATCTCCGGATCTTGGAATTGGCTCGCACTTGCAGGAATCAATCAGAACTGTTCTCGAGCAAGGCGGTGCCACAATGACCTCAAATGTTGACGAGGCAGACATGTTAATTTGTCGTTACCGAGAAGGATTTGCGTACCGCACGGCATCGCGACTGAACATAGACGTTGGAAACCTCGCATGGCTCTACCGCCTCATGACATTCAACACATATACTTCACCCCTCAGACGACTACTGCACTACCCAATTTCTCGCACTGGTATCCCCGGGTTTGAAGGCTTGAAGATCAGTTTGTCCAATTATGTTGGCGAAGCAAGAATCTATTTAGAGAACCTGATCGCAGCAGCAGGTGCAGAATGCACCAAAACATTAAAGCAAGAAAATACTCATCTGATTACGGCACATGGAACAAGTGAGAAATGCAATGCGGCGAAGGAATGGGGCCTCGAAGTTGTCAACCACTTGTGGCTGGAGGACAGTTATGCAAAATGGAAGCTACAGCCGGCCTCAAACCCGCGCTACAGCCACTTCCCTCTGCGAACTAATCTCGGAGAAGTCGCAGGACAGACCCAGCTCGACCGCAATGTTTTGGAACAGGTCTTTTTCTCGTCTGGGGAGACTCTTGCTCATAGCCCACGGCGCGCAATGCAGAGCAAGAACCAAAATATGGTTTCAGTGCAGCCTCCCGCCGAGAAGAAACGGAAGATTGATGAAGATGCCCCGGAGACTTCGCTCCGTACTCCGCAGGGTAATGGCAAGTCACGCCGACCCATCCAAACACCTGCACGAACTCGAATCATGTCCGAGGGCAAGGAAAATGAGACTCCATCGTCGACCAGTAGCCGCAAGTCAAAAGAGGCGGCAACTGCCCGACTCCATGAGTATGCCCCGGATCTTGCCTTGTACGAAAAGGAAAAGAAACGTGTGGGCGGCGTTATCTATGGCGGTAGACGCAAGTCAGACGAGGGTCGGGTTCAGGAGAATAAGAAGCGTGCCTCGCTTGAAGCTGAGGACGAGAGCGATGGCGAGCAAGTAGTGGAAACTAAACGACAGAAAAAGTCTCGGCCGCCAATTGCTATGCACCTTCTGATTACTGGCTATCAGAGATGGGTGGGGAAGGGCAACGAGAAGAAAGAGGATGCAGATAAGGTTTGTTTGGCTACTGAAATTATAAACATGACTGACTGAAGATCTATGTACTAACACTCGCACAGCGAGGCCTTCGAGATCTCGGTATTATGGTGGTCCAAGATGCCCGACGATGCACTCATTTGGCCGCACCCTCGATCTTGCGAACCACTAAATTTGTCAATGCACTCGCCTATGCGCCGATGATCGTGAGCACAGACTTCATCGCTGGTTGCCTAAAGAAGGAGGAATTGCTTGACCCCTCCGATTTCCCTTTGGAGGATAAAGAAGCCGAGAAGAAGTACAATTTTGACCTGTCTTCTGTTACAACCAACGCAAAGAAGAACAAGAATAAAATGCTGCAAGGCTATCGCATTTATTGCGTCGAGGACATTCGAGGTGGATTCGATGCGTTCAAATCTATCGTTGAAACAAACGGAGGAGAGTGCATGCTCTTCCGTGGGCGTCTGGCCCTAGCGAACCATTCTCGACGTGAGGGGAGCGACGAGGAAAGCGAAGCGGAAGACGAAAACCCTGCCAGCAAGGATGTCTTTCTTCTCAGCAGCGCTGGAGCTAATCATGGTCGAGTCTGGCCTCGATTCCGTCAAGTGGCGCTCGATATCAAGAAAACTCCACGGATTGTCCGGGTTGACTGGCTTCTGGACATGGCCATGTCGCAGGAGACACGTGCGCCCGACGAATACGAGTTGACCGAGGAGATGATCGAGAACGCAGACCAGTAGACTGATACCAAGGTATCGAGTCTACGTCCCTCATCACCTTTGGGCCTCCAGCCCAAGAACATGAATTCTGTGTATAGGTTTGGAGTATCGGCGACGTGATTTAACATGTCTTTTGACCTGCACATGAGAAGCGCTTTGTTTTTGTCACGAATAGCCACGATTTATCTCAGAGAAATTCCAGCATCTCATCTTAGAGCTCTTCAAAAGAACTTAACACCCTCCTGGCCCTCACCACCGAAAATCTGCGCCCTGCCCCTCTTAACCAAGACATTCAGCGAGCGCAGCATGACATCAGTATCCATGCCATGGAACTCTGTAGACGGGAATTAGTATAAACTGTAGACACTATCACCCACAACCAAAGATACAATCTCACCTTGCGACATAGCCCCCTCCCCCTGGATCAGTTCATAGACCGTCAGAACCGATCCCCTCTGCCCAGTGCTCTCAACCCACTCAACCAATATATCTGCCCACTCCTCAGGCCTCCTCCACCAAATCCACGCAACAGTCTTCGGCCCCTGCCCAGCACCATTCAACCCGATTGAAGACGACGCACTGCCAGAATCAGAGATCCACTCCGCTCGCCGCCCACCGCCGCCTTCCTCTTCGCTCTTGGTCATCCACTCGATGACCTCGCGGGCGTCGCGCAGATCGAGGCGCTTGCGCAGGGCTGTGTTGTGGAAAAGCGGAGTTTCAACGGCTTCTATTAGGGAAAGACGGTATTGGCGGTGATGCCGGCACCAGGACTGAATTAGAGAAGACCATTTCTCAAGCTGCGACTGGCGGGTTGTTGTGTTTGGTTGCGGGGTGAAGAAGGGGGGAAATTGTAGGTTGGTGGGAAGGGGAAGGGGGGTATCGTTGTCATATTGGAGGAGATTTAAGAGTGAATATCAAATACTCAAACAGCTAGATAGCTCAAATAAAAACAAAAAGAGTAGACAAGTAGAATGCCGAGACAAGAAGACACAAGACAGTCGAGAGACTCGAAGCTGTGGAGTAAAAGGTGGGGCCGGGATTTTCTCAAACTCGTCGACTTCGGTCTTTTTCGACTTCTCGACTTTCCCTGATTCCCCCCAGGTTGTCAGATCTTCACAATGGCCACTCAAAATCCACCTGCAAAGCGCGTCAAGCGTGAAGAATACCGTCGCAAAGTACAGGAGCAACAGGAATCCACCGATGGCTCCGTCATCAAGATGCCGCAGAAGAAATTCTTCCGCCAGCGCGCGCATGCGAATCCCTTCTCTGATCACCGGCTAGAGTAGTACGTATCCTCCTCTTTCGTTCATTGCACATCGAACGATTTCTATCACAATATCCATTGGGTTGTCGAGCTTCAATGGCGACAATTCCTATGCATCCGATCGCGAACTAATAGCTAACTGATACTCTAATAGCCCTATCAGCCCCGCGCATATGGACTGGTCATCCCATTACCCTGCATTCGTGGATCCCGATACAACCAAAACGAATCTCAGCGGAGGGCGCAAGTTGACCAAGGAAGTCGAAGTCGTCGATATCGGATGTGGATTCGGCGGGCTGATGGTTGGCCTGGCGCCATTGTTGCCAGACACTCTGATGGTCGGTAAGTACAGCGCATCGATATTCAAAAATACATATTCGCACTCGCCCGAATGAGCAATGAGCACCAAAAAACTAACAACAAAACTACAGGCATGGAAATCCGTACCTCAGTGCTGGAATACCTCAGCTCCCGCATCCACGCCCTGCGCAGCCAACAACAACGTCTCAAGAACAAAGCCGCGAACCCCTCATCAACCGAACCCCAAGATGCCTCGACGCAACCCGAAAACACCGAATCAACCCCAGCCCCAGCCAACGACGACGAAATCGGCACGGAGAAACTCTTCCCAGGAAACTTCGAAAATATCACCGCAATCCGCAGCAACACAATGAAGTTCCTCCCCAACTTCTTCGGCCACCACCAACTCTCCAAGATCTTCATCTGCTTCCCGGATCCGCATTTCAAGGCCCGTAAGCACAAGGCCCGTATTATCTCCGAGTCCCTGAACTCCGAATATGCGTTTGTTCTGCGGCCTGGTGGTTTGCTATACACTATTACCGATGTCGAGGAGTATCACCACTGGGTTCTGCGGCATTTCTTGCATGGCGAGCAGCCTGAGGGTGGACCTGCTCCTCCTGCAAGCAGTAAGGATCTGTTTGAGCGGGTTTCCGAGGAGGAGCTTGCTCTTGATCCTTGTGTGCGGGTTATGAAGTTTGAGACGGAGGAGTCGAAGAAGGTCACAAGAAATAAGGGAAACAAGTATGTGGCTGTTTTCAGGCGCAAGGCTGATCCTGAGTGGCCTGCTTGAAAAGGAGGAGGATTAGATACCTAATTAGAGAGGTGAATATGGGACCTCTGGGAAGTTATTGGAATCATTCATTCAAATGATACGATAAAAGAGAGGTGTTTTGAGGCGTTTTTTTTCTCCCATTTTAAATGCATTGCCAATATCACGCTCATCGCTAACAATCTTCGCTGGCTAACAAAAACAACAACACAAAAACAAACTCCCGAAATGAACCCCAAGAAAAGGGTTGTAGAACACATGCAGACAAATCAAGAATCAACTGATGCAACAATCAAACACCGACATCATGCGTGAATCTATCATAAAGCAGTAATCTCGTTAAAAACATTGTGGTCGTAACCCCTCAACTAGATGGCGACAAAGTCTAGCACATTCCAGGCGCCTTAAGACGGATACCTTCACATCTCTCACAGATAGCCAATTGGACCGGACCACCGATGATGCGGCCCTTGGCCGTTCGCTTGGGCTCGCCTTCGCGAACGAAAAACCGGCCCTCCGGACCAAAACCATCGCCACACTCGTGACAATTGAAGCAGTGCTCGTGCCACTGGCCGCCAATTGCGCTGATAACAACCTCGTCCATGACATGTTGCTTGCAGCCCAGACAACGTGGCGCGGTACGGCGCGAGTGGCAGCGGAGACACCATGCGAAGCCATCTTTCTCGACAAAGGGAGTTTGAGAATCAAAGGGCTATATGAAGAGAAATTGTCAGTTGTCTTGAGTACAGAATTATCAGAAAGGGGGTTCAAACATACATCACCGCACTCTGCGCAGAAGAAGTGGCCGACATGCCATTCGGCACCGCATGCCACGACCACCTCTCCTTCGATGGGGGTCTTGCAGCTCTTGCAACGGGGGCTGAACATCTCGTGGAAATCCAGGTGGCAGTAGAACCGCGGTACACGGGCCTCTTGATCATGAGCCTCGGTTGTTGCTAGTCTCTCGTCTCTGCTGGACTCTGGTTCTTGGTAGAAAGCCACACATTCGAGAGCAGTATGGCAGTGGAAACAGGTAAAGCACTCCGGGTGGAATCGACATCCGCCAGCGGTCACAATCTTTCCGGAAATGGAAAGCGTACATAGCTCACAGCTTGCAGTTGGAACACCAGAGCGTGTATAGGGCGAGTACCAACGGCTCTGCGAATCAGATCCCGGCTGTTTCGGGAAGGCCTGCTTAGTTGGGCTGTTTCTCGTCGGCTGGGGCACCGGTCTAGTCGGTTGCTTGGAAGGAGCCTCTATCTCGGAGATGGTGGGCACTTTGATGTCTGGGATGTTGATCACTGGGATTGGAGGTGGCTCGGAAACTTCAATTGTGGGAGCTGAGACCTCGATGGTAGGTGCTGCCACTTCAATGATAGGTAGAGTTGGACGATCAGGTTTCGGCTGATCAGCTGGTTTCCATGTTTTGTCAAAGCTCACGATTGGGCGTCCAACTCGATCGCTGACCGCTGAAGGCATTGGCAGCTTTTCACTGCGATCTCCTCGTCTTTTGCTGGTAGCTGCGCGGATATCGTCACTACGTCTCTCCCTTCCATCCTGGGTGGGGAAAGGTTCATCCTTTTGTTCGGGGGAGGAGTAGGAGTAGCACGCTCATTTCTAGTATAACCGGCGTTGTTCGACTGAGTAGGAGGAGGAGTAGCGCTTTCGTTTCGAGTGTAGCCAGGGTTACGCGACTGGGTGGGAGGGTTTTTGTGAATTTCAAACCGGGAGATTTTATCCATCACAGGGCTGCTGTTGGCTCTATTTTGCAACCAAGGTAGCGGCCTAGGAACACGGCCCAGAGCGTTGCGCGGTTTGTTCTTCAAAGCTGACGAATCGGACTTGGAGAAGTCTGGCTTTGCTTCATGTTCCTTTTGAGGATCAATGGGCTCTTCGTAAATTTGGTCGTTGGGGTTCCTGAAAATCCCTTTAGATGAATCACTGCTGACGGTCCGTGGTTTGGGGGCAACAGGCTGCTCAGGTTCCTCGTCAGGTAGTTTAAAGTTGACTTTGAGATTCTTCTTCGATGATCCAGCCAGAGATGATCGTTTCCGAATCGATTCAGGGCTAGAGTTACCATCAGAGGAGACACTTGAGCCTGTTGACTGGCTGAATCTATTGGTCGAGGGATTAGATCCTCGCGAATCATTTCGGACAGGGCTTTGGTTGCCTCTGTTGGCATCGGGGTTTTGATATGGCGCATAAGGGTTTTTGAAAGCTTGACCAGGGTTCTGGTGCATCCAAACTAGCTCTGTGGCCTCATCCTGGGCTGCTTGGTGAAGACTGACATCGTCCTGGACATCCATTTTCCGCAAGGCATCTCGTAGCGACCGTGCCTCTTCCTTTTCATGTCGTCGTTGACCATTTTCACGATAGGAGAGAGCTGGAGATGCCGGTATGGGAATGGTACGTGCATGGATTTGTGCTGGAAACACGTTCTTTCGAATTGAGTGCGTACGTGGCTCCTGAGCTAAGGGACGACCCATTGCGCCGCCGCCAGGCACGTGGGAATTCGTCCGACGATGGGACATCGCACTACCTGATCGTCGGTGGTCTTTAATTTCATCTTCGACTGGGGCATGCATGGAGAACGCCGAAGATGCCCTTGGCGGAAGGCTATCAGGTAGATCGCTTGTTGATGCGGCTGCTCTACCTGGGTATGGACGAGATCCTGTCGGGCGGGCAGGACGATTGGCCCGCAAGTCCTTCAAGTACGTTGCTGTTGACTCATATCAGCTCCGAGTCGGCCAACGCCAAAGAATCACTTACAAACTTGATCATTGGACATGAAGGATGGACCAGGAGGTGAAACCTTCCTCTGGCCAGTGGTATGTTTATGCATCATGAGATTGCAAGGATCAAGGATGTGAGGAGATATACGGATAAGTACAGGAAAGAGGGACCAAGATGAACTAAGATGAGAAGAGTCTAGTTGCGATCTACACTTGACGGTCTGAGCTGGCTAGCGTCATTGGGCTGGATCCCCCTCCCAAACAAACCCCTAGGGTCCGTCGCGAGGCAACGGATGACTCAGCAAATATCCTTATCTATCGATAAGGGTTTGATTATAAATTAACCCTATGACAAGCCCTATATTAGACAACATAGGTGCATATTCAAGTATAGGTATCGTATAGTCAATACTAGACCTCGGATCAGCCCTATGGAGACATGTCTCTCTATTTAAGCTAAGAAATCCATTTTTCAAACCTTGGAATGACTCAAAATCCCCCACATCTGCCCAACTGAGACGCGACTGGGCTCTCTCCGCATCGGCTTCTCGGCACAAGAATACCCCACAGCCAAGTAGCGCTGATACCTCGACTGAGAACTGCACAGTTACGCAGATAGCTGTATATCAGCTTCTTTCATTGGTCAAATATCGCCGAATAGAAATAATAAACCACAAGATCCTGGCCATCCTTTCTCTATACGAACAATGCTCCTACCATGGTTGGATTCGGCATTCAGTCCGATAGTCCGATTAGTCCGATGACTCCAATTATTACCAATTGATAATCTGATCGAAATCTAGTCCCCTTTTTTGTTAGCGTGGTAACTTAAGTCTCTTGCTTCTTTTCACTACAAAGTACATACCTCCATGTCGTGACGAAAACGGCAACCGGTTTCGGTCTTATAAGGAGCTCATAAAAATAACAACAAGCTGGGCTTGTATCTGAGCTACCATGGCAGATAATGTGCCAATTGATATCATCCGTTCTCACCAAGACGATATAGACCGGGAGAGCGCAAAACAGGAACAGAAGTTGCATCCAGAGTCGGCACCACTTGACGTCGACGAAGATGAAAAATATAAGCGCGATGTCGCCCCAGATGGTGGCTATGGCTGGGTCTGTGTCGCCTGTGTTTTCTGGATTAATGCGCATACATGGGGCATCAATAGCGTGAGTCATATATCTTTGCTTTTTCACTACCATCTTATTAACAAGCCTAATATCTAGAGCTACGGAGTCTTTCTGAGCTATTACCTTTCAAACGATGTATTCCCCAACACATCTGCTCTATCGTACGCCTTCACAGGTGGCTTGAGCATCTCTTGTGCCCTCCTGGTGGCCCCGTTAGCCACCCATATGATCCACAAATGGGGTGGGAGTATTGTCTCGGCGCTGCTCAACCTCGGTCAGGGCCTCGGCCGTCCGTTTGTTGGAATGTTCAGTGACCGACTTGGTCGTATTAATATTGCCACTTTCCTCACTTTCCTCTGCGGTCTATTCTGTCTCGCCATCTGGACTTCTGCTGACAGTATGGGTGTGGTATGCTTCTTCGCTGTTTTAGTTGGCAGTGTCGCAGGCACGTATTGGGCTACTGTTTCCCCCGTTCTGGCGGAGATTATTGGTATCAGAGACCTTCCTTCTGGCTTGAGCATTACCTGGCTCACGCTTGTTGCCCCTTGCACTGTCTCCGAGGCTATCGCCCTTCAGCTCCGCAGCCATGATGTTGGCGGTGGAACTTCATATCTGCGCGTTCAGTTATTTACTGGATTCATGTATGTCGGTGCTTCCTTATGTTTGTGGGTCGTCCGTGGTTGGAAAGTTGGCGAGTTGGAGCGTGCTAAGGGACGCCGTGATTCTGCCCAGCCTGGTCCGCTGACTGGAACTCCCGGTGGAAACGAGAAGCAAGACCACCCTACGGCTATTTCACCGGCCTTGGAGGCCACTGGAACAGACGTTCCGTTGTGGGCCCCGGTCAGCTTGGTTCGCAGAATGATCACTTTGAAAAAGGTTTAAATATAATTGCATAGCGCAGCGTATGAATATGGAAGACAAAATGAACATAAACAAAAATAGACAATTGTCTGTCATTCATTTGATTTGAACGCCGTTTTAACACTAGATCTAATCTACATGGATGTAGTTTTTGCTTCATGCCTCCGTAACCAGAATCCGGACCCTTCTCTTGCCGGCGCCACGACCCTCTTCCTTGACGGAACTGACGTTAACACGGACCTTCTGGAAGAGTTCAACAGTCACACTGCGTTCCTTCTCCGGGTGACCCTTCTCTTCTACGCGAAGGGTGTACTCCTCACTATCAAACTCCGTGGTGCGGTGAGGAGCTAGCTCCCGTCTCTCGGCGACAGAACGAGCTCCAGATTCGCCGGGCAGGACGAAGTCCTCCAGACGAACGACACCTTCAATGCCGAATCGGGGAACGAAAATTACAACACCGTTCTCGAACACGCGCATTACGTATCCTTCTTCTTCAATACCCGCATCAACACCATCGGCGGCCATCTTCTCTCCACGGGCCTTGAGAGCTTGACCGACGTAGTATTCAATACTAGCGCGGCCGGCATGTTGTGCGTTGCGATGACGGACATTGATGTTGCGACAGATGTCTTCAAGCTTGTTGCGAGTGCTGACACCTTCGATGACTGCGTGTCCATCCTCGCCTTCATACCCAATGGCAGAAGCTAATTGGCGGTGAACCATAAGATCGGCATATCGTCGAATGGGCGAAGTGAAGTGGGTATAGATAGGTGAGGCGAGACCGTAGTGGCGGAATTCGGATTCGGCAAAGGCGCCCGCGCAGAAGTATTCGGCAGAGGTCATGCAACGGGTCGCCAAGATACGGACCAGGGTGTTGAAGAATGGGTTCTTGGGGTCGACGCAGCGGTCCAAGGAATCAGCCAGAGCTCGCGAGCTGGAGACATCAAGCTCCATGTTCCGCTTCTTAGAGAGTTGGTTTTGGAGCTCTTCGAAATTCTGAGGCGGGGGAGTGGCGTGTCGACGGAGCAAGGCCGTCTGAGAAAAGGACTCGTAGACCTTCGAGCCAACAGTGATGTTGGCGAGAAGCATGAACTCCTCGACCAAGCTATTAGTGTCAAGCATAGCCTTAGTCTTGACGTCCGTCAATGGATCGCCCACTTCGTCACCCTCAGACTCAATGCGGACTTCCGGGGAGGCAAGGTTCAAAGCACCGGCGTCCATACGCTTCTGGCGGAGAACCTTGGAGAATTTTAAGAGGGTGCGCATGCTTTCGGTCAGCTCGTCCTGTTGTGATTTGTCGTCAATGCGTAATTGAGCTTGTTCGTAACTGAATGCTTCCCGGGAGCGAATGACCGACTTGGTGAAATTTGAAGACACTATCTCGGCATCGGGTGTAATCTCCCACAGAACCGAGAAGGCATATCGTTCAACATAGGGCTTGAGAGAGCACAGGTCTGTACCAAGAAGATGCGGGAGCATGTCGATACGCTTATCGACTAGGTAAACAGTGGTTCCGCGAACACTGGCCTCGAGGTCCATTGGGTTGTTGGGCTTGACGAAATGCGACACATCTGCAATGTGGACACCAACCTCAAAGTTTCCGTTTGGCAGGAGACGCGCGTGAAGTGCGTCGTCAATATCCTGACAGCCAGGTGGATCGATACTGCAAATAAGCAAGTCTCGAAGATCTTTCCGACCGTTCCAGCCCTTGTCTTCCTTTGAGACAGGGACCTTCCAATCATGTCCTTCAGATGGAAGGCAGTCCAGCACAGACTTCGGGAACGGCTTGTACTGCACGTCATATTCAAGCAATAGAGCTTCGGTTTCTGCGCCCTTGGTCTCGAGCTCTCCCAGAGACCGAACGAAATGACCGGTAGGGTATCTTGAATCGCGATCCCAAGAATCGATGGTGACAAGAATACGCTGACCAAGAATCTCGCTAGCCTGTCTTGTGCGTACTCTGATCTTCGGGATACGCTTATCCATAGGCAGTAAGAAAACGTTTTGTTGCCGTCTGCCAGAGGCCTGTGAGCCAGTAGAATTCGAGTCAACGTGACCAACGTATTGACGCCAGCTGCGCTTGATCACACCAACAACCTTGGCAGTGGGTTGTGGCTTGCCATCCGAGTTCTTTCCATGGGCCTTTTTGACTTCTTCCTGGAGAGCTTTGCGTTCTCTATCCGTCACCACAGCCTCGGTCTCCTCGGTATCAGGGTTATCATTACGGGTCACGGCCTCCTCATCCACAATCTTAGTCGAAGGGCTCTTCCACTGGTCCTTTGGTAGTACTTCGACCACGACAGAATCGCCTGCAATAGCGCGGTTACTGTTATCACGGCCCAAAATGAGAAGAGGTTTATCGAAAGCTGCGGTCTTGACGGAGGCTTCCAGGTAGTTGTAAGGAGAAACATTGAACACTCCTTGGTGCAATGTTCCAGCTCGCAGGCCAGTCGTGAGTTTTGACATTGAGAAGTATTCCGGGTAGAATAATTCCCCGCGAGCTGTTTCCTTGGCATCTCGCGCATCCTTTGACTCGCTGATCATATCCAGCAACATTTCGGACCCCTCCAAACCGGAGACATAGTCGGACAGCGACAAGGCTACCACATTTTCTTCCTTGCATTTGCGAAGGTTCTCCTTGTCATCAGTTATGACCACAATTGCCGGAATCGCCTTCTCTTTCTTTCCCTTCTTCGCTGATTGTTGCAGGTGGGAACCGTACCAGCTTGCTACCAGGCGCACAGCGCGATCGTTCCTGTCGTTGATTGTTTCCTCCGGACCTCTCCGAACATGAGTCTCTCGACGGAACTCATTGAAGAATAGGTAGAAACGCTTTTCGTCTGACTTGATGAGGGCCAAAAGACGGTTGTAAAGTGGCAGTGATCGGTTTCTTAATTCCTCGAGTACGGTCTGGAGGACAATCACATCGTAGAAGGCCCCAGTGTGCTCGAAAAGATCCATTCCATTAAGCAGCGCATTTGTATCTGGAACAAGGTAATGGCCTCGCGGGAATGCTGTTGTGCCGGCGGGGCGATCGGATAGGATAAACGGCGCAACTGTTTCGCATTAGCAATTTGCTTGACCATCACCATGATAAGTTCCTTACTGTTTCCATTAGCATCAGCCGGCGCAATCGTCGGGCATTGTGAGCAGAGCTTAGAAGAGCAAGGAATATCTTCTCTCAAATAGAGCTCGCGGACAATCTTTTGCACCTTTCCACTTTTTGTGGACCTGACGAAGACCTTGCTGGTAACATTTGCGGCCTGCGGGTTGGCAGACAAGTCTCTCCTTAAACTCTTCATTGCGACGATAGGATTCCACCGTCTAGCAGTTGCTGAATCTGTCAAAACCTGTGTGTCTTGTGAAAGATCCGAGGTGAGAGTCTTGGCGGAAAGAAAGGTTATCGCTGATTATCGCGATAACCAGCTGAGTCAGCATACGGGCTCGTCACTTTGGGGTCGAAAGATGCCATTCGATTGCTATAACAAAGTACTTTCTCGGTCCTTTTTGAAAGACTTTTTTTTGGCTCCTTCAGACTCTAAAATCTAGTAGCTATGGTTCTAGCGGTATGTACACCATCCATCGGGCGTGAACTACACGGCTAACAATCTGGTTTGATATAGGCCGTGGGGCAGCTATGCTCGACTAGCAACATAACTTCGAATCTAGCCCAGTGCAAGGTGTTGGTTCGAAAGGCTGCAGCAGCAGGTGCCAAGGTAATATTATATGTATTCTATTGTCAACTATCCGATAGGCAGCTCATATATGTTAGGTGCTGTTTCTTCCAGAGGCATCGGACTATATCGCATCCTCGGCAGAGCAATCCTACTCACTCGCCCAATCTGGAGAGAGGACTAGCTTTGTATCATCTCTACAGAGGGATGCCAAGGAGCAGAATATTCACATCAGTGTTGGAATTCATGAAGTAGCTTCTGAAACCAGGCTCAAGAATTTATTGATTTGGATCGATGATAATGGAGCCATTACTCAAACCTACCAGAAAGTCCATCTGTTTGACGTTGATATCAAAGACGGACCTGTACTCAAGGAGAGCGCGTAAGAAGGGTTCACTTAAGATCCGATGGTTGACTTATAAGTCGCTAACCTTGAACCGCATAGGAGCGTGCAGCCAGGGCAACAGATTCCAAAGCCATTTGATACCCCCATAGGGCGTGTTGGTCTAAGCATTTGTTTTGACGTAAGTACAGTGCATGTTGGCATTACATCGAACATCAGCCGCTTCAACGTCTTACTCATACTGGATTATCTAGTTGCGTTTCCCAGAGATCAGCCTGGCATTGAGACGACAGAATGCTGAAATCATCACCTACCCATCGGCATTCACTGTTCCGACGGGCAAGGCCCATTGGGAGCCTTTGCTCCGAGCAAGAGCTATTGAGACCCAGTCATACGTGATTGCAGCGGCGCAAGCAGGGCCCCATAATGAGAAGAGACGAAGCTATGGTCATTCTATTATCATTAACCCGTGGGGTGAAGTGGTAGCAAAGCTGGGAGATGAGCATCAGGAACCACAAATTGCGACAGCAGATATTGACCTGGATCTTGTGGCGAAGATTAGGCGTGAAATGCCGTTGCTCCGGAGAAATGATCTATATCCAGAGATTTGAGAACCCTATGTGAATATGCGAATAGCAAGGAGGCGAATGCCAGTCAGCCTCTTTTTTCCAGCACATTTTTCGAATAGTCTATGAGATATCCCTGGTCACTGGTTTTACATCCCTGGTTATACATAGAAAAGTAGATAGTCGATTCCACAAATTAGGCCTTTTCCCGCCCTTTCCTGCTATGAGACTGAGAAGGGGACGAAAGATCTATAACAAAAGACATCTAAAAGGCCTACCAAAAAAACGCCACAAGCCGCATATACAGCCGACTATTCTGGTCAACTTTCATGTCGTTGACTTGGATCATTTCATGATGTACTCAGTGCGAATTATAAGCATTTTGTTGCGACCGGAGCACCTATAACCAACATGACGGAAAGAAACTTCGAAAAGTGTAAAGTGATACAACAAGGAACAAACGAAAATAGATGAGCATGCAAAAAAAACCTGTCTAAGAACGAGACCGGAACATCATATCTGCCGTCGCAGGTAGTACAGGCATAAACCGAAATAGTCCCTCTTTGATCTCTATGTACAGTGTACAAATTTGGCGTTTATTTCTTGACCTTGTCAGGGTCCTCAAGGATTCCCTCAGCTTCGAGTCTCCGTCGGGCCTCTTCGAGAGCCCACGTTTGTATACTATTGCAATTGTTAGTATTCCAGTTGTGCGAGGGGCTGGCTGGACGCCAATATTGAGGTGCTAAGTCTAGATATGGGTTATACGTACGAAGTATCAGGCTTGAAGACGTATGCGACACCAGCGACCAAAAAGCTTCCAATGAATCCGTAGTACCAAATGTTCTCCCAGCCTTCCTTCTCGTACTTCTGGCCGGGCTTGACACCGAACAGCCAGCCGGTGGGAGGATCATAGTGGTCACCGTGGTCCGCAGCACGGAGACTGGATCGGGTAGAGAATGCCTGGATGTTTTGAGGCTGGCGAAGCAGGCAGCGCGCCCGGAGGATGTGCGACAATGGCCGGGCAGTCATCTTGAAGATGGGGGTGAAGGAGGGTTGAGGCCGATCGAAGGAACACTGGCGTGCGAGGAAATTGGTGGGGGTAACAAGGGACAGATTATCCTCTTGAATTCAAGTGGCAAGGACGGTTTCAATTGATATGTTGCCTCTTGTAGAAGAGTGGAGGGGTGCTTCGGCGGGTTGATGTTGAAGCCGTAAAAGGCCGGGAAGCTGTCCAGTTATCGCGCTAGTCTACTTTGGGCAATTTTCTTGTCCGCTTTCACACCTGACATTTTAGGCAGAACTACGCTCCTGCCTTGAAAAATAGGTGTCAGCACTTCACACGCGACGCGTTCTTATCACATCTGGCCCTCCCCCCATGCCGCCAACAGGGCGCTGGAGTCGCCATTCGTTTCATCTTTCCATATGCACAAATATCCAAAGTAATTGAACTGGTAAATACAATCTTTTAATTGGTATGTTTCATCTCAAACCCCCAACATATCCCCGTTTCTGACATTGTCCTGCTCCAGCTTCCCGCGGAATGTATCATTACCAATTTTGAACGCGTCATTGGATATATCCAAATCGAAGCAATGGCAACGAACAATGCATACCCCATATCCTCAAATTCACGGACAAAATTGAACGCTTTTCGCTTCCAAGAAGGCGAAGTCGTTCCCGAAGGCGTCAACTCGAAAGACGAGACGAAACCAGTTAATGGGAGCAAAGAACTCAAAAACTCGGGCCCAAACAGTGTGGCAGAGCTGATGCAGGCCTCTTCTGACAGAGTATGCCCTCCGCCGAGCGAAGCTAAAGCACCGGAAGCTCAAGCACAAGAATCAAGACCGATTAAAGAATGCCCTCAGACCCCAGGAAACAGGATACCTCTGGCAGATTTGATCAGCAACGCTGAGGATTCGTTTGATCCCGCGCCAGGCCCGGAGGTGACACCAGTCGATCATGTCATCTGGCAGCATGTGCCTGCCAGCTCGAACCCAGACACCTCGTCCCAGACGCCAGCGGGTCGTCGCAGGAAGCGCCGACACAGTTCCTCGCCTGCTGGCTCCCCTCGAACGGGAATAAGAAAAAGGTGCAAAAAGAACCCCTTGATCTGAATTCAATACAAGCCCTCTTCAAGACACCGCAACATGATATGGCTGCTGAATTGTGGAATAACTACATGGATAAAAACATGGTCGATGGCCCGGATGATCTTCCACCGCCACGATTCGCGAATCTTCTTTCCTCATCGCCCCAGACACCGGGATCAGGCAGAACAAGCCGAGACTCGTCAGGGCTGAGACGTGCGATTAGCTGCACTACCGATTTCCCCACCTCTCGAACAAAACGACGACGAGTCAGCAGGCTAGATGTTGGTCCCAGTCGCGGCATTCAACGAACTAGCAGCAATGTTGAATCTGGGAGACCTAAGTCCTCAAGGATCAACTATCTTGTGGAGAAGATTGAGAGAAGCATACACATGGCCCCTGCTGATGTGGGTCCACCTGGATCGTCACCTCTGCGCCAACATATGGATGCGCGAAGGTGTCGATCGTCTTCACCGACGAAGGACCGTAGGCTTCATGGGGCCGACAAAGGAACCGCGGAATCTCCTCCTGCTGTACTGCCTGAGAAAGTAAGACCTGGAACACTGCCTGTTCTTCAAGAGTCATCTTCCGAGTTCGGAGACGATGATCTTGATCAAGGTCTGATGGACCTGGCCGACCCCTCGGAGGATCCTTTCATTGAGCCGGCACATGCATCTAATGAGTTTGGTTCTCTGGGATCTTCTGGCTGGGCTACCCTTGACGCAGAAAAATCTCGTTCATGGCAGCCCAAAAAGAACTCAATGCTCGACAGCAAACCTTCCATACCCATACCCCATAACACTACGACTAACGAAACAAAACGCGATGAATTCGATGACTTTGAAGATGAATATGACGATCTGCCTGCCAACTTGCAGGAAATACTTGCAAAATGTGACACAAACCCCGTTCCAGTCAATTCATCAAAGCCAACAACCCCTGGGCCATCCTTGCAAAAGTCAGATGCTGCGAATGTCCCAGTGAATGGTAGCAAGCCTCCAACCGCCGCACCTGTCAAACCTGAGATGGTATCATCGGATGATGAGTTTGATGATGATTTTGATTTGGAAGCCATTGAGCAAACTATGAAGCAAGCAGATGAAGGAGGGCCTTATGTTAGTCACTCTTAGTCGGTTAATTTCTAGATATATGCTAAGACAGTTAAAACAAATAGAACCTAAAAGGTCGACAAGCTATCAAACGTTACCAGATCGTTGACATCACGAAGAGCACATATGTTACTCCGAAAGGACGTACTCAGCCAGAGCAGGTCAGATACCTTGCCCTTGCCCCGGATATAGTTCCGTCCGCTGACTTTAAGTACAGGTCTTGCTAGTTGAAGACGAGAAGACCCGAGAACGCAAGGTTGTTATTTTACGAGATTCATGGTTTGACACTCCCTGCAGCAAGGACTCGTATATCCATCTGGTCGGGGACTTCAACGCAGCCGGCCAATGCGTTGTGGATAATCTGAACCACATGATCATCCTTCACCCTGACCATCTCATTTCTGCTACGGTTGTAGCAGACTCGATAGACTGCCAGCGGCGAGCTGTCCTTCAAGATCGAGTCAAAGTCATTGCCGCACTTGAGCGACCGCAAGCCTTCGGAGTGTTTTTCCACGAAGTCTTTCAAGAAGCCCTCAAAGCGAACCAATGGGATATGGAGTCATTGAAGACATTGGTCGAAACTATTATGGGCAGACACGTTGAGGAGCTGTACTCGATCCAAATGAGTATCCCTGAAGCTGTTGAATATCTCATGAGCAGGATGCCTGCTGTTCTCGACTGGGCAGATGCTTTCTTGCATGTCAAACCACAGGTATGTCTCATGGCCGGTGGAGGCTTCTTTCAGCTAAGAGCCCTTGCTAATCAAGATCAATAGGCCAAGTCTATGGTTGAAGACCGCAATAACTCTAAGCTGAACTTGAGTATTAACAAACTGCTTGAGGTCGAGGAGCACATCTGGTCGCCAATGTATGGCCTCAAAGGTAACATCGATGCGACGGTACAAGTTACTTGTCGTGAAGATAAAATGGAGAAGAACCTGGTGGTTCCGCTGGAACTCAAGACTGGGCGAAGAGATACAAACCAGTCACACAGGGCTCAAACAGCTCTCTACACTCTACTCTTGTCGGACCGCTATGGTAAGTAATGAGATGTTCTTTCAAGCCCCCGGTTCTTTTTCGGCTAGTTGGCTGGTTGCTAAAAATTGTTATAGATCTTGATGTTACATTTGGGCTTCTCTACTACCTCGAGTTAACAAAAACACTCAGTATCCGGGGGTCCGGCACGAACTACTCCAGATGATCCAGGTGCGCAATCACCTCGCTGGCTATATTCGCGAAAGGCAGCAGCTTCCACCGATGTTGAAGAAAGCTCGTCAATGTATTCGATGCTATGCTAAGACCCCTTGCCTGATCTATCACAAGCTCTCCGAGGATGGCGATGGCGAAACCAGCGCACTTGGCGAGGATTTCGATGCAGCTGTTGGTCATCTGAACGATGGTGATCGGGACTTCTTCCGTAAATGGGATGAACTTTTGACCAAAGAAGAGGGCAATCTTGTGAAGTTCCGGCGAGAGCTTTGGACATTGCTGAGCAGCGAGAGAGAAGCCCTGGGCCGATGCTTCGGGGATGTCGTTATCGATCCTCATTCTGTGTATGAGGAAAACACTGGGACAAAGATAAACCGCTACCATTATACGTTCGTCAAAAGACAAGCGCCTCCTGGTTTCTCCTTTGCTGAGTCTCAAATATCTGTCGGTGAACCGATTGTCATTTCGGATGAAAAGGGCCATTTTGCTCTCGCCAATGGATACGTGGTGCATACTAGTTCATCACACATCAAGGTTGGCGTGGACCGGAAACTCCACAATGCGCGATCAAAGACGGCTGGTTTCGATGCGGTCACAAATCAGTCTTTCAGGGGAATCATGGAAGTTGGAAAAGAAGAGCCTGCTGCTCTCGAAACCCCAGGCGAGCAGCTCGTTTACCGGATCGACAAAGACGAGTTTAGCAACGGCATGGCTATTGTTCGAAACAACCTCATCTGTATGATGGATAAAGACTTGTTCCAAGCGAGACAGCTTCGACGGCTTATTGTTGAGGGGCAAGCTCCCGCCTTCAAGACGACATCATCTTCATACACGATCTCCGATCCTGGCAACCTCAACGTGGATCAGAGACAAGCCATTGATAAAGTGATGAGTGCCAAAGACTATGCTCTTGTCCTCGGAATGCCTGGGACTGGAAAAACCACGACCATTGCCCATATTATTAGAGCCCTTGTCGCACAAGGCAAGAGTGTTCTTCTTACATCTTACACCCACACTGCAGTTGATAACATTCTGTTGAAGATTCGGGACGACAACATTCGTGTGCTGCGTATAGGTGCAACTGCCAAAATCCATCCAGATGTTCAGGAATTTGCCGACCTTGCCGCAATCCCGAAATCAACCATTGAAGAACTCAAGGATTCATACGAAAAGCCGCAGGTCGTTGCTACGACATGCCTCGGAGTCAACCATAACATTTTCAACCAACGCATCTTTGACTATTGTATTGTCGACGAGGCATCACAGATCACGCTCCCAGTCTGTCTCGGCCCGATTCGTATGGCAAGGACTTTCATCCTGGTCGGTGACCACTATCAATTGCCACCGCTTGTGCAGAATAAGGCGGCCCAGGAAGGAGGACTTGATATCAGTCTCTTCAAACTACTCTCGGACGCACAACCAGATTCGGTTGTCAATCTAGAGCACCAGTACCGCATGTGTGAGGAAATCATGTTACTTTCCAATACTCTGATCTATTCGGGCCGTCTCAAATGCGGCACGCCGCAGGTAGCAGCCCGATCTTTGGATATACCCAACATTAACGCCCTCGAGAAATTCCATGTCGAGGACTTGAGCCATGCCCCATCACAGTCACAAGGAGAAATATGCCCGGGTACCCCCAGTAGCCCCTGCTGGCTCCGAGACTTACTGACGCCATCTGCAAAAACGCGCCTGGTCAATACCGATCCCATCGGCCCTGCAGCCCTTGAGATAGCACAGGGAAACCGAGTCGTGAATCACATGGAAGTCTTCCTCTGCTCGCAACTTGTGGAGTCATTCATTGCCTCTGGTATCCCCGCGCGCAACATTGGTGTGATCACTTTCTACCGCAGTCAACTCTCGCTCCTTCGCCAGAGCTTGCGACGTCATACCCCGGATCTAGAAATGCACACTACAGACAAGTTCCAAGGTCGCGACAAAGAGGTCATTATCCTGAGCTGCGTGCGCAGTAACGCCGAAAACAACGTCGGCGAGCTCCTGCGCGACTGGCGCCGTGTTAACGTCGCCTTCACCCGTGCCCAAACCAAGCTCCTAGTTGTCGGCAGTAGATCCACTCTCCGCGATGGTAACGAGCTCCTTTGCAAGTACGTTCGTCTGATGGAAAGCAAAGGCTGGGTTTATAATTTGCCTTGCGGGGCGATAGACAAGCATTTCTTCCCTTCTTGTACCACGCAGTCGCAACTCATGTCTCCGGGTGCGGCCTTGACTCCTAGCTCTGCCAAGGGTAGAGACAAGGGCAAGAACAAATCGCCTTCTTCCCGCTCTACACGTGAACCACTGAGCCCACTAGGCTCCCGGCAGCCGGCGTCCGGCCTTCGAAGGCCTTCAAAGACAGGTGCGAAGTTGTTTAACGGTACCAATGTTGTTGGGAATCGGCCCATCCTGCGAGACATAGTGAATGACTTGACGGGATAGCATGCCGTGTTTCAATCCAAGTCCTTGTTTCCGTTCATATTTGTGTGCAGGAATCCGAGTGCGAAGTCGAAAAGAATAATAAATTGATGTATTCATTCATTAGGAGTCTCAGACCTCAAATTATAAACCATGTCATTCATAATCAATCCGGGAATTGTTGGAACTAACTTTCTTGCCTTGACAGTAGATAGCAAAATCATTGGAAGCCCCTGATGGTCGTACCTCAATCTTATAACACAGGTCCATATACGGTCCCTTTTTGCCAAATTGATGCTCAAGATCATCGTGATCAATGTCCTTCGTGCTCCACGAGACTTTGCAAATCCCAGTGACAGTATCATCAAGTTGGGCGGGTGGATTCTCACTGTCACACTGGTAGATTATCTCGGAGAGAGTGTCTGGAATGTCTTCACCATCTTTGTAAGATCGGCAAAAGCTATGCTGAACGGGAGCCGCTTTTGAAACATCTTGTCCCTATATCTCGTAGTCAGTAGTCAGAAGGTAAGACAGTTGTTGATTTTCGAACCTTGTGTAGATACCACCACATTTGACCACGAGCCATCCAGTCGCCTGTAACTGGGTCGCAGTACTTGTATTTTTTGCGGTGCACTCCTTTTTTGAATTCCTGTGCCATTGCCACGCCCAGACTTTGCCTTGCAATTGTTGAGCCGATGCTGAGTGTGCTGTGAACAGCACCTGGTCCATCAATGAAACCCTTAAAAACAGCCCCACGGCAGATGGCAGTGCGACTAGAAGAGTTAGAGGTTAGATATGAAATTCTAACAGGAGAGGCAGGGGCCTGCTTACGGGCTCGTATTAGGGCTCGTGCCGTCGGATTGTATCACCCTCAGATTCTGGTGATTATATCTGTTCTCTAAGTGCTGAAATAGATAGGGGCTTGTGCCAAACCCACCAACCAGAACAATTCCCTGGAGACAATGAGCATCAGGGCACCAGTGGGAGAGGAGATTTACTTGCCTTTACTGACAGGCCTTTAGCTCTGGCACTTTTGATCTGGCCATCAAGCAGTTTGTCAATTTTTGCGAATACTTCTTTGAATGTCTTTCGAATATCCGAACTTGGGGTACTGTAAGTCAAAGAAACGAAGCCATGGGGTATTTTTCGACTCACCTGGAGAAGTGTATTCTGCCGTTGATGATATGCGGCTCTCTTTCTATGTCATTTCGATCCGGGCCGTTAAAGGCCTCGTCTGGAATGGCGACGATATTCGACCTCTTACTGTCTGGGTGATAGCGTATCTTGATCTTGGTCTCCCATTCTGAATCCATGATATGTTTAATATGACCTGGGTTGAGGTTAGACCAACGCCGGCCTAGTCGCGCTTTACATATTCTGCGAAACTGCTCGTCCACGAATATTCCCCCACAGAGGTCACCTTATTCAAAGGGAATTAGAGTCAACTATTGGAAAGATTTACTCTTGGTATTTCGGGACTCACCTGTGCCGACGACTGCCTCGTGTAGTTTGATGGGCTTTAATTCTCCGACCTTGTAGCTAATCACATCCTATTTCCCCATTAACTCAAAGATAAAACCATCATTCTCCAATGGAAATTTTAACGTACCACAGTACCGCCACCAGCGTCGCAAATGACATAGACCTCGTCGGTTCTCAATTGGCGCCTCTGCAGGCCCAACGATGCCAGGCCTGCTGCCTCGGGCTCAGGAACAAAAGTCAAGATCGTTTGGGCAGCAGAAGAACGGCGGCGCAAGATCCCAGCCTTTCTGGCAGCCTCTTTCATTGATTCGCGTGCATAATCTTTCCAGATTGCAGGTATAGTAATGACAACATGAAACGCCAGGTTTGAGATGATCACATCACTTCGAGCGCTTCTGATCGACATGAGCGTATGAGCCCATAAAGCTTTGAGATAGTCTGCAGTGCAATCCACTGCGGTCTTGTTTTCGTCTTGGAGCATTTTCCTTGCTCTAACAATCAAGTCCTCACTTCGAACCTCTGACGATAGATCTTTGTCTCGTAGAAGCAGTAGTTTGAACCATTGGATTGGTTCCGCATTATCCGGGACTTCATATCCCCAGAATATCTTGCCATGTTCGTAGAAAATCCTTGTCGGAGCCTTACCTTCTTGCCTGTAAGCCCCTGGCCAACTTGTGATGGTCTGGATCTCGTTTCTCTCAAAGTCATCTACAGTGGCCCATGAAACTCCGGAAAATCTACAGGCACATTAGCATGAGATTCCAAACCAAATGCCCTTTCCCAGAGTCCTTTCCCAGAGAGACTGACGTGGTCCCAAAGTCAAGGCCAATGACCAAACGATCATTGAGGTGGCCATTCCTCGTCTCTCTCAAGGATTGAATCAGGTCCTGGAAGCCAACCCCGTCGATCGCCCTTGACCGAGAACGCACTGATGACATGGTTGCTCTCGAAGTTAATATGGAAGACTGGTCATAATTTGTGATCTGGTATCAGAGTAGCAAGAGTCGTCAAGGCTAGTAGCGGAGTACTGATGAGTAAAGTAGGGTAAATGATATTACGGGGATTAATTAAATAAACTAGGAGAAGAGAGAAGAGAGAGAAGAGAGAGAAGAGAGAGAGAGAGAGAGCCTCAAAAGGTTGATGCCAAATATACTGTACCCAGCTAGACTTCATCCTGGAACTCGTGCATTTGAAGCTCCCCGAGAGTGTCCATCACAGGTCAGCTGGATTTCGGCCCAACTCAAGCTGACTGCATTGAACTTATCCTATTCCAGACCTCCGTCTTGCAGTCTTCCTTTTCCATAGCCTCACTCTCCCGCTATTGCCGAGAAAATTGGTTCCCAGTCATTTCTTTCTACAGCCCCCTGTAATTCCAACACTCTATCATGTCTCGGGTCAATTCACCTATTTATCTAAAGGCGTGCCGTTTCCGTCATTTAGGAAAGTGATATACTAGTACACTGACTTTGAGCCCTAGTGAAATCGTTCTCAGCCAAACTCCCCCTATCATCGTTCGCTATTATCAGTCTCGACAAGGCACCACGCCCTAAAGAAAGGACCATCTTACTTCATTTCACTGTAACCTAAGTCTTATATTTCCAATGTCGCAGTGGTGCAGCACGCCGGCTCCCCAGAAAAATGAGTCGAGTGATGCTGAGAGAGCTACCAAATCCGGCGACCATGAGAGTGCTGCGCAGAGTGAAGAGCATGATCCCCGCCGCCATCAATCTCGAGCACGCGCTCAGAAAACTGTAAGGCCAAACTTGAGCCATGGGGCAGAACCCACTTCTAATGGAATACAGTCTGCTACTTTGGCGCACTCTGAGCCCCTGAATCATATTCCAACACGTCCGGTTATCGCTGCAAAGACAAGATTGGAAAGGGCAATGCTTGGCCTCGAAGTCGAGAAACGGTCTCATGATCAGACGAGAAAAGAGCTAGATAGACTCAAGCAAATCCTGAAAAACAAAAATGAAGAGCTTCACCAGGTTGGAAGCGACAAGGAGAAGTGGGAGCGGCTGGCTGTGGAGCGACTGAAAAAGTTCAAAGGAGCCGCACAGGAGCTGAACCAGCTCATTATCAGCACTCAAGTCTTTGGCAAAGTGAATGACAGTGATTTGCTCGCCAAAGCCGAGCAGCTACGAGGAGATATTGACAACCTTAGTTACTGTCACCTGAAAGAACCCAAGGATCTCGATATTTCCGATGCGACCTATAAACTCTTCGAACAACGGCTGGGGTTGCCCCAAGCTACAACAGTGAAATATTTCCAATCTCCGTTGTCGCCCTCAGAGCTGGTGCAAGCGTTCATATGGCAGACTCTCCGTGTCCGCGTTTTCGGGCGTTTCCGTTGGATGCCCCAATCTTCTGAGTCAATGAGTGCCATGAGTGGCTTTCTTGGTAGGACTTCTCGAAAATTCTCAAAAGCTTTCTGGTAGAGCTGTGGTAGCTAACACCAACCATAGAGCAATTCCTGACGTCTGGCTCGAATGCTATCCCCGATGCAAAACGCAGATTCCACACATGGAGGGCGACAACTACCAATGTAATGGCGGAAGTCGTAGGATTGGATACCGACAAGGTTTCAAATTATATTGAAAAGTTTTCTGAAGAGCAGGCTCGACTGACTACAGAGGAACTACATGGACTTGTCAAGTTATCATCGCACCAGAAAGTCGAGGATGAGCTCTGTGCGATATTCGACGATTCTGTGACTCTGAGTGAGATGATTGATACACAGCTAGCTTGTATTACCTGGTCCGATGTTAAGCACAGGGCAGCCGACAGATCTGCTTTGGGCAGGGCGGAACCTCAATCCGGAAGAAGTCGCTCGAGTGACAATCGGGACTCCAGACTGCTGGTGGCCCCGGGACTTGTGAGGAGTGGAAGATCATCGGGGGATAAGTTTGACGTTGAAGTGATTGAGATCTTGCCCCCGTTGTTCAAATTGATTGGATAGGCATGTTAAGCTACTAGGGTATCATTTTAGGAATATAGGTGAGGTCAGGACTAGTATATTGAAGTATCCAGCTCCTACTAAAATATACAAAGATACTATGTATGTGTATATATTTTACAACTACAATTTGCAACCCCGCGGATATCCCAAATATCATATCACAAAACAAAGAAAGAAAGAAAAGAAAACTGTTCAGCCTCACTACGCCGTTTGCCCGGGCAAGAGCCTAAATGGACACCTGCAGGTGCCAAGCTACCGAGTCATTGGTGTTAGCTATTATTGGTGCGTTGGCATGATTATTTACCCATTGCATATTGGCTGCATTACATTTGAAGCTACTGTACGGAGTACAGCCCATTGCGTATTCGCTCCAGCCTGTAGGCTCATCTTGCGCCCATCCTCATTGACCTTTTCGTATTCTTGTTATTGACTTGAGCCTCAACTCAACTGCGGGGTAGAAGAAGTACGTATAATATTTGTAATATTTGAATGTGGATGTACTGATATAGGGCCAATACATACCATGTACTAAATGCACCATAGTACTATGTATATATTAGAGGCTAGAGAGTGTGGAATAATATACTACCAAGTAATACACTAAACAGCATGTAATAACGGAATGAATCTTTCACGAAGTGTCAAAAATAAAATGTAAGAATTTCTTTTCCTTGCTCCTGTAAAATCATCTGTTCATTTCCATTGAACTTGCTTTTTGTGATGAGAATCAGAAAGAATTCTAGGCAATGAGTGGTGTCACCCCTAAGCGCTGTATTCTTTCCTGTTAGCATAGTTCGCACATGGATTAATGAAGGCGACGATGCATTAGAAGCAGTCCAAATTGCAATGTCGAGTCATGCTTTCACTATTCTCAGATTTGTATGGTGGAATAGTTGATAGAGGCGTCAAACTGCATCAACGCCGCTAGTCTCAATTCCGTAGCAGTCCTGAATTCTTGGCATGTAGGAATTGGCATATTGCAGTATATATATGAAATCCAAAGGGTTTAGTGTTGAACAGAGTTTATGAAAAATCCAAAGGCATGTTAATTATGACGAATTAAATTGGGTTTTCAACAGAGGCCAAGGGTATTCTATTCTGTAAGTCTTCGGAGTGGTTCAGCAGGTTTATATTTTGAATCTTTTTACGATTCAGTCACATATTGAATCCAGAAAAACTACCTAAAGAGAACTGCAAACCTTCTCTATCTTACCTACTGATATTCAATGTTGACATTCTGAGATCCCTGCTTCTCATCACCAATGTAGAAGTTGAATTCCATAGCTGCTCCTGAAGGAACCATCTCCAAGACATAATCCAACCTCTTTGTAGTTCTTTTCCCGTCCGCACTAGTATTATCCTTGAGAATAGGACTGTCTAATGGGACGCTGTAGGCGCATTTGACAGAGCATAATCTCTTAACCCCCTCATCAAGCCGACGGGGCGGGTCACTGCTGGGAGACTGATAAAGCCCATCGGAAAAGCCACTTTTCAAATCCTTTCTTAATAGGCGATAGAAGGAGTGTTGAACAGGCTTGATTTTTGACACGTTTTCTCCCTGTGTCGTGTTAGTGGACCAAAAATGTATGGTTGTGAAGAAAGCAACTTGCCTTTTTGAGATACCAGTCCATTTGGTCTGTAGCAACGTGTTCGCCTTCGTCCGAGTTCCATTCCAGCTCATCTTTGCTATGTATCGACGGATCGTACTTGCTGTAGCATGGAGTTCCTAGACTCATGCGGGAAATGGTGGATGTGACACTAATGGGCGACTCGACATTGAGACCTTTCATCCCTTTGTCACCATCGTGGCTCATACTCTCGGCATCGAGGAAGCCTCTGTAGATTGCACCGCGGCATATCGCTGTACGCCTAAAAAGAGCAATTCGGTTAGATCGAACATTGCAAAGGCAAGCTCATAATCATTTTATACTTACGGCCTTATGCCTGACGCTTGAAGAATAGTGATTCCCGCCTTTGAATGGCGATCCTTCAAGTGCTGGTACACATATGGGCTTGACCCTAGACCACCGACGAGAATGATGCTCTGAATATAATTAGCTTCGATGCCGTGATTTAATTTGTGTTGCCCTGGATAGAAATTCCATCATACCTTGACACGTATGTTCTTCTCCTTGGATTTGGTGAGCTGTTCATCGACCAGCTTGTCAATACCAGCTATAGAGTCGGTGAAGGCTTCCTGAAGATGCGACCTGATACAAATAACTTAGTACGTGTTATCCAGTGCCATTGGGTTCTCTTACCCCTTGAAATGAATGCGTCCTTTCTTGATATGCGGCTCGCGAGATGTGTCGTCCAGACTTGTGTTTTCAAATGCTTCCGCAGGGATTCTGATGGCATACTCTTTCTCGGCATTCTGAGGCTTGTATCCACGTTTGATTGACTGTTCCCATTCACCTTTCAGAATCTCCTTGATACCATTTTGGCTGATCTTTTCCCATCGTCGTCCCAGCCGTGCCTTTACGATTCGCTCGAATCCATTGTCAATAAAAATTCCGCCACATAGGCCACCTAGCTCAAGTGACTCTCCTTGTCAATACCTGTCTGCAACTTGTCTGGGTCATCGTAGGGACATGACAACTCACCTGTTCCCTCAACGGCTTCGTCCAGGGTAATTGGATTTACCTGGGATATCTTGTAGCTGATCAAGTCCTGTGCTATTCATTAGCTTATTCATTTTAAGTTCGTATAATGAAGAATAATCCCACTTACGACCGTTCCGCCACCAGCATCACAGATCATATAGACATCCCCAGGCTTAGCGTCGTTCTGTTCCTCAGAAAGAGTCGCCAACGCAGCGGCTTCGGGCTCGGGAACAAACGTTAAATGGGTTTTGCCTGCATCTCGCTCATCCAAAAGCCCAGCTTTTGCAGCAGCCTCCTGCATGCTTTGTCGCGCATATCCCTTCCATATAGCGGGAACGGTGATCACAATATGAAACCTCAAACTGTTGACAACATTCTCTCCTCGGGCCTTCAAAATCATTTCAAGGGTATGATTCCACAGAAGCTTCAAATAATCCGTCACCAAATCCTGAGCAGTCTTACCCTCATCGCGAACCTTTTTCTTCGCGCGAAGAAATAATTCAGAGGAGCGGATATCCTCCGGGGTATCTTCGTCTTTCAAAAGAAGGAGCTTGAACCAACTGATAGGGTCTGCATCTTTGGGGATTCCATATCCCCAGAATTCGTTGTCGTACTCGTAGAACATCTCCGTTGCGACTTTGCCTTCTTCCTGGAGGCTGTCTGGCCATTCAGTGACGAGGTTGATGCTCTTGCGGTTGAAGTCGGATAGTGTTGCCCAAGCCACACCCGAGTACCTTGACATGGTGAGCTTTGGAGAAAAGGTAAAGCGTAAGATGGTAGACCTACGTAGTCCCAAAATCAATTGCGATCACCATCAGATGTTCATTGTCACTCAGGTCCAATGATTCCATATGGCCAGCTTCAAGATCAGAATCAGAATCGAGGGACAAGACATCCTCGGCCGCTTTAGACCTCATTTTCTGATTGCGGGGTTTCTTTCGACGGAAAGTAGGACTCATTTGTGTAGGGATGACCCTTGAGAATGGCCTGAAGGAACGAGTAAAAGGTGGAAATATCCTGCAGTATGACTTCAGAGATTAAATAGTTCCCAAGAACCTCTTATAAAATTTTGAGCCCCATGTCCCTTGAGACAGGCGTATTTTCGTCATCTTTAGCCTAGCGGCCTCTAGAAAGGAGATACTGTCTCCAAAGCCGCTAATGCCGCCTCATTTTAATTCGAATAAACCTGTAACGCAATAACAACACCACTGCATTGGTTCTTGATCCATGCACGGCTTGCACGAAGTGCTTTTGGTTGCATGTCTACGTAGAGCAAGTTACCCCGAGTTACTGAAGCAGCCAGTCATGTACGAGATGCTGGCAAAGCCCGGGTGAGTTTGTGGCGGCTGATTATCACCTGCTAACCGCTCAGTGTTCGTGTGTTTATTCTAAAATTACGTTAGGTGCATAAATTCCAAAACGCCTCCTATTTTCAGCTTATAACTCTGTATTTGTAGTGAAAGAGGAGAACTCTGTCTTGGCAGGGTTCATTTTATTGAGCCAACTCCATTGGTCTACGTTTAGGCGCTCTCGTCACCGAGATCAAGCATGAACCCTGACTCGAAAATCCATTCCCGTTTTTGCAAATTCGATAATGATCTTCTCAAACTCGTGATTGCGCGCACTCCACCTCTTTTACACCAGACGCAGGGTATCATAAGACAGCATCGCTAATGCTGTACTTACTAAAAGAGGTATTTGCTTGCAAGAAAGTATTAAATCCTTAAATTCTTCAGACTCGAACCTTCTTGCATTGTCTGAAGATCATTTTCGTCACATTGAGTAGGCGGAAATAGGTAACTATACACTTTAGACAAATCAATAGCTACGTGACTATTGTGAAGACGATTGTTTCCGGAGGAGCACTAGTATCTCTTCAACTCAATGGAGAAAAAGCATAACATTATATGCTCATAATCTGCAATAGGCTTCTAGTAGTCCAAAGCCTAATTTAGGAATTCCCTGGTAAATAAAGAATTGCCACGGTGACCGCGCCAGTACCTCTCTGGTAGGACAATAGGCAATCTACAGTAGGAATTGATAATTGAAAAAAAAAAAGATTGGATTGATGTAGGCTACAATCCATGTGTACCTACTGCAACACCGTGATCAGAATCCTCCTCATGAACAAATCCCCAAAGTTCGAAATACACATCACAAAACCTGCAAAGACCTCCTCCTTCTCAACGAGATCCGTCATTCCATCATGATCATTCGAAAAAAGTTCACGGCTCTGCCAGACAAACACCATCTCCATCCGATCCTACTTCTGAGAGGTTCGTGCCTTTTTGCCTGACGTCCTTTCAAGTAGGTTCGGTCGCCATTGGGGGTGATACTCCAGCGCGCATGATTGTTTGGGTTGGCCACAAAGTTGGTAGGCACAATGTTCTCCATAAACTGGAAGCTTCTCTTCTTGGGCGAGGTGGCAGAAAGGGGAGAAACAGACTGCATGTGCTCCTTGGTAGGGGTGGAATAAATCCCCTGCATCTGCTTGGTAGGCTGCTGAGCTGCTGAAATATGAAGTTCCTGGGTTTGGTGCATCATATACTGCAGGCGCTCCCTAGGAGTGATAGGGGGAGCTCCCTGTGTCTGTTTGGTGGGCTGCTGAACTTGCTGAGCCACTTTAGTCTGAAGTTGCTGGGTTTGTTGCATCACAGACTGCATGTGCTCCTCGGGAGGAGTGGGAAAGTCTGCTTGCATTTTTTGGGCAGGTTGCTGAACTTGCTGAGTTGCTGCAACTTGGAATTGCCGAGGTTGTTGTATCATAGACTGCATGCGCTCCTTAGGGGGGTGGAATAAACCGCTTGCATTTGTTGGGTGGGTTGCTGAACCGCTGAAGCTTGAAGTTGCTGGGTTTTTTGCATCACGGACTGAATGCTCTCCTTGGTAGGGGTGAAATAAACCCCCTGGATTTGTTGGGTGGGCTGCTGGACTTGCTGAGCCGCTTCAGGTTGGAATTGCTGTGGCTGTTGTTGCGCTGCCCGCAGTTGCAGTTGCTGTTGCTGATACCGGAATTGACGGACTTGCGCTCTGTGCAGGTTAATCCTTTGACAGCACGTCTTAAACTGCTTCTCGTTGATCTGACACTGCTGTTGGTGGAGCTGGAGCTGCTGTTCGTCTCCGGGCTTCTGTTGTTTCAACTGAGCTTCGTGCTGTCGAAGTTGGCGCCATTCAAGACGAAGATACTGCTCTTGATCTCGGAGACGCTGTTCGATTTGAAGCTGCTCCTGCTCGCTGGAATCTGCCGCTGTCTTGCGAGCGTCGCCAATCACCGGGGTCACCGGGGCAGGGACGGGAGTCATCGAAGTAGGGAAACGACTCATTGGGGTAGGCATTGGTGTCGTCAGGGCGGGCGCAATCGTCTGAGGTGGTGCGACTGGGGCCACAGTTGCCTTTCCCTTCTCCTTGCGTGGAGTGCTTTGCACCTTTGCCTTCTTCTGCCTTTTGTGTAGCTCGTCATCTTGCTTGTTCTTGGGGACCCGCTTGGCCTTCTGCTTGGGTGGTTGCTTAGCAGGCTGGCGTCGCGATTTGCCATGTTGCAAGTCAAAGACCTTCACTGTTCCAATTGCTGTACCGGTAGTAGGAGTGACTTGGACAGCTGGATCAACAATTCCCGGGGCGCGTTGGGGGGCCGGAGTAACATTGGCGGCTGGAACAACATGGGCGATGCTGCTGATGGAAGGGTTCACTTGGGTAACCGGGGCATCAGTGGTGGGAGTGACTTGAGCAGCTGGATCAATGGCAATGAGAGCGCGTTCGGTGGCTGCAGTAGCAACTTTGGTGACTGCAGCGACTTGGGTGACTGGAGCATCAATGGCGGGGGTGACTTGAACAGCTGGATCAATGGCAATGAGAGCGCGTTCGGTGGCTGCAGTAGCAACTTTGGTGACTGCAGCGACTTGGGTGACTGGAGCATCAATGGCGGGGGTGACTTGAACAGCTGGATCAAGGACGACCGGAGCGTATTCAGCGACTGCAGGTGCAACTTTGGTAACTGCAACGAGTTGGGTGACAGGAGCAGCAGTGACAGGAGCAGTAATGACAGGAGCGACTTTAACAGCTTTACCAATGGTGACTGGAGCCTTTTGGGTGGCAGGAGCATTGTTGGCGGGAGTAAGTTGAACAACTGCCATGGGAGGACCCAAGTCGGCGTTTTCGAGACAATTGAGGGTATCCAGTGGATAGACTGTGCTCGAATGGTTGGTGTAAGTGTTGGGCGGAGTCACATCATCGATCATGATGGGAGTAGACGATTCAGGGTCAAGCTCCAGGTGATCCGAGGTCGCTGGGCCAACGACAGGGTTCACGCCGAATTCGACAAAGGCCTTGTCGAAATCCGAGCCAGGAGCCTCATCGGGGTCTCCTTCAAAGTGATATCCTAGGAACACAAGTCAGTTCGGTCCGATAGTCATAAAAAAGATGTAATTACCATTGGCACGAGCCAGTTCCCAGATGGACATGCAGGAACCATCTTTGCGGTAAATTGACTCGGGGATTTCCCATTCGTCAAGACCCAAGATAGCCTTCTGGGGATCTTCGTCATAAGGCACCGCGGCAATTGCGTCGGTGAAGAACTGGGTGGGTCCGGGGGATGCCATAACGAATGATGAGATGAATGTGAACGATGGAATGGATGTAAATGATAGTACAGCTGATAGAGTCGTGGGGTCAAGGAAGGTACAGAAACATGAAAGTTGATAAGAACAAAAGATGAACGAAGGGTGTCAATTGCTCGAGTGGAAGGCTCGATGAGCAATGACTATGGAACAGCTAATTGTATTTTGTAGTGAATGAATGATATTGGATGAATGGGTAAGATGGTGCAAATATGGGGAAATGTGTGGGGGGGAAGAAGGTATGGGGAAAGAAAGAAGAAGAGAGGAAGAAGGAAGGAATAAGGATGAAGGATGAATGGTGAATGGGGAAGTGGGAAGGTACGTGACGTGCTCTTGTTCAGGGCAAGATGATGGGGTTTACATAGATGAAGCCCTGTCTCCGTTCCCCATGGGGTAGTTGAGTCGACCACAAAGGGCACAGGGTTAGGTCAGGTTATGTCAGGGTTCAGTCACGGATGCTCCCATCAACTCCCAACATAAAGTCACACGACCAGCTCCAGTGGTTCCCTCCTCATTGACTTCGGATGTTTCGTTGGATTCACTGGACTGTCCACTAGGAAGGACCATAACCGTGAATCCGTCCCTTCCTTCCACAGCTTCTTTACCTAAAGTAGCGACGGCAAGCGCAAACCAAGACAAATTGCTGGCCTTAGTACTTTGCCTGTCCATTAAACAATGTCAGCTCTCAACCCGACTTTTATACCAGATATTCGCAACTCACAGCAGATTGAGAAATAGCTGCATGATCCAACGGGACGATATCAAACCATGCCATTTCAAACTCATCAAATCACAGGCCTGGCTTTCGTCTGCGTCCGGAACTGCATAACGACTCAGGTACGGATCGACGTCATCTTCCCCAGATAGCCTTGGAGAAGCCATCTGGACCATGGCAAGCCATTCAGACAGGGAGCCAGAATGTTCCTGCAGATCACCTTCCGACATTTCCTCGAGTACTTTCCCGTTTTTGTAAAACGGCGGAGTCATTATTTGCTCGTGGTCAATTTCCTGTGGCTCGCAGGTTATCAACTGTGGTTGAACCTTATTGATCGGCTTGTTTCCTGCTCCAACTTTTAGCATGTTATTCCTACCGTTTCCTTTTTTTTTTTTTTTTGGCTTCGGGGGCATGATCACCTTCATCTAGACCGGAGTTGCTTTGCAGGTCTTGGAAGAGCCAGGCCATTGATTGAGTCAGAACATTAGCGAATGCCCATACAATTCTTTCAAAGCCTTTCTTGCCGTGCAGCATCGAGGGCAGCCGTAAGTTCAATTCGACCACTGATGACATGATTAGTAAGGATTCATCCAGTCCGTTTGCTCGGCTTGTTCTCACAGAATCGTTCCTTTGCATGCTTTCTGCCGCCACTGCGGAAAGGCTTGCCCGTGAGACCTGTTCGCTCATAGATCTCCTTTCCAAGTTCCATTCGAAGGACCCCTGTTTTCATTCGAGTCAGCTTTCGGTTCCGCGACAAGACTCTTCCAGCCGCAGCTTTAGCAGAACGAACCATCTTGGAGTGTGAACACATTATCGGACCCCGAGCGTCCTTCAGATATCATCAAAATATTCCCTATATCCTGAGTCAGGTTGCTGTCTTTGATGAAATGAACTCTCTGAGCACAAAAGCTGTCTGATGCTTGTGCAACTGATACCCATTCAAGTATGGAAGAGCTTTGGGGCTGAACTGGCGGAGGCACAATTACCTGACTTGATATATGTGTTGAAGAAATCATGCTCAAGCAGAGCCGAAGGAGTCATGAACACTCGTGCATACCGAGGTTTTTCTAGTTTGGTCTCGAGCCATGGTTTGATTTTTGAGTAGACCTCCTTTGGCAAGATAACCTCGACCTATACCCAATGATCAGTCAAATGACCTTTCAACTCTCAAAGCGAGCCGCTCATCACTTACTGAGTGTACAAATGCATGATTCTGAATCGTTGAAAAGGGTGATCTCTTGCTAGGAATCTGCTTTGGGTCGATGAATGCCGGCAGTTGAGCGATGGTTGTGAAACACTTTTCACGACGCGACGCATCATCCACTTCTTCAAACATGTTGTTTCTGATGGCCTTCGAAGTGATGCTTAATGTTGATAATCGAGGCCCTTAAATTCTCGAGGGTTAATTTTTCAGCCGAAGGGTGAGGTTCGATTAAGCTCAGGCTTATCGGACCCATAAGGCTGCAGCTATCAAACGTTCCACATTCAAATGGTCCACGGGTGCATTGGTATTTGGGGTATTTTAACAACGTTTAGGTAACAATCTTGGAACTTTTATTGGAATACTGGAATATTATACAAGATCTAGATACACATATGTATAGAGTCTAAATGGCAGGTGTGAATTCAGGAAAGAAAGTATCAATGATTTTCAACAACCTCAATATTGTAATGAGTATATTAGCTTAATGTAGCCTTGCTTTTATGTCGACCTGTAGGAGACATATGAACTTAGGTAGAGCTCAGTCTCAGTTCCTCTGGGTTGAGGTTTATTCAACAGCTTCTATTGTGCGACCATGTATATATAGAGCAAACAAGAGAGACTGACAATTAAAATACATAACTCCAAAAAGCACCTATGGCTCTGGAATAAATCAAAATATGTAGAATAACTTCAAATTAATTCTAATCTACCAGTTGTAGGCCAAGCAACCTTGTGTCTACGGCATAATTCCTGATGGTATTGATATGTAGTGCGTAAAGCGCATCTCCTTCAAGATTCCTTATAGGTGGGAAACCGTGAGGCTCATTCACATACAAAATTGCAGACTTCCTATTCATGATTTTCTTCTATCCCAAAAATTTCACCAGCTTTTTTTTTTGCGATTGAAAACACAAATTAGACTCAAAATCCAATCTAATTCGGCAGAAAACTTTTGGTGCCTAAGGCCAGAATCGCAATGGCAGCAACGCCCGATAAGGATTCCCCGGCAGTATCGGGCTCTCTAAAGGCGGTACCTGAGCACTCTCCAATTCAGTCGGTCCATCGTTCTTCGAATAACATCAAGCCTAAGCTGCTAGGCCATATTGCTTCTACTTCTGCCATTGCTTCTGCCGTTGGCTCGAATGCAGGTAGACGTCCAGTCTTGCGCCAATTGCTAGAGGAGGAAGACGAAGAGATGGCGCCCGCTTCGCGTCGCGAGCTCCTACACAAGGATCACTTCGCATTTGTGTTTGGGAGCGTGAAGACGCAAAACTACTTGGATCCTGTTTCCAAGGGCCCAGGCTCTCACACGTAAGTTGAGTTTTTGCTCCAGGTGCTGTCGTCCATGTACAACTTACTGACAACGATATGGGACCACAGGATCCGCACTCTTGCCTGGAACCCCACGGGCCAGCTGATTGCGACTGGCTCAGCAGATCGCACTCTACGAATCTGGAACCCGGAACGTCCTCATGTACGATACTCTACCGAATTGCGTGGCCACACAGCTGGTATCGAGAAGGCTCTTTTCAACCCAGTCCGCGATGCGGAGCTGGCCAGTTGCTCGGCCGATGGTACAGTGCGCTTCTGGGATGTGCGCTCCAAGACATGTGTGAGCCGTCTCGATGTTGGCGGCGAAGCATTTACACTCTCCTGGTCTGCTGATGGCAGCACAATGATCGTCGGCAAGAAGGTAATCATGCAGCGTTGCGACTCCGCAGCCTTCCATCTCTCTCATGGCAAAGTTACTAATACACGATATGTAAACAGGACGACACTTTGATTCCCGTCTCCGTTAAATTCCCCTCCTCTCCTACAGCCCACCCTGATGGCGTGAATGCTCTCAACCTCCCCTCCTCTACACCCGGCGCAACCACATACACAGCTCTCGACCCTCACCCTCAGACCGTTCAAACAAATGCGACAACCTTCTCCTGGTGCATGCCGACGCCCGAACGTCCGGAGCAGCATGTATTCGTGACGACAGGCGAAGGCAAGGTCAAAATCATGTCCTACCCTTCCTTCGATATTATTCACACTCTCAACGCCCACACCTCAGCCTGCCTTTCAATTGCGCTTGCCCCGACAGGTCGATACCTCGCAGTTGGCGGAAGCGATGCTCTCATCTCCCTCTGGGACACGACTGACTGGATTTGCCGTCGCACTTTGTCCAGCGAGAATGGCGGTGCTATTCGTGGCGTAAGCTGGAGCTTCGATGGCCGCTACATTGTTGGCGCATGCGACGAACTTGGATGTGGTGGCAATGGACTGGAGATATTCCATGCCGAGTCTGGTGATAGCATTTACACAATTCCTACTGCCGGCATCAATGCTGGTGTCTCTGCTGTTGCGTGGCACCCCTCTCGTTACTGGCTGGCTTACTCGACTACCACTGATGGACCTGGTAGCTCCAGCGCTGGAGGCTTGAAGATTGTTGGTGCTGCTGGTGGTGGCCTGTAATTTCAAGCATCGTATTGCACTTCTCCTTCTTCAGCAAGCTTTTTTTTTTGGCTCTAACCTCTATGACCTAGATTATTATTAAAAATTATCATGATTGGACGTATTGAAAAAAAGACCAAAGGATTGCTAAGTAAGATCAATAGATTTCTTAGGAATCTGGTGTAATATTGTAGTGATTGTTTATTAACATGGATTGACAGGCCCCAAATACCCCGATTGCAATCGTAAAAGCTATCCAAGAGTGAAGAATCCCGCCCCGAAAGGACCGTTCATTCGTTCGTCATCAAATCATTCAAAAGCAGAGCTTAATGGAAGCCTATCAGGCTGCCACTTTACTTAGAAATTGTGCCAAGAAGAGAATTGCAAAGGGATTTGCAGTTCTGTGGTTAGTAAATCAACCCCAGGAAAAGAAGGCACTCAGTCCAAGATATCACAAGAAGTGACCCTAATATTTGTGGAACCAGGGGACCGATGCCTCATGTGTCAATCTCAGCTTGGGGAGGGGGAACGCGAAAGCAAGACATAAGTATCCAATAGGATGACGACTTGCTTCGATTCGTATGTGAGATATCCAGCCAGTATTGATAAGGGCGTCGATGGGTCGTCCTAATTAGTGAGACCCTAAGATCTCGGACTTTGAGCGGGTTGGGGGAACACGAAGCCCAATGTCATCCATGCAGGGGCAACATGAGATTTCTTTTGTTGAAACAGTCTCAAGGTTGGTGTGCTATCGACGAGACCATTCGACTAAGATACTTTCATGGGGAAGTATATTCTACCACATGTTGCGCTCATGATGGCCGCCAGTTCTCCCAGCCGGTATTGGTCCCATGTTCGCTCTGGATTTGGCTATTCAACATTTGAGCCCATTGAGATTCACTGAAAGTCTCCATGTTTAGACCGTCAAAGCTCCCATTGCCTGTCTCTGGATTTGGGGTTGGAAGGTCCCATGCAGAAGGCATGGAAAAGATTCCCGACGCTCCTGTGCCAACTGATGGGCTATCAGAACTGTTTGGATAAAACCGACCAGCCATAGAACCCAAATCAGTGACCTGTGGGTTTGTGTTTCCTTGTGGCATGATGTTTCGATTGACCTTATCAAAGGACGCGGCGGACGCCTGACTCGGATACCCCGAGTTCGTCGCTTTATTGTTGCTCCCCGGTGAGGGGTTGTCAGCACCATTGACTGAATAGGAGGTGTTGGAGGATGAGTTCAAAGTTGAGGGAGTGGGATGGTCTGATGGTGGGTTGTTCCTGTCGCTGAGGTTGCCGAAATCAGTTGGAAAATCCATGTCCATGTCGATAACGGCGCCTGGTTGTCCCGCTTGGTCCATTTGTGAATCTGTCGCCTGAGTGGAAGTTCCGAAATAACGACGCGTACCGTCGCCATTGAAGACTGGTCCTGTGGTGGGTTGTGTCGTTGAGTCCCGGTTCCGGCTAGGGAGGGACGTCGTCAAACCGGCAGGTATAGGCCGTTGATTGCCACCGCGATTTGCACTGTGTTGTGGAGACACCTCCTTCGCGATACCTTGTGTTTGGCGGATGTTGTACAAAGGGTTACAGTCGACACTATCATGGCAATATGTGTGCTAGAGAAAATGGGATTAGCTTCGATTGGGCATCGGGGAACAAGCCAGGGGAACCTACTACCATCGAATGTGCAGCAGACATGTTGGTTTTCTGTTTATCGTCCAAAGCGCGAATGCCAGTTCCATCAAGATCAACATCCAATTGAACAAGGAACGACTCTGTTAGAGGGTTTTTGTTCTTCATAGCGTTCAGAGCGGAGACCAGAAATTGCAACGAGGAATGAACACTGGAATCCTCTGGTCGGGATTTAAGATACTGCACAAAGACGCGAGCAGCAATATAGAGGCAAAATGACATGAAAGGGTTGAGCTGCAAGGTGTTAGTGCAAATAATTTGGGCAAGAAGCTCAATAGAAACTCACGCTCGTCAAATCAACGTGGCTGATCATCTTCATGGTACTCGAAATCTGGTTGGCGGCGACAAGGCATCTGCGTTTGCTCTCAGTCGTAATCTGATTCGGCATCTTGTTCTTTTCGGCCTTGAATATTGCCGCTTGGTGAAGACATATGGTTGAAGTATGGATGCTCATGTTGGCGAAAATGACGTTGACGTCCGACATACCACTTGGAAGTCGAAGATGATCAGGCAACGAGAGCGAAATGTGCAGAAGAATATTATCATGGCTTCTGTGGCGCTTCCAAAACTCTCCATTGAGGTCATGGTCATTGTCTTGGGGCTGAGGCCGATGAATGTGTATGAGGTTACGACCGAAAAGACTTGCCAAAACCATCACGCATGCGAAAGGTGCTAGTGTGGAGACGGCTCCGGTGGCGATATCGTTTAGATGAAGTGTTCGCTGTGGCTTGCTCTTGGTAAAAGCTTCTTCGGATGCGGGGAGGTTGGTCATGATCTGCTTGTTGTCAGCCTACCACCCTCTACGCCAAAGTTCACGAAGGAGATACTTACATCGTTCTCATCAATAAGAATGGGCCAACCGGTTCCAACGCTCGAATATCTATCTGTGGCAAATGCGCCCCAGAAGACTCTCCTGCGTTCTTCACGCTCTGTCCAATCTTTCGGTGGTAAAATGGATTGCTTGACATCGAGGCCAACACCATCTAGCCGATTTAATCCCAGCATCAGTGCTAGTCTTGCAGCTTTTCCAACGCTCAGCCAGGCTCGTGGGAAATAGATCATTCGGAATTCATATGTGCCGATAAAGATCCATGTTTGGCAATGTGCTACACTGACGATGTTCTCTCCGAATCCTTTCATTTCGTCCACCTCAGCATACTTGCGTGCCCGCTGGTAGAAATGGTTATGCAGAAAGAAGTATTTGTCACTGACAGATGCGGCATTGCACCACATAATGTATCGTAGACAGATTGGTGGGCGCATATTAGGAGCGAGATTCAGGGCTGCATAGTAACGGGGGCGGTGGATGATGGGCATCATTGGGTAGATCTTCTCAAAGAATAAAGCATCCCTAGCCAGTACCACTGTATTAGACACCAGTTCATAAAAAGAAAGCCGCATAGAACACGTACAGTTCATCAATCACATCCTGTGAAGGGAGGGGCTCCTCCAGTCCTAAACTGATCAAGTCCCATTGGGAGTTGCTGCCACCCTGGGTAGTTGGCGGCGGAGGGAATAACATTTGATTTGACTGGCCTGCGCTGGGAGCAGTCGAAGTTGAGTACGCGTTATCCATGTTTCCTCCAATACCTCCTAGCCCTCCCAAGTCCGAGAGGTCAGGTAAATCCAGTATAGATTCATCGGCAATAGGTGCTGTGAATGCATTCTCCAATGGTTGAGGTGGGGAGGTTCGTCGGGTGGGTTCCGGATCCTGACCTTTGAGAAGAGTCTCTACTTGAGCTGATACAGACATGGTTGTTAGCGACATAGCTCACTGTCAATACAGTACTTGCGACCATTGTTTTCGATGAGTTCGTACCTAATCGCGCTTCAAGCTGCTTGACATATCCCCGTTTAGGACCACTCTTCTTACGTACTTCATCGTAGGAACATTCATGTCCCAGACGTGAGCAAGTCCCACAGCTCGGTCGTCTCCCATCACACCTCAGTTTCCTCCTCCGACAGACAACACATGCGATGCGCTTGGGGCGGGGAACGAAGTTGCCTTCGGTGCTAGTGCTTTCGGCAGCGGCGCCACTTTCACCAGGCATGAATTCCATTTGGGACTGGCCGTATTCTGTGGAGTATTGCGACGATTCGGGTCCAAAATTGGACGCCGGAGGTGCCGCCATGGCGGGCTTGATCGCAAATTTACGACCTCGGGATGCGGTTTAGTAGCTGAGTAATTCAAGTAGATGACTTCCAAGGTTGATGGCCAACTCTGGTTTATCCGGGCGCGTTTTTTTTAAAGCAGAAATGGCACGAATAGGATAGACCCTGGAGCGTCAACGAGCCTCCAACTGTTGGCTGGATGTGCCCAAGTGGGGATGTGAAAAGGAAGTTCTATGAATGACGGAAGTTCGAAGTTCGTATCAGGAGAGGCTGAGCATTCCTCCGGCCCTAGGCCTGTCTTAATGAGTTAAATCAAAGAGCCCCTATTATTTGTTTCGATCGGATTCTAATTGAAACCACGGGGGAGTCTTGAATTTCCATGCTAATTCCCAACAAAGGCGTTGACAGGTGCGGATCAGCAGAGAGGGCCACGCACCAGCAAGATTGCCTAAAGGCTTGGCATGTCCACTGTCTACCCAGCCGGGGATCTACTTACAGCTAATCAGAGTACGTTCTACTTTACACACAACAACTAATCTACATAGTTATGTATATCCATTATATGCAGAGAGATAAAATGGTTTATAAATCTATTTTCTTTCGCTTTGAATGTATATGGCCTCGAGCCATCGTACTGTACAGTGCCCATTGCCCGAGTTTCAGTCAGATGGCAGATGCGCAAAACAAGAATCCCCAAAGAGCGCATGGTAGAAGAAACGATGAGGCATTTAATGTGTCAAGAAACAGGAAAAGATATCGTACAGTCATCCTCTGCGTGGTAGGGATGAGGTATAGGGTGAGGAGATACAAATGGTTCAGAGACAAAGGCAAAGCAACATCATCTCTAGTTGTATCCACGACGGCGCTTTCCTTGGTTGCGAGGTCTGGCATGCACAACAGCCTTGTTGATCTTCCATTTCGGGCGGGTCTTGTAGCCGGATTTGGTCTAGAGGTGAAAAAGAAGAGTCAGTCACATGGAAGTTCGAAGGGTGCGAAACAAAAGGATATACATACCGGAATACCCCAAGGACTCTTAGGGTCGACGTTACCCTTAGACTTTCCTCGTCCACCACCGTGAGGGTGATCCATAGCGTTCATGGCCAGACCACGCACCGTCGGACGAATATTGAGCCAGCGTGAGCGACCAGCCTTTCCGAGCTGGGTGTATTGGTAGTTCGGGTTGCTAGCAATACCAACGGTAGCGCAGCAGTCCTTGTGAATGAGCCGAGTCTCACCACTTGAGAGACGGACAGTGATGTGCTGTGCCAGACGCTCCTGCTTCTGCTGCTCACGCTGCGACAAGGGCTTCTTTTCGGTCTCAGGCTGTTCGTCTTGAATTGTTTGCTGGCGCGAGTCACTACCCTTGGCCACGACTGTAGCATATGTTCCAGCACTCCGACACAGTTGACCACCCTTCCCGGGTCGCAATCCCAAGTTGAAAATCAATGTTCCCACCGGAACCATGTGCAACGGCAAGCAGTTTCCTCTCCAGGCGGTTCTGGCCGCGAGCACACCGGGATCGACAGTGCTGCCCATGCTCTTCCACAAATCTTCGGGAATTCCGGACATATAACTCTGGACCACGTCGCCGGCGCGCATGCCATCGGCTGCGAGAATGTAGCTCAACTTGCCGGTCTCCTTACTAGCAGTCAGAGCGATGTGTGCAGTGCGTCCGGGATCGTACTCAATACGCTCCACTGTGTGCGGCCCCGGAGCCATGCGCAGAAAATCGATTGTCCGAATTCGACGCTTGGCACCACCTCCATGATGGCGGACAGTGACTCGGCCAGAGTTGTTTCGACCACCCTTGGCGTGACCACGTTTAGGGAACGTTAATTTGTGCACTGGGCGGCCTTTCCACAGATGATCATTCACAGGACGCCGCAAATGTCTCACACCAGGGGTGCGCGGAGTGTAGGTGCGCAGCTGAATGCCAGCAGAATCGCGGCCGGGGGGAGGAGCGAACGAGGCGTTGGGGTCAATAAAGGTGTTGACTGGCGTTTCGATAGACTTTGGCTTGTTCTTCTCGATTTCATTCACGATTGTCGAATATCCACGAACTGGCGAAGGCAGAGAAGGTAGACACCTAAAGGGCAGCCGAATGCCCCGTAGGGCAATTCGGGGTTGGAGCATTGCTGCCAAAGAATGGGGGGGATGGAGGGGAAAGGCGGGTTTTGAATGAATCAATTGAATAGAATTGCAATGGATGAAAGCCAAATGTCAATAGAGCAGACCAACAAAAGACTCAACTGCACCTCTCCTCTGCTTTGTAGATATGCACCCGACTCTCCACAGAAACAAAAAGTTCGCTGGTCACGTGAACTTCCTCCTGTACCGCCTCATCTACCGCCACAATACATATAATGTGGCTGAGGTCTGGTCACGGGAGTGCATCCATGGATCCAATTTGACCGCCTTGTGTCAGATATTGGCACGTGACTTCTTTGTTACATGAGGTTCGATACTATACGAAACCGAAACGCAGTCGTTGTCCCAGCAACCAGTTTATTTACCCATTGCCATACTCACGCGTATCTCCCTTCATTGCTGGATCTACTTTTCTCAACCTATCTGAACACATCTTTTTCTTGTTTCTATTCCGTTCTTCATTGTTCAGTCCAATTCTTCATTCTAGAAATTTAACCAAAAAAAGGGCTCGAAGGTCAATTTGGTGATCCACGCGACTGGCTGAGTGGGGCTACTTGTTTTCCACGCTAAGGACGGTACTAGGGCCAAACATCGCCTTTTGCCCTCAAGCTCTCTTCCTTTTCCCTCATCATTCCAGTTAAAGCTACCCTTCCATCTTTTCCCCCACTCCCCAACTAACAAATTATCGCGTGCGGATTCCTGTTTTACAGCGTCCGCGGGTCATTTCTGTATCATTTGACATCTTTTTCCCCCGATTCGCGCGCCATTTGATCTTCAGAACCAGGGTTCTGCGCGGTCTTGATACACATCAACATAGTCATCTTTGGGCCGTAATTATCGACTCATATCATCCCCACCTGTCTGAAAGCTACCTCTGCCTACTGGCATTGTAGTTTCTTCAGAACAACCGCATTTTCACGCGTGGTACGTGCACCTTGTTCTTCACCCTCTGGTATGAGGTCCCCACCGAGGCAATATCAAATGGAATGCTGACCTGATTTCCCGAGCAGGACAAGGATCATTATATTCCTGTCCCCTTTTTCCCTTCCTACGCGTCGCTTTCCTTTTATTTTCTTCACGATGCCGCAGGTAAGCAATCTTTAACCTTGCCAAAAGACGCGTTTGATATCCTGGTTGCGGGATATCTAACCCATTGCATCGAGATCTGGGTGTATCCTATGACCTCACTACATTGATCACTGACTCCATTGCAGGCCCGCAGCCTTCGTACCAGAGGCACGATGAATGAGAACGACGAGAACGGCCCATCAGCACGTCTGACACGGGCCAAGACAGCCGCTCTCAGCACTGATGCTGGAGCTAAGAAAACCCTGCAGACGAAGCGAACCACGTCGACTGCCGCGTCTAATGGATCTCAACGTCCCCGTGCTGCCCTCGGTGATGTCAGCAATGTCAACAAGGCGGATGGTGCGGAGATAAAGGGTGGGAAGAAACCGGCCGCCGCCAAGGCTGGTTTGACCTCAAAGGCAACCGTCCAGACCGGAGGCGTCCAAAAGCTCAGCCGTACCAACTCCTCACGAACAGCCACACGATCTGCCCTTCAGCCCCGCGACTCGAACAAGAAACCTGCTGCCAACGCCCACAAGCGTCCATCGGTTAAGGATACAACCATCCAAGCCGACGAGCCTCCCCGCAAGAAGCCCGAGCTTGAGCGAAAGACCCGAATCGAGAATATCGTGGAAGAACCAGCAGTGAAGGAGCCGGAGATTAGCGTGAAGGATGCTCTGAATGACGCTGTGCAGGATCTGGACACTGAGGACTTGGATGACCCATTAATGGCCGCCGAATATGTGGTTGAAATCTTCGAGTATCTCAAGGACCTTGAGATCATCACCCTGCCCAACCCTGATTACATCGACCATCAGCCCGACCTCGAATGGAAGATGCGTGGAATCCTTGTCGACTGGCTCATCGAAGTGCACACCCGTTTCCGTCTCCTCCCCGAGACCTTGTTCCTTGCTGTCAACATCATCGATCGCTTCCTGTCCGCTGAGGTTGTCGCCCTCGACCGTCTTCAGCTCGTTGGCGTTACTGCCATGTTCATTGCCTCGAAGTATGAGGAGGTGCTCTCCCCTCATGTAGCGAACTTCAGCCATGTCGCCGATGAGACCTTCTCGGATAAGGAAATTCTCGATGCCGAACGTCACGTCCTCGCAACCCTCGAGTACAACATGAGCTTCCCCAACCCCATGAACTTCCTGCGACGCATCTCCAAGGCCGATAACTATGATATCCAAACCCGCACTCTGGGAAAATACTTGATGGAGATCAGTCTTCTCGATCACCGTTTCATGGGCTTCCCCCAGAGTCACATCTCTGCCGCAGCCATGTACCTCGCACGTCTCATCCTCGAGCGTGGACCTTGGGTATGTTATGTTGCATTTCGCCCGTTCCGCACATCTAAACTAACTTCTCATAGGATGCCACTCTCGCTCACTACTCTGGATACACTGAAGAGGAGATCGAGCCCGTCTTCCAATTGATGGTTGATTATCTTCACCGCCCTGTCTCCCACGAAGCCTTCTTCAAGAAATACGCCAGCAAGAAGTTCCTCAAGGGTAAGCTACACTGATATTTCCTTTGTCTCATGATATGCCATTCTAATCAGTCTTCTAGCTTCTATTTTGACTCGCCAATGGGCCAAGAAGTATCACCACCTGTACGTCGACAGCTCTGAGCAGAGCAGTTACGCCAAGGATGAACAGTAATTGTACCATTTACGATGTCATGCTACTCCTGTCTCGCCAACGTCGATGCCTTTCATGACTCCCTAAGGCCCTTGCGACGACTTGAGCAGGGAAATCGAATTCCTACATATGTTGGCATTTCATTGTGCTGGTATTCACTACACTACCTTTTGCATATTCTTACGACGACTTGATTGAATTTCTGCGCTTTCCGCATTTGTCTTCTGTGATGGGGTGTTCGGCGCTCGGCCCTGTGTGCTATTGTTTTCTTCTTTTACTCCTACATCTTCAACCTCGGCATGCTTGTTTTCCATGCATGGGCATCTGTCTCCCGCCTGCCTTCATATCTTACATTCTCGCCGTGTTGCAGGCGTCGGGATCTATTTTTCTCCTTCAAATCGCAATTTTATCTTGCTTCACCCTAAGTCGGCTTTGTCTTAGGTTGAGCGATACAGTGCTATCCCCCTTTGGATCACTTTTTTTTGTTTATCATGCAAGTTCCGAAGGCTTGCACGTTTGCGCGGCATTGCGGATTGGAAATCTTTTGTGGGGCCAAGGTGGCTATGGTTTTGTTTTTGTTTCTCGGGTGTTTCTCAATTCATCGGCTGGAAGATTCGATTGGTTACTGAAGCTGAGTCTTCCTGGCATGCAAGATTGATATCGGATGGACGGCCGAGGTGGTAATCAGTGACAAGTTGGACTGCTTTTGTTTTGTTCAAAATAGTTGGATTTCTAACACTGGATCCGTGTGTATGGCGTGCTTATTGAAACCATTTTTTCTTTAATTCCTCTTCTGTTCTTTTTTTTTTTTGGTATATCTATTGCTTGTAGATGCGTCCAATTAAGCTCACCCAGGGGTGCTTAGCCGAGGCTGGTCCCGAGGTCTTCCCAGGGTTCCGTCCCGGGGCTCTGTGAGCCGCTGAATCACTTTCGGATCGACCTCTATCTCCTTTACTACATATTTCCATTCGTCTTTGACGTTGATACTAAAACAGGTTCACGACCCCACATTCGGACCGAATAAGTACACTATTTTATCCCGTCATGGATTCCACTGCACCCCCGCCATGCCCGTTCTGCAATATCGCCTCATCATATCCTCCAACCCCGTTCAATGACCCTGAGTCCAATCCAGTCGCTACTGCCCCGGATTCAGGTCCATTGTCCTACATCATCCTTTCCACTGAGCATGTTCTCGCCTTCTTGGACATAATGCCGCTTACCCGCGGCCATGTGCTCGTAGCGCCAAGAAATCATTACAAGTTGCTAGGTGACATGGGTGTTCAAGCAGGACAGGAGGTACTTAGTTATTTCCCCTCGCTTTATCTATATCTATTCGAAAAATGCTTCTTTTGCTGATCCTTTTCTTTAATTCGATGCATAGATGGGGAAATGGCTGCCTATTCTCTCCAGGGTTGTAACGAAGACTGTGTTTGGCGATGATCCCGACAGACATTGGAATGTTGTACAGAACAATGGTATGTCTTGCCCTTGCTTTTCGCCATTTCCGGAAACCCTTGATCTTTATTGTATTTGAACATGGAGTAATTCTCCGCTGTATGCTGTCACGTATTTGATGTATCAATATTGGTATTCAAGGAGGTGGGATACCCCTGACCGATATCTTGTTTTATTTGTCACTCAACCAAAGCGGCATTTTGTGATCACATGTCTATGGAAGAAGAAAAAGAAATAAAATCATCTAACTGGGTAACAGGCGAGAGAGCAGCACAGGTAGTACCCCACGTCCATTTCCACATCATCCCGCGGCCTGCTCAGGGGGCCAATCAGAGAACAAGCTTTGCTATGTTCGGTCGTGGGCAAAGAGAGGAGCTCGACGATGATGAGGCTGAGGTATTGGCTCGTGAGTTGAGAATTGAGCTGGCCGAGGAAGTCAAACGAATTTTGAGGGACGAGGGTGTGGACTTGGCTGCAGACTTGGTTTCAGAAGGAAGCCAGCGAGGGAAGCTGTGAAGTACACTGTGTCTGGTATTTTCTCTGTTCTTGCATCTGGTCATTGGTCCCATCCTAGGGTCATTCACTGCATATAGATATTTCTATTACCCAATTTTGCAAGCCTCCGAACTTGGTAGGCTAGATAGCTTCCTATCGAATTTCTGATATTGGAGTCCTCATTCAGCCGTTTTGTGGTCCTTGTCGACCCTGGTGCCATGGCCTGGGAGCATATGCTGGTGCAACAAATTAGCCATGTACTGGGCCATCAAATCATAGATAATACGTACCACTCGTCGGAATGCATTGAGAGCATCTGCAGTAGTACCCTGGTCGTCAATGTTTTTCCGGGCCAGTGAGATATCCGATAATTCTCCCTCGGGTAGACGACGGTAAGTTATAAGTCGACGAGCCCCTTTAAGACACAAAATTAGCCAACCAATTTCAATATCATACTTATATCATAAGGCCTGTCACTTACAAGTGTTGAAATTCTGAACAGAGATACTGACAATCTCGAGATTCTCATGCATAGGAACAGGGAACTCAGTTTTCTCGTCATTTGTTGTGGGCATCCACATAGACAAACGGCCATTGGGGACCAAGGAGCGTACTGCGAAGTTGAGCACGTCGTTTTGCAGAGCCTCGAAGCCATAAGGCTTTTTGGGAGGAACGAAACCAGGTCGGCTATAGGTCCAAGTCAGTATTATAAATCGCGAGGCCAATGAAAGCAAAAAAAAAAAAAGAGAGACTTACAGATAGGCAGGGACGCCATCAATGATCACATTAACTGCAGGTTTTCCCCTGCGATTTCCCAGAACCCGAAGTCCTTCACGCACACCGTATGGCGGATCGCAGACAATGCCATCTAGAACGGCGGTTCTTCGCAGTGGCGTGTTGGTAAGATCGGAAGTGAACGTATCCAAGAATTTGCTCTTGATCCCATATTGGTCAAAATTCTCATATATGCCCAATTTCCCGCTCTCTTTGCCACGGAAGCTACGGCCATCAATGTCTGCACCCAGAGTCAGAGCCCCGAAATGCGAAGCAGCAACTATGAAACTTCCAGTTCCGACAAACGGATCGAAGAACAATTTCCCCGGTGCTGCAAGAGCCATGTTGGCCGTAATGAGACTCAACTCCGCATCCATGGAAGTCGTGCTAATATACCGACGCTTCTTGAGGTCGTATTTGAGCACGGCCTCGCGACAGCTATCGGCAATTTTGCGACTAAGATAAATCTTTCTTGGATCTCCTGTTCGCTTCGTGCCCAGTACAGAGACTTCAACATCGTCGACGTACTCTTCCATCACGAAAAATTCCTCATCGGGGTTTGTAAGCCGGATTGGGCCTTTGAACCCCATATATGAGAAGGATCGAATGATTTCTCCCTTCTGAACTGTGCTGCGCGTTCCTGCGAAGTAATCAATCGTGAATTTGAACGGGACAGCAATGTAGTCGTTCCAACGATCTTGGGTTCGTTCACGGACATCTGCATGTAGCTCTTCATAATTGGTGCCTTGGCCCCATAACTCGAAGATATCCTTAACCAGGATACTGCGCTTGGCAACTGCCCGTGCCGCGGCTTCGTTTGGTAATCTTACGACACAATATGGTGACTGGTGTATGTCAGTCAAGTTTCTGTAAATCGGAGATGATCATGCAAGAGAGGAGGGGTGCCATCGTTGTAGATCAATGGTCGTGGAATGATTTGGACTCTTTGAATGCTGATAGGGAAGGCATATCATACAAATTCATTGTAGGCGATAATTTCGATGTCAACGCCTGCGAGTGTGGCACAGGCTTGAAGTTCCGGCCGTCGGAAGGTCTCATGGAGTTGGGCGAACCGAACCAGATAATCCATGGCTAGCAACACGAATATCTGTCTAGTTTTTTCTTAATGATTTCTCTTTAGTGGGAGTTCATGTAATTCGTTGCTGCTTTGAAGGCGGGGTGTTGCGGGTTGAGATTTTTTTTTTTTTTCTCGGGTCTTCAGAAATATACTCCACGGAGACAGACTGTGTCCAAGCTAGGTATAGATTTATATATCTCCAACAAACAATCAATTTTAGTTTCCAAAATACTATATTCAATGAAAGTTAGGCACTACACCATTGGAATATGATAAGAAATGATTTAATTACAAGGGTTATGCATCAAGAGAAGATAATAAAACGAAGGATTGAACTATAGATGAAACCCAGATCTGCTCAGGTGTGATATAATCGCACAAAAAAAGAAAATAAAAACAAAAGAGACCAAGACTACCTTAGATATATCACCACATCCAGCTATGAACAGAAACCCGAAGATACGCCCTCCCTTAAGACAGAAGCAAGACATGCCCAAAACTAAACTCCGCCCCTATGCATCGACTACCTTGAAAACATGTCGTGATTCATATCCATCCGCCGAGGTAATATCTACCTTCTCGTCAGCTGGTATCATATGATGTTGTAGGTCCCAACCAGCCCGACGAGAAAGTTCGGATACCACCACATCACAGTCACCCAAGAGATCAATATCGAACTCGGTATGTGACACCGGCTATATGCCATGGTCAGTATGGTGTAATACCAATGTCTTGAACACGACTTACAGTGCGCGAGATGTAGATCTGTGGGACGTTGCGAGGTAGGATTCCTGGTACTTCAGCCACGGGGGCTACCTTCAACGAGGTTCCGATCACAATGACCAGGTCTGCGAGTTCCCGATCCTGGTGAAGTAGACGTTCGCCAAACTCATCGGGTAGATCCTCGCCAAAGAATGTGATATCAGGCTGTACTATTTGTAAGTATGGAAGAAAGCAAGCAAGAGACCGAATGGTCACTGACCTTCATCACCCCAGGAGTCGGGATTTCATAGTCGTCCTCATCTGAACTGTCGTCGGAGACCTTGCGGTCTTTCTGTTGACCATTGGAACTTCGCTTGCGCTTAAGACCTTGCGGCTTTAGTCCTTCTTCTGCGATTTTCTCCTTGCAGGCGGTGCAGTGGGGGATGTTTCCCGCCCTGATATCATCGAAGATCGCGTCGCCAGGAACGTTGAATCCACACTTCACGCAGGTGGCCGTCGCAAAGGATCCATGGCATTGTACAATCTTTTCCGGGCGCACCCCAGCATTTGCTTCAATGTTATCGATATTCTGCGTGTAGTTGGTCAACAGTTTGCCCTTGTCTTGCAGAAGCCGAATGAATGCATGGGTGGGCGACCATTTCTTTTCCGTTGGGAGGATATCCTTGGCAATGGAAAAGAAAATGTTCGGGTCTTCTCTAAAGATATGGATGTCGAAGACTTCTTGTGGATCGCTCAGACCTAGGTGCGCCAGTTTTGAGTAGAGTCCGGTATCTTTAGAACGGAAATCGGGAATCCCCAGACTTGTTGAGATCTGATAAAATATCCGTTAGAACTTATGGATCAGGGATCTTCGGGATAAGCTTCAATATGAACATACACCTGCGCCCGTCAGAACGATGATGTTCCGAGACTCGCGAAGGAGCCGAACAGCATCGTCGATGGAGTTGTACTGGGGAAGCTTGGGCCTCCGAGAGAACTCGCGCGAGATCGCGATCGCCAGAAGAGAATGGTAAGACTCATCTGGCGCACCATCGAGGAATGCCGGGGGCGCGATTCCAAATGCCGTGCATAGCTTTTTGGCCGTGACGGTTTCGCGGAGGATGGTCTCTTCCACGAACGCCGCCTTACCAATCGCATGTAGACGTTGTCGATATGCAGTCGCCTCTTCTAGAGTACAGGCACCGGGAACTGCGACAGAAAAGCGAGCGCGTTAGCCAATGTTCGTTCTGATCTCCGAGAGCGGGGGTGTCCGGGGTAAGACGTGAGGGTGGATATAGTTACATACCGAGGCCGTCGCGGATCTGGTCATCGCGTAGGAACTGGATCGCCTCATCGCAGTTAGACAGATTATCCCATCCGTCGGAATCATCGCTGTCCGACTCCAAATCCGACGATATCTCAAGCGCGAGGTCCGGCGCGTCGTCCTCCATGTCGTACTGTGCCTCCATATCCACGGCCTCCACTTCGACCACGGTGGTCTTTACTGAAGCCTCCCCTTTTGGGGCTGGTACCAAATCCATTTTGCAGGAGTTTGAGATTCCAGCCACGGAGACAAACTCGTTTTCACTCGCGCTTGAAACCTGCTCTGACAAAAATTCGGGCATCTGCTTCACCGGAGGCAACTTAATCCGGAACCGATGAATGAATTGCGGTGGCGATATCAAAGAAGTTTTAGTTTGTGGTTCAGGGGGTCGACGATGAAAGAGACTTTGGGGGGAAAAATAAAAGAAACTACTTCTAGTGGTATCAAAGCAAACAAATCAATGAACATGTACATCATCTCATGTGGTCGTCACTTTTGGTATCTATGAATCCGCCATCTCGTCGTCGGAGTCAACTTCGATCTCCACATCCGAATCCTCGCCCGCTCCCTCCCCTTCAGCTTCACTCTCATCATCCTCTCCAATTTCTTTGTTCATTTCCTGTACAAGTTCCAAGGCATGATCGCGGAGCCGGTCATCCTCGTATTGAAGAACATCATAGAGCTTCAAGCTTTGCTTGAGCCATTCACGACTAGCATCTAGTGATGCATGTCGCGGGGACTCGGCAAGCTCGTCGGTGGTCGCATCCTTAGGTGCCTGTTGCTTTTCTGCCAGCAGGAAGAGACACCAGCCTCCGAGGTACCAGGCCTCTACACTTTGATCATCCTCTAGAATCAGGCGCTCGAGGACTTCCAGAGCCTCGAACTCCATATTCACTTCCATCAGGAGTCGTGCAAGACTGATGCGTACCGCAAAATCGGGTATTTTGAGATCTTCTGGAGCCAAATCCTTCCAGAAGCTCATACTGCGAGTGAGCGCGGCTTGCGCATCTTCGGTACGTAGTTGTGAAATCCGGATGGAGGCGAGGGTCTGTAGTACCTCTGGTGCTTCGGGTGTGACAAGGAGGGCTTCCGTAATAAGTGCCTCGCACCGAGCTTCGGCATCCTCTTCCCAGCTGAGTGAATATGTTAGTTATGGCCCGCATAGAATCTAGGATATAGAGAAACTCACGAAAGATCGGTCATGTAGGTTTCAGCGACGGCGCACAGTGCGTTAGACATCTTGGTCTTCTTCTGTGTAATATCGGCGATCTGCTCCGGCGATGTTTTCCCCTCAAGAGATTGAATACTCTGTCTGAGCGACGCCACACCCATCTCGAACCACAGGACACTGTCCTTTCCACCTTGCTCACTCAATTGTGCAAGCCATAGGAACTTTTCAGCTCCTCCTCCCTGGGATTCCGGTACCGAGCCATTTTGATCGAGTTGAACAGCTTGAAGGAAGCAGTTTCTAGCGGTGTCGATGTCACCTAGCTCGACATTAATTTCTCCAAGCAGATTAATGGCGGGGAGCTGTGCAGTGGTGTTTTCAGCGGTCAAATCCAGGGCCTGCTGTGCAATCACGAGTGCCTCATCGGCTCGACCAGTTTGTAGGAGGATTGTGGCTTGGTCGAGTAACGTCGAGGGATCTTGAGCCATGTTGCCTTTCGAGATCGAGCCACCAGGGCCTAGTACGGACTTTGCGCGGGGCTTGGATGACTTCTTCTTTTGCGGTCTGGGCTTTCCCATGGCAGGACGCAGTGAAATTCAATAAAAACTCGTGATGTCGTCGACTGGAATACTAAGCAGGGTGATTGACGATTGTAACCCGTAGGGTATCTGGAAGAAGTTAAAAAAAAGTGAACCTCCAAAATTTTGAAGCGGCTGTTTGACGGGTTTGCATGTGGGACCGCAATATTGTCACCGTTTATACTTTTTGACCGCCTTTGTATATCGTGGAGTGAGAACCTGTGGACATGTATTCCTCGCCAACTATTATCCCCAATTTTGGTGCATATCTATGGCTAATGATTATTATCCTTCTAGCTAGCTATAACACTAAAAAAGAAAAATCTCCATCTAGGAAGACCATCTATCTAAAAAGATAATGGGTCCTACATATGTATAAAGTCCATCGTCTTGGGTCAGATAAAACAGAGTATTCAAGTAATTATTATATCGGGTACATACGCATGAAATAAACCTTGGAAACTACACCTAGACATCCTGAACTATATCGTCACGCCCGGGTAGGGAGGTGAGCTCCAGGGCTAGAGCTTCCACTTGGAAATATCTACTTCATCCCAACGATCATTATAGGCAATAGCGAGGCCCCAAACCCACCAAGGAATATGTCTACGCCTATCTCCACCACAGTCTTCCTTCTCCAGATCGCGGACCTTGCGAGCATTTCTAAAGTCAACAAAGTACCTACTTCAATTAGCTGCAAGCTCCCAATCACGTATAAGAAGGCTCGGAATTTCGAGGTATCTGAGTCCCAGATTAAGCTCATTGCCCGAGGAAAGGTGGGCACCCATCCCAGCTCATTCAGCTCGCGGTACTCCATATCAAACACCATTCGAGTATGATCTCGCCCGGGTTTGCTGAAGCTAGAACAATTTATGAGGCGTGGATCGGTATTCACGGGTAATATTATCATCAGCAAGACGAAGTCCAGGGACACGTTGGAATATACAATGGATAACGTAGCCCCGGGAGAGCTCGGCGACGATAGTCCATTTGGCGGGCTTGGGCTTCTCAAAAGTGATGTGATCGCCCAGCGAGGGAAGCAAAACTATCTGAGGCATAGTGGCTAAAATGTGAGGGTTGCTATGAGGAGAATGTCCTCTAGAATGATAACGATACCATTGCACAATAGTGACCCGTGGACATTCGTGACCAGGCCTCACGTCAACAACCTTGGAGCCATGGTTATATGTAAGACTAAAGTTTCTCTTTATGTGTCTTATATATATATTCTCGATGTTATACATAGTTTGGGGAGTGTATTATGTGAATGTTAGTGAGCAGATCAGGAGGTTCTCGAGGTCACAGTAAATGGAAGCCGGCGAGGATGGCGAGGATGAGGGTAAATTGATAGATTCACGTGACTCGGCTTGGCCTGTTGCGTTGACTTGGTTTGCGCTCCGATATTTTTTTCTGAGTTGGTTAATACTACGATATTTCAAAGTCTTGATTGAACAATATTTCAATCCTTCCCTCTAGAATCACTCTCATCTGCCCACGAGGTGTTTCCCGAAGAATCTGCACCTCCGGCGCCCAAATCGTTACCCCTCCAATCCGCGGGCGGATCAACAGCTATGGGTCGCGAAGACCAGATTGAGGAGCGTGAAGTGCTCGATTCAATCTTCCCTGATGAAATTACCGGTAAGTAATATACAAGTCTTTTAGACGGGTCAAAGTTTCTTTTTACCCTTGCTCACAGCGAGACCTGGCACCTAGACATATCCGAAACCTCGTACCGTGTATCCATAACTCTCGATGCGCTCGAATATGACGGGGATGAATCAGAACAACCCGTCATATGCCTGGAAGTCGCCTACCCGGAAGAATACCCCGATGTTGGCCCAAATCTCACCATTTCCTCCCCACCCAATGCTGTGAAGCATCCTCGGCTAGATGTCCAGGAAGACCGGGACCTACTGATGGAATCCCTTCAGCCCACTATCGAGGAGAACCTGGGAATGCCGATGATATTCACACTGGTCAGCGCACTTAAGGAAAGCGCAGAGCAGCTTATGACCGAGCGAGCAGACGCCATTCAAGCCGAGATGGACCAAGTCGCCGCGAAGAGAGAGGAGGAGGAGAACCGAAAATTCCACGGTACACCAGTCACTGTCCAGTCCTTCTTGGAGTGGCATGCGAAGTTCAAAAAGGAGATGGAGGACGAGGAGCTTCGGCTACGCGAAGAAAAGGAATCGGAGGACAAGAAGAAAAAGACCACGAAAGAGGAGAAAAAGCTCACAGGCCGACAACTGTGGGAGAGGGGCTTGGCCAAGGGTGATTATGACGAGGAAGAGGAGGATGCCTTGCCAGCTGTTGAGAAGCTCAAAGTGGCTGCATGAGCTAGTACATAGAAATGTTAACGACCTGCCATTACTTTGAAATTATGTATTATAACCTCGTCGAATTGGTGTGATTATACTGAGAAATCAGCGAACTGGTATCAAAGGTAGGTGGAGTAATATACAGATCTGAAAGTCCACATGGACTTAGGTTATGGTACAGGGAAAGATAACGCTCAAATCACCAGACAACACAGGGCTTGAAATAGAGCCGTTGTCTTTGGTGGAGCTGCTTGCTGGAGTCCAGTGACTTTAACAATGCTAGCAGTCCATGGTGCCCATTGATCGGATATGAAAGAATGGACATACCTGGCCAGGTTGCCATGGATAATGCACTAAGCCTTTTGGATGCTTTGAGCAACCGACCTTTGTATTCTGATCTCAAGAAACATTGACAATGGCATGGCCATGGACCGGGGCTGTAATGTGACTAGACATTGACCTGAGCTATAACGGCACATCCGTCTACCCGAAGAGCCAGTGGGATGTACTTTGTGATGGCAACGACGTTTGCACAGCAAGACAGACCACTTGGTTTCATTGCTTTGGCTGCTTTTGGTTAGCTTCCTCTTCCGCCAAAGCCCTTTCAGCTAGAACGATCTTCCACATATTATCTGCAAGCTCTTTGGAATGCATGTCGAAGTGTGCGATTTTCGCATTAACATCGACAATGGCATTTGCGGGATGCTCAGACCAAGTGGATGGTTCCTTAGTTTCGGTGACGCGATCCCATTCCTCTTCGTCCTTAGCGAAAAGAAGTTCTATTTTCAGCCGGTCTCGACGTTCGATCCAGTTCCAACGACGCCCAAGTTTTGTTCGTATGACGCTGCTAACGTTTCTCGGCTGCGGCTTTTTATAGCGCAGGAACGGAAGTCCACGTGCATTGACAAGTACAGGGACATTGCGTTTCTTGTCACCCAACGGCCGGGGTCTGTTTAGGATCGATGTGGCGTTCGGATGCCGCTGATTTGTTTCCTCCTGGAAGCGAATTGACTTTTCTTTCCGGGCTTTCTTGGGCGTAAGTGGTTTGGCAGGCGGCGCTACTGGCCGGATTTTCCTTTGCATCGCAGCGTATTTATCTTTGTGTGATCTGGCCTGGGCTATGAGAGTTGTAATCCGGTGTGCATCATGCTGGTTGGTATGAGACGAGGAGAGGAGATCTAGAGCCTGTCATACGGCGACAAAATATCAACACATAAGCTCAGCCTGGAGGAAGATTCGATGCGCATACCTCGTAACCTGCCTTCAAGGCATTTGCTGTTTGTGATGGGCTTTGTAATTTTTTATATTTTCGAAAATTCTGTCGAACGAGGGGTTTAACTTCACCCAGCCACGGAGTGTTTGTAGTTGAAGGACGGCATTGTCGGAGAAGTGCTCGATAAAGTGCCAAACCTGTCATAGAGAGATTGTCAGCTAGAATAATTAAAAATGTAGGGAATAATCTCTCACAAGCAAAGCGATGAGCCCCGTTATATTTTGGCACCAGCACTTTATGCATTCTGCCGTGTTGAACAGTTATACCGATAATGAAGCCAAAGCCAAACAGCTATATGTCTTATCTTGTTTCTACCTGCCAGGGCACACACCGCCCATTCACCGCCTACTGTGAATGAATTAGTTTCTGGCATTATATTTATCCGGAAGGGGGCCCAATCCACTTAGCTTATGGGCATTTATCACGTGACGATATTTGGTTATATATATCCACCCGAGCCCTCAGATCTTCCTCTTCTTTTCTTTCTTCTTCAGCTCTCTTTGCCTATTGGCTTAGATCAAGTGTAGTATCTGTTCTTTTCAGTTTAATCTCTGAAAGTTTCCGTCCAGGAAACACTTTGATTATTCCTATTTTTGGACCCCGCGACTTGGCCCCTGTGCTTGCGCATGCCTTGTCGCACAGTGTCATTGGGCTTACACTACCCCCGATCGACGCGAACTCCTTTTTCATCAATTGTTCGGCTTGTCCGGGCGCTTGAAGAAGAAGCCTCCTGTAAAATGTAGATATCTCGAATCGTTGACATTCCTGTCACTCGCCGCGTCTTGGTCTCCACCTTCATTTCCGGTTCTCTACTCTGTAGGGTTTCATATCTGGCATGCTCTTGTCCTCGCTGGCTGCCTCACTGGATAGCTTTTGTGTCCTTTTAGAGGTGTGACCCCTCCTTTGACCCAACCCCATCGGTTGGTTCGCTTGGTCTCTCCTTGCCTTGTCCCTACGTTCAGTGTGATGTCTCACGACCCTCTGGCTGCGTCATGCCGGACAGCTAGAATTTACGCCTATAAATACAATCATTGGCTAAGTGAATCATTCGACAGAGTACGTCATCACTCATAAAAGAATATCATTTGATTTTGTTGTTGGTAAACAGGCGCCTGCCGCAATGCCCAGTTCCACGAAACAAAACACTTTAGAGATGAATACCTAATGTAGGGATGGAAATTGAAAGTTGAGGCCCAAAAGAACCCCTACCGATGCTTTCATGCAGAGACTGTACACGCTCTAGGGTCATAGAAAAAGAGAAGAAGCCAGGAAATTTAAATGAAGCCGACCCTGATACTCCGAGATCCGCCTGCGCTGAGTGGGTCACATATGCTGGACTAGAAAGTCGAACCCTCCGGGGGCTGCGGCAGCTTCTTATGCTGGGGCAAGGCCATGTACCTGGATAAAGTGTTAACCTCAAACTATGGATCTTGTGCCATTCTTTGTGCTCACCTTCTCAACTCAATTAGAACCGTCTCCATGGTGTTGTCTCGTTTCCACTGCGCAAGGGTTGGAAGCTTTGTCGGATCGACCTGCAGTATAATCACTCAGTAATGGCCTTGTGTTTTCGTACCCAATCTCCTCATACCTTGCCAGAGCTGGAATCGACACATGGAATGTTCACTCGAGAGACGAATTGAATGGTAGGAGGGTTATCGGGGTAGTCAGGTCCGCAGTGAATGTTCACACTGTATATCCGGTTCTCATGAACGCTCTGAAAGAGGGCAGATTAGCGATAGTTTCGTGGCGGCGTGGAGTAGAGTGAGAAACTAACGTGAGGCGGGCCGAGAATGGTTCCATTCCAGTTGCTCATCATCATATCCTCCCCATCAGCAAGTCCGTATGAGCAGGCATCTGGAAATAAGACACATACGTCAGTGATCCAAGATCGGACATTGTCGGAGATCGTAGGAGTCGATCGTACCTGCACTCAGACCCTTCTCGCCCTTCTCAAGCTCCTCCAGGAGTCGAAAGTTTCTTGGGACCTTGGCAGCCATGCTGAGCACCGAGTAGTGGTTTCAAACGCTGAAAATATCACGACAAGTGTGAATGGATGTCGAAGAGGGATGTTGCGACAAGAGGGGCAATGCGCTAGGCGGTCAAGTTAGAGCATTGTCACGTGCGATACGGCTTATCGATGGCTTGGCACCTGTTGGAGATGCCACGCCTTGTTGATCCCATCGTGGAATCGTTGTAATAACAGAATCGCTGTCATTGTTCTCTTGCTGCTCACATGAACTTGGCATCAAATCTCCAATCTTGCAACTAGTCTGGTGTGGAAACAACGATCCATTCATCTGCGATCAAGAGCTCCTCCGTACTGTTGACATCGGACCTCGGGCATTAGCCTGCGCTGGCCATGCTTTGAGACAATAAACCTATATCAGAAATGTCCTCCCAATTCTTACAGACGGAGATCGCCAACTTGATTCATGAGTCTCGAAGGAAAAACTCCGATTTGCGAAATGTTAGTTATCACTCTCTAGGCATCATCGGCCATGGCACACTAACGATGAATTGACAGGCCGCCGAACAATCGTTGAATGAGCTCAAAGCACTGCCCTCAACTTCAGAGTCTCAGATAGCAGCAGGTAATTTCTAACATGGCAACCTTTTGTCAGTTCCCAACCGCTAAATTGCCATTAGACCTTGTTCGCAAACCGAATTTTGTCGAGCCATTCATCATTGCATGTCATACTCGACATGCAAAGCTTGCCGGTATTGGTGTGATCTGTCTACAGAGACTAATTGCATCTCGCTCATTACCCTCGAGTCGTTTGAAAGATGTCCTCGCAGGCCTGAAGGAGACAACGAGCTTGAGTAAATGACCAAACAAACCAACATGTTTAAATTGCGCTAACGGTTGCTAGGCCTTGATATCCAGCTGAAAATTCTACAATCTCTGCCTTCACTTTTGCAGTTTTATTCCAATGAACTGAGCGGGGAGCTTCTTGCGAACACCTTGGAAATATGCGCCACGTTACAGGCAAGCAAGACAATTGCAGTTTCTAGTACTGCCGCAGCTACTCTCCAGCAGCTGGTGGTATCAACATTTGAAAGAGTTTCGAGTGAAGATAATCTTCCTAATGATGCAAAAATCACCACAACAATCAATGTCGATGGTCAGTCGCTTAACATCGGCTCCTTCGCCTATGATGCACTGCAAGTATTGGATGATCTCTGTCGTCTGATAGATGGTGAACCACTACAATTTCTGCGAACACGAACCCTATCTCCGACTTTTGTGCTCGAACTTATTGAGAGTATTCTTCTGAACAGCGGCCGTCTTTTTGTGGGGCATCCCGAACTTTCGCAAGTGCTGCGCGTTCGGCTATTACCACTAGCGGTTCGTTGTCTATCTGAAAGGTATTCGTTCGCTCAAACGGTCCGAGTTGCTCGGATTCTTCTCATTCTTCTGAAGCGTTATATGTCTCTGTTGACTACAGAATGCGAGATGGCACTGAGCCTGATAACCCATCTCGTTGAACCGGATGGGACAGCTCCTTGGAAGCGATTACTTTGCATGGAAGTTTTTCGAGGGCTATACTCGGAGCCAGGTGCTGTGCGGCTGATCTATACTTTGTATGACGGCGAGGAAGGCAGAAAGAACATCCTCCGCGACCACATGGCTGCGCTTGTTCGGCTAGCTTCAGAGAAACCTGCTTTGATTGGCGTCAGCAATCAATCAACAGTACCTTCCCGGGCGGAGCACTCAAGATCCACCACAGAGGATCAAATAACTCTCGAAACAGGTGGTGTTGCTGGTGTCATTGGGTCAACTGTTCCTTCAAGTGAAACCAAGGTGCCTGGAATCAGCACTCAGTGGAGTGTTGTTCGTACGCCATTTATCGATCTCCTCGACAAGACAGATCCGCCCACACCGCCGGACACTTACATTTACAGCCTTGTTCTTAACTGTATTAGCAGCTTTGCTGAAGGGCTAGCGAAATTCATTCTTCCATTGACGGTCCCGGATCTAAAGCAAAGACGCAAGAATCGACTTATGAGCCCCGTTCAAGGACCGGACTCCGCCAGATCGTCTCAAGATTTCACAGCAGAACCGACCCGAGTGCAGTCTACCTCGTCGTCGAAAAAGTCACATGTTCCCATCAATCCTCTGGACCTGCATTCTCATGTACAGTATTCCGCCATCAAAACTTGTGCGGGGATAATAGAGAACTGCTGGCCCGCTGTCCTAGCAGCTTGCTCCACCTTTTTGCGCGCATCCTTAGATGATGAGTATTACCATAACCTTGTTCGAGCATTCCAAAAGTTAGCTCATGTGGCGGGTCTCCTAAGATTGGCTGTTCCCCGAGATGCTTTCTTGACAACTCTTGGAAAAGCTGCTACGCCCGTGAGTGCGGGTGGGGCCAAGTCACATAATGTATCTTCCACTGGCTCCCAGCAAAGTGACGCGGCCCAAAAAAAACGGAGAAGTGCGGATCTGTCAAACTCCAGTTCTTTAGCAATGGAGTCTGCAGGAACAACTGCCGGGGAAGGGCCTCCGGTGTCTTTAAGCACAAGGAACCTGCTTTGCATGCGGGCTTTGCTCAACCTCGGAATTGCTTTGGGGCCGACACTGGATCAGCCGGCCTGGTCCATTATTTTTGAAACACTTCAATATACCGGACTAGTGATTGGCATGTCATCAAGCGCAATGGTCAAATCGGCCAGTGGGGCTGGGGAGATTCCAGTCACCCCAGGAAACGATGTGCCCACTGCTAATCTTGGGAGTGAGGTGATTGCGGTCCAGGCGGCTTCTAACAAAATGCTCGAAAGCACCAGCGATTTCCCAAGTGCATCTTTCGAG